ATAATGGAAAGAAAAACCACTTGTGACAAGGAATGTCATCTGGAAGGAATATACAGTTTAAATATAATATTTAAAGAAGTGCTGATATGTGATGCGTTATTTTTGAAAATTAAAGGATGCTAAAGGAAAAAATATTAACATATCCTGAAATGCTGGGCGAGTGCCTTACAAATGAAGGCAATATATTTACTATGGAAAAAGTTTTGAAAATGTATTAGTAATACTTTCAGTTTCTGCTTTTATTTATTTATTAATTTTGCCATTTTTATATCCCACTACAATCTGAAAACCGGGCAGCATACATCAGACTGACCCTATAAAGCATCATGTAATATTCAATAGATTCATTGACCCACCCCAAAATGGATAATGACATTAAATAATCAGAGTTAAAAATGCCACCTTATTGCTAAGAATACATTTTAGTTTGTTCTTGCTAAGACCTGGACAAGTTGCATGACAACAAGTTGCAAGCTTTTATATTTGTAATATTTGTGCAGAAAATAGCATCTTATTCCATTCTTCCTTTGGCTATCAAAATGCAGTGTACATCTGTTGTTTATTGTGGCTTGGTAATTAATTCTTTATTGGTACAGGTGTGATTTATAAATACTAGACAGAAACTATGCTGCAAATTCAAATTGTAACTGACACTGTCATTTTATGCTTGATTTGATGCTCACCTTTTCCCCTCAGCTTTCTTTGTAGTTTCCTCCTTGCTTCTTGTAGTGAAATTATTTCATGTTGTCATTTTTCATCTCGCTGGAATGTTTTGGAACTATTAGAATCCCACAACTTTTTCCTGTGAGATAGAACATTCATTGATGGGGGAAGGGCTCCAGGCTGCAGACAATCCAGATGCCGCTCTCTCTGGATTGTTCCAGAGGCAGTTGAGCTTTGTGTGGTGATTCCTTTTAAATCCCTCTCTTTGTTTCCTCCCTCTGCCAGGAACAGAAGTGCTAAACAAAGTAACTTGCTTGTATGGTACATTAGGGACAAAGCACTTAATAGCACTGCGGCTTAATCATGAATCAGCTCAAAGGGTACCAGTTAGTCTTCTGGATGCAACTGAACTTACAGTTATGGACCCTCTACAGGAAAAATTGCATATCTTAACTTTTTTAAAAAAAGAAGAAAAATCTGTCTTACAAAAAAAAAAGTGAATAAGGTTTTTAGGAACAATATAACTTTCCCTTCTGTGAAATACTTACAGATAGTCTTCTTTTAGCCATCTTTTGCAGTTGAAACCAGTCCTTGAAGTTATGACCTTTGCAGGTCAGTAAAGCAAAGGACAGCTGAAATAAGATCATAAGCAGTTACAGTTCTACCAAGTGAGTGCTTCGCTTAACAACTCAGTTAATGATTGTCTCAATTGCAGTTGCTAAACAAGGACATGTGTGCATATTCCAGGAAAGCACATAAACATTAATATTAATTGCTGTCAACTTGCCTGCACTTTGAAATCAAAACTCTTGGCCTTTAAATACCAATAGAAGGCAACTTCTCCAATGCCTCCATGCCTCCATAATCTGTTGCTATCTGGGATCTATCAGGTTTAAAGCAAACGAGCTTTAGGGGAAGCCCTGAAGATATATTTGGTCCATCTAGCCATTTCTTCTTTTCAATTGCAAGAGGACAGGCTGCTTACAAAACGACCAGCTGCTGTTCTGTCCCTTTAAGTCCTCTCCCAGCAACTATAGCAATTGTTGGCTATAAAAGCTGATCAGTCAGGCAGTTGGGTGTGGTTGTTGTTAATGTGTGGGAGAAGGAGGTGTGTGTTTCTGAAGTAGCCTAGGGTAGAAATACTGTTCCCCAGTAGTAGGACTCATAAGTAGTAATTGGAGGAGAAATAGTAGAAGTGGAGTAGTGAGTACTAGCCTCTGAGTGCTTGTGTTTGTGTGTTACCACTACCTGTTGATAGTGTTTAGAGCCCGCTAACTTGTGTACATATGGCAAGTGATGGCAAAAGGTGGGGTATACAAAAAGGTTGAGGTAGCCAAAAAATGTGGAATATTTAAAAGATGGGAAACTAACACAAAGGGGCAACCACATAAAGTGGCTTAAACCTATTGAAAAAAAAACTAGCTTTGGCTTAAAAGGGGTGGGGGGAGGGGGGCTGCCAAAGCAAAGGAGTTTGGGCCTTGCTGAGTTCACTTGGCAGAAATTAGCCAGTATCCTGCCTGCTGAAACCAGAGCTTATACCAAACATGGAAAAGGCAGAAGGGACAGATTCCTCCTTTGAAGAAGCTACTACTTTGGCAGAGGCAGGTGTCTGTCTATGGTAAAGCCAAAGCAAAAGATAGACCAGCCTGAAATGGAGCTAGGCACTGATACTTGGGCCAATGTCATTGCAGAGCTGATAAGACCTCAGTCAAGAGAAAAGGCTGAAATTAATTAAATACAAAGAGGAGCAACTTTGGAGGAAGAAAGCAAAGGTGGGTTGGAATGGCAAAAGGAGGCAAGAGTTGATAGAGCTGATAGACTTACCTAAAGGGATAGTCACTAGAAGGGGTACATTCAACTCTAAAGTTTCCAGAATGTGTAGAAGACATTTAAATTCCCAAGGAGTCAGAGGAAAAAGAAATAGAAGTCTATTTTACCAGTTCAAAAGAGTAGCTACCTCTTGTAAGTGGCCTGAGAGTGAATGGGTGGTCTGACCCAGCCCCATGTTTAATGGGAAAGGCTTTGAGAGCTTATAGTAGTCTTCCAGCAAGAGAAATAGTGGATTACTCTCATGTGAAAGAGATAATCCTATACAGACAGGTTGTCACTCCTTACACCTATAGACAAAGATGTAGAAGCTACACCTATGACAAACATGAAAGGATGTGTGAATTGTGAGCAATGTTGGAAGACAAGAAATGGTTGAGGCCAGATGAAAGAAGCAAAGGAAAAGTGGTAGAGGAAGTAACTTCAGAACAGTTTCTACATGTACTCCTTAACGAATTGAGGTTTTGGGTGCAAAAGCACAGCTCAGAATTGGATCAAGGGTGGTTAGATTGTCTAAGGACTACATGGCAGCAAAAAAAAAAAAACATCATCAGAGGATGTTAGGGAAGATTCAGAAGAAGAGAATAAGAAAGCCTGTTCCAGAAAGTAAGAACAGTAAGGAGCTAGAAGAGAGAAAGGTGAGAGTAGAGAAGACGTTAACTTCTGCCCAAACTAAAGGAAGGCCTTGGGATGATAGAGACCCATAGTTGTTAAACCTGTGGGAAAAGTGGCCATTTGTCCAAAGACAGTAAAAGCAAAGAAAAAATGGCTGCAGTAGAGCATCTTTGAGAAGAAAAATTATATTTGAGATACCCCATTGGATAAAGTCCAAGTATATGCAAGAGAGAATGGAACACGTAATGGTGGTAGGAGTTATTCCTAACTTGCCATGTAACCTAGTAATTGGAACAGATTTTCCACTTATTGAAGGCAAGTCTCAGAGAAAAAAGGATTTGAGAAAGAGGCTAAGATAGTAGGAGTAACTACAAGGGGTCCCGTCTAAGGCAAAGATGAGAATGGAGCAGAAGCAGGAAGTGAAGGAATTTGGGATTATTCTAACCATCTTGATTTAATACAAATGAAATGTCCTAGAACTGAGAAGTGGGAAAGAGTGGAGTAGTGAGCAATAAGTAATAGCCCAAGTGTTTGTGTGTATTGTCTAGGGACTTGTGTTGTTGTGTTGGATCTCTGGGGTTTTGGAGCCTACTGACTTGGGTATATATAAAAGAATCCAGGACTGTTTTTATTTTAATGTTCCCTGGCTGTTTTAACTGCCAGGGTCTGAGGATTTCCCCTCATTTCTGTGGTCCTGGCTTCAGTTTTTTTATAGTATTGTTGAGCTTGTTATTGTAGGTAGCTTTGGAAGGCTTGAAAGCAAGCTCTTCTGTATTTATTAAATTAATATGCCATCTATCTCACTATCAAGCAACTAAATATTATAAACATGCTGAAGCATTATCTTTAGCAGTTCATTTTCAGAATGAAACAGATGAGTAAACAAATTAACATGACAAAAAGATTCTACACTGTTGGACCAAGTAACATTCTCAGACCAATATATATGTAATATGTAATCAAAGATCAAAGTAAACTTACAGCCAATTTGCAGGGGGGAAAAACTAAACGGAACCAATCATATGAATAGCATCACATTAGCTGCAGATGATCCGTTGTGGGTGACAGGCAATGCATTTGAATGATGTCCTGATAGCTGTACTCCATGCAAGTTGAAAATTCCTCCATGACTTATTTCTTGAGCAGGCACAAACTGGAACTGTTGAGCAGCTTATTTTACATGGTTTCTCTTTTAAAATGGTTATTTACAAAAGGATAACAAAAAGTATGGGTAGTAGACCATTTCTTGCTTATGAAACTCCCTCTATTGACTTGTAGAAGCAAGATTAGCCTTTCCTAATGGTGCCTTCCAGGAGGTGATCACCTTCTTCATCATCTTCCAAGGCTATGCTACGAAGAATTAGGACAACTAAAGTCCAAGTTATCAGGAGGCATGACATATGAGAGAAGGCTGAATGAGATAAAGAGTTATAAATATTCTGTACTATAAAGAGTCCAAAAGCTGGATTCCTTAAAAGTGAGAAAATTCCCATCTCATTACTAATAGTTGTAGTGTTCATATTACTAACTCAACAAAAAGCACCAGCCTCACTACCAATATTGGTAATTATTCTAAAACAACAAGATAGTACTAAAATATTTCAGAATAAGTTATTACTAAAATATTTCAATGGCTTTTCAAATCTAAGGTAGAAAAGCAGTAACTGTCACTTCTTAGAAATGAAATCAACTGGGTTCCCTAAAATTATGTTCAACAAAACCATCTGTGATATTTTGCCGTGGAGAAGTCAGAACGCAGCAATGTGTATCTTGTCTCAGATTTATGTAAGTTTTGGAAAGCTTCATAAGATCTTTGTTCACCTTTAAAAATATTTTACTTTTCATAATACTTGAATCTTGACAATTGAAGTACATGCTTTCAATTTCAAACTTTGTATCTACTACTTCATTTAAACTCACAATGTCACAGAAAGGAAGCCTCTACAACAGGAGTGTCAAACTCACATCGTCACGGTGACATCACATTGGGACTCCCCCCCTTCGCTAAACAGGGCCTGGGCATGGTCAGAACACGATGCATCTGGCCTGTGGGCTGGGAGTTTGAGAGCCCTGCTCTACAACTATCCCTTCTTTGAATATTATTTCAGTTTTGATTTTCATTATACAATTGTGTGCATATTTACTCATTACTAAATTCGATTAGTTAATCCCACAATATTCTGTATATAGTCTTAAATTATCTACCATTCCTAATATTTTTCTCTCTAAAGTAAGTAGTTAGAAGTTCCTGATATTTCTAGATCTCTTAGAGATAGGTGCAGGAAAGTCTCCTAGTGCACCAATCTCAAAAATGCAGTTTAAGAGAACGGATTCTATGAAAAGGGTGTGACACAACACCGGTTGTATAGATGTTCTGGATGTTGTAGTCATGCAAACTGACAGAGGGCTTATTGCAATGTAGATTGGTACAAGTGAGGTTATAGCAGTTTTTAATGGTACATGGGCACATCAAATCCCTGAAGAAAGCCTGAGTGGTTGGCTACTCATTCATCCTCAATTACAATTAAACATCTTCATGCCAGTTGCTGCCCACAAATATTAATATGCTTCTGTGATCTTTATTTGGATAAAGGGAGTTTCAATTCTAATACTGGAATTGAAGTAAGAGATGAAAATGAAATGCCATGCTTTCAAACTTTTTTTTCCTGACAGAAGGCAACTGAGGATTTGGGCTTATATTCCTGAATCATCAGGGTGTGGCTTTCTTGATTTGTGGAACCTTCACAACAGATTTATGGGGGAACATGTACATTTTAAACAAACATTTAATTTCCATTTGTTTAAATTAATGAAAAATACAAGTAAAATAGTAACAATTCTTGAGACAATACAAACACTTTTCTTTCTTTTTATATATTATCCCTTCATTACAACTTACTGGCATTTTAACAATCACTCATATTCCATTGATTTTATAAATAAATATTTAAAAAGTAGATAACATAGATTAAAATATGGCACATCTTTATATATTTACCAAATGAAATATAAGTCTGTTGGATTACATCCTAGTTTAATTCAAAAATCAGCATATTAAAAATGTAAAATGTCTTTACAATTCCAGGAGAGGAACCATAAAAGGCATTCCGAGTGATGTAATTGTAATGCTTTGTCATTTTCTCCAGAATTCCTTTAGTTCCTATGTATATGGTAACCATTTAGTGCCCAGTTTTGCACTTCTCCACTGCTGAACAATGCAAAGAAAATAGCTCCAAATAAGTTAAGGGCAGAAGCAATATAAAACACGTTCCGCCATTCTTCTATAGTGTTCTGGTAAAAGAGGAATACAAAGGATGAATCAGTACAGCATGATGATGCTTAAGAGTGAGAAAAATCCTTTCCATTAAGATATTCTTTCAGTATCCTGTTTCAAGTCTTTTTGTTTTATCTTTTTTATTCTTAAGCTCATTTTTTTCCTTTTTCAATATTAGATGTAATTAACCTAGTTAACAGCTCAGCAATCTGCAACTTCCTTTAGGTGAAGCAGATCCATAGTTTAAAGATTGTCACAACTGAATTCACTAATATTTGGTATTTGTGCTAACTATTGTATCTAAGTAAAACTATCCACACTCGTAACTTCCCTCCAAAGAGCTTTATTGTTTTCTTTCCTATAGTTTTATTTCATCAAACTTGAGAGGAATAAAGTATGTGGGTTAAGATTACCCATTGAACTGCATGCATGGTTGAATGAAAATTCAGCTTTGATATATGCAATCTGAAATTGTGTCAAAATGATCACAGGTTCATACTGATACCATGACAAAAACTCCACTCTTGCATACGTGTGGCTTACACTCTCTTGCTGTTAAATAAACAGTTTTCTATCTTACTATAATTTATGTGATATCCCTCCATCCTGCCTCCACTGTAGATATCAGTTAAAGTGGGGGAATCCTGTTTCTTTTGGGGCATTATTTCAACTGTTTTAAAGACTCTAATCTTTAAAAAAAAGGCTGCCCATCTTTCATGAGAAAAGTGGACTAGTCAGTTTGGCCAAGATTAAAACTCTGTAGTTTGAAAAGGAATCTTAGAAATGAATTTGAGCAAAGCACAGCAAAATGGTAAGCTTAAATATGAATTACTAGTGAATATAGATAAGAAGAACATGGTGACTAAAGAAAGAAAGGAACTTCGTAAAAGTTAGATTGGGGAAAAACTACACACACAATTAAATACTTTGGGCTAACCCTTCAATGCTTTGTTTATAAGTAATTTATAAGTTTATAAGTTTACAAGTAATTCATAACTGGAATAATAAAATGTATAAAGAATCATGTGAATATTGATATAACTAAGGCATTTTAATTCTCACTGTTAAATAAAAATGCAATGCTATTTTACTACTATACAGCAGAAGTTTTAGCCAGGAAATTTGCTTCCACCTATTGCAAGATCTTTGTTAACAAACTACAGCACTTTCACTATGTAAATTTCCAAGCTCATAGACAAAGAGAGCTAGGACTAATTAACAATTATTTTAATTCCATGTTAGGTTATGGCTACTGTTTGACTTAGGCAGATTCTACTCTACCTTGCTGAATTACAACCTCAGGCATAATTAAATAGCAAGAAGTGAGAAGAAAAGGAAGATTCAATCATTTCTCTTAGAAAAAAGTGTAGATATCACACTGCCACTCTTGTTCAGGAACAAGCACCAAATTTAAGTAACCTCAGTTTACCACTACAATGTGTGGAAATGTGTGGAAATGGAATGTGTGGAAATGGAAAATAAGAATTTAGTTAAGATTTAAATGAGCTCATATTGGAAAGTACCATTTATTTCTGATTTAAAGCATTATAAGAGCCTTGGTAGTACAGTGGTTAGAGTGCAACTGCAAACTACTTCTGCTGTCTGCAATTTGGCAGATTGAATCCCACCAGGCTCAAGGTTGACTCAGCCTTCCATCTTTCCGAGGTGGGTAAAATGAAGACCCATATTGTTGGGGGCAATATGCTGACTCTCTAAACCGCTTAGAGGGCTGTAAAGCACTATAAAGCAGTATATAAGTCTAAGTGCTATTTCTATTATTCTCAAGAACTGGAATTTAAACTGTAACTTAAAAGTTAGATTTATTTGTGCAAAATAAACCAATGGGGAATTTGGCATATTTTCTCCAATTAAGCAAAAGGACAAAAGAGCTATAATTATAATTTATATATGTGGTTTTTATTGCATACATAAGTTACAGTCAAAGTTAAAACTTTAACCCTAGTTTCTAAAGATGCTTAATAATACACACTAAATTGTAACTGACATTCTTTCAGTATTATATTGAGAAATAAATGAAGAATTTTTTGAAGCTGCTTAGTTACAAACTTCTAGCTGTATGGCGCTTTTTTTAAAAAAAAAAAGTCAAAACATTATTGTGAATATATAGAAACATTCTTCAGAGGTCTGGTGTAAGTACTTTTTTAATTAATATTTTGAATTCATGTTTCCTGTGATTTCTCCTGATTATAGACTATCCTAATTTTATTTTATATTTATTTAACTTGGTTGCTGACTTTGGGAGTTACTTTGCACTGTTTTGTGAGAAGAATTATTTTAAAATAAAGAGATTTGTACTGGGAAATCTTGGAACATTTATTTTTTTTGCTAAAAGATATATTTTTACAGAGTTCTATCAAGAGCTTGTCTGATAAAAGAACAAACAGAATATTAAGGGAAAATAAATAATTGGCTGTATTTATTATTATGTAATTTAAGACACACTTGAGTCAATATTATTTTCTTGAAAGTATCTAGACAGATTCATGTGATTTTTTTTTAAAGTAACAAAATGCAGTTTAACAGTGATCATTCCTGGAATATTTTTCCAAATTCTCAGCCAGCCTACAATCTTAGGATTTTGTGGTGATTTCTTATCAAGTACAATGGTCAGCCTTTTGAGATCAGTAAGGGAATACAGTTACTACTCAACTAAGAATGGTACACAAGACTTTTTTTTACTTTATTAAAAATAAAATAAGTGTGACTTACACTGTGAGTCAGAGCTTTAGCAACAAGTGGTCCCACCATTCCTGGAATAGTACCAAATGTATTTGTGATTCCAAGGAGGATGCCAGCATAGCTAAGTTAATAGGAGAAAACAAGGGTTAGTCCTTGGAACTTTCCAGTCCTCATTTTTGCAATTCTTTTCCTGCCCCTTCAGAACCAGATTAAATTATATGTGCACTTCCACAACGGAGGAATTTTCTCAACAGCAGTCCAAGCATTTTGGCATCCAAAGCCTTCCTGACAGACTGAAATGGGAGACGAGAAAGAATTTCACACATGATTCATCCACTTGTCTGCAAAGGATTAGAAATGCTTCTCGTGTGTCCAAGGTTCTTAGATATTAGCATGGGGATTCCCACTGCAAATTAAATGGTCTCCCTCCAACTTCATTTTAGCTCAGATGTGACAGCTAAAACAAACCATACTTTCCAACAGCCTTGTTATTTAATAAATGCACATATACAGTAGATACCTATAGTATGCATACTGCAAATGTTAAGCACAAAGTCTATCTCAAAACAGCTCAGTGTAGCATTTCCTCTCAGAAAAAAGTAAGCTCTTCCTCCCATTAAGAAATGTCTTTAGTTCTATAATGTCTACAACTGGCCCCTTTCAACAACTATGCCATTTACAAGGGAATCTCCATACACACACACAAAAATGGTCCTTCTGGGAAAATATTACGAAACAAAGGATTGTCAGTCAATATAAATTATTGTGCATTGGTATCTGAATGCAGCTGGTATCTTCTAGATAATCTTGTACAATCTATACTTATATTCTCTCAGAAATACTATATAGATTGAAGATGTGGGGTCTATTTGATAAATAAAATGGTATAACTAGCTATTAGCATTGTAATACTTATAACATAATGGGAAAGTAACTAAATTATAATTTTAAAACAGCCAATCAATTGCATGTTTTAGAAGAAATATGACCTAGCGAAGCTTATAATTCATTTCTTAAAGGTGCCACAAGAATCTCTACTGTTTTTGTTGCAATAACAAGAATTAAAGCTTTAAATTTTGATGTGGTTATTGCTTGAAGTTAATATTTGAGATGTGTTTGCCACTCTCCAGAAAGTTTTAAAAAAACATGTTCAGTGTTCTGTGGAATTGAATGGCATTATGATCCCGTGTGTGTAGTGAGGGAAGCAAAACAACAAACATCCTCCCAAACACACAAAGCCCAAATGGATACAGAGGAGCATTTGATGATCCAGGAAGATGCTGTTATTATGAGAACTGTGACAAGTGAAAAGCAGGAGGATTAACAGCTGTACACATCTGTTTGTCCACCAGCTCCAGATGGCAAAGTAAGGGTAAGGGAAAGGAACATCTGGTAACTATGGAAGATTGGAGGAACCATGTTGGGGAAAGAATATTTTCCATTCATAACAAAATTATTTTCCCCCAACTTTTGTTTCTCTATATTTTTTTCATTCACTTTGGCAACAAAGAACTGTTCCCAATGGAGCTTTCAATGCTAGATTTATAAAATCTGCCACACCAAAATCTGTCTTTTATAGGAACATGCTGGGCAATGGTTTTCTCTGCCCAATACAAGGGAGCCAACTGCAAACTGTCCAGCAATTATCACTTGAGAACTTAAGAAAGTTTCTTCTGACTGAGGACACAAGAAACGAAGCCCAAGATTTGCTTTTTAAGTTTGGTTTTGATAAGTGTTTTTGGGTTCTCTTCATTCCAGCTGGGAGAAGCCATGATCAACATGGCACAGCATGCCCCAAATGGGAGCAGCACCTAGCAACAATTGTAGATAAATTAGCTTTTGTCACATGCACTGTAATATCTACTTTTATTATTTCTAAATTATTTTGAAAGAGTTCTGATGTTATCTTCTATTTGTCACTGTTCCTTAGTCTTCTCCATTTATCTTTATTCTTAATGGAAAATAAACAAAAATATTAAGGATGAAAATATTTTTTCTTTCATCACTAAGAAATGTCTACCAGGAAGGAATCTATAGTTGTCCTCTGATATTTGTACCAGTTTTGGAAAACATGCTCAATGTTGATGACAATAAAAATTCAACTTGTGTGAATCTCTTAAGGAATGACATGGTTTGCAACAATCTACAATGTCTAAAATCACTATCACTCTTCATTGAATTCTGTGCCTTATACATAGGATAATGAGATTATCTGTTTCAGGAAAGCTTAATTAACAGCTAGTAAAAAACATAACTAGTAAAAACCGTTAAAAAACTTACGATGGTGCAATATCCAAGTGGTTGATACTGTAACCTGATGTGGAGAACCCTCCAAGTGTTGTTGATATAGTTAAAAATACAACTGCCACTTCATAATTGCAACCTATAAATCCAGCCGCCATGAGGAATACTGCAGGTCCAATCATTCCTTAATTAAAACAAAAAATAGAAAACTTTATACAAGCACTGTCTATTAATTATGTTCACAATATTTTAGTGTAGTTTTGATTTTTGTTTATTTTATACAAGTAGTTATAGCTTTCATCTCTTGACCTGTAACAAAGGATCACTGAAGCATAATTTCACCATCTCTAAATAGATAACATTGTCTAAAATAGACAATAACTCAGCAATATCATAGTAATATTGTCAGGGAACAAGAATGGTAATACACATTCCTTGGAATTCATAAATGGAAACAGGTGTAGTCTCCTCTGATCCATCCAAGCTCAAAGAACCCACTACAGTATTATCAGCACAAGAAAGTCAATATGTTGGAGACATAGAGGATTAGTATTATGTAGACATTTGGAAACAAAGACAGCAGGATTTTAGAAGAAAGCAGGTAGAACAGTGAGCACACAAGATGAGGGTATTTGTAATTTGATAGCAGAACATATGTACTATGTAGAAAGGTTGAACTCATTTTTACATAAATTCCCAGTAACTGGAATGGATGTATATTTACATTTTTTTAAAATTGGAGTTTATTTCCGGTTTCTGGCAAAACCTACCCATTGTAGACAATAGGTTTGCTTTACGACTACAGTGATTGCTTTATGACCGTTACAAAAGTCATAAAATTGGGTGTAGTCATGTGGGGATCCACTTAATGTCCAGTACAATGTACAAACACTTCAGGCTTAATTATGGTTGTACATCAAGGAGACTACCTGTATAAGAATGCATCCTCAATACAGTGGCATTTCATGGACAGTTCAGCATATTAAATGGTAGAAATCTAACATCATTATTAAAAGATTCAAATTAATTAAAAACGATGGTGTTTGCTGAAGTAACATGATACTGTTTTTAATGGCTTGCCTAAATTACGCTTATGCTTTCTGCTAGCCATATTACAAAATGTGCATCAAAATTCCTGCTAGACGTTCTTGGAGGTTGTCTAAATATTTATCCATATGACTTTAAAGAAATCAACTGTTTTTTAATGCAAGCTAAGAGTATATTAATTTGTGTGTTCTGTGTGATACTTTGACATTGGCTGATTATTACTATTTTGCTATGATAAAAAACTAAAAAATTAAATTAGAAAATATTGACTGATTATCCTGCTTTCTATTGCCATCTAGTGTACAAAACAAACTTTAAAATTCAGATGGGGGTATCCTGCCTTTCACATTTTATACAATATCCAAGCTGTTGCTGCAGCTTTACTTAAATCAACACATTGAATCTATTTTAAAAATCAATTGGGTCAGTAAAAAAAAAGAATACACAAAGTTATTAACAGTCTTCATTGTGTTCAAAGCTATTTATTTTAAGACAAGGCAGCAAAGGCTAATGTAGGAAACAAAAAAATGTGACTAAAAAGATACCCATCTCCTTATCTAACAATCTCAAAATTAATTTCAGTTTGTTTCAAAGTATTTAGTTATCAAGGACAAAAGATTCAGAGGGAAGCAAGAACATGGCAGCTGTAGTTAAGCAAGTATAAGTAGCAGAAGCACATTGGTATATCTAAGTAGTCCTGGAGAAGATGATTTTCTGGACTTCAGGAGAGCTACTTTCTAGTTAGTACTATATAATCTACTTTGTATTATGCCATTGTATCAGGTGAGCAAAAGTTTGAATTGGCATAAGGCAGCTTCCTATCATTTTGAGCACTTATAATGCTAGCATGTTTTGCCCATGCTTTCCCTCACCCCCCCCCCCCCACAAAATGTTTCTAAAAATTTCAGGGTGATCCTTATCATTAGATGTTGAGAAGCACCAGTCTGGCAGGGAGGGAGCTCAAACAGGGAGTTAACCTAGAGTCACTGCACAAATGCAAAAGGGCTAAGACTTCTCCTCCCCCAGGTTTCTTAGAGCCTTATCTAATTGTTCCCAAGTGTAGACTGCCAGACTGGGGAAATTACAGGTAGAACATAATAATTAGGTTGCATTCTGCAATATGTGGGTCTAGTTGTTCACACCTGAAATTAATAGATGTAATTACCACAGGGAAATCTTATTTTAAGTGCACACATAGTCCTCTTAGATTGTGATCTTCACACATATGCAAGATATATTGGGCCAATCCAGGAAGGAGCAGGGTCCTTCTGACCAACTACTGTATTGTAATTGGAAAAGCTCATCTTATGTAAGAAATGCCATGTCTGGAAATGAATGGATGGATGGATGGATGGATGGATGGATGGATGGATGGATGGATGGATAGATAGATAGTATTACATTCAAAAAATTAAAGGGTGGCGTATCAAACGCTAAGTATTCTAAAATACCAACCAATTCACTTTCATTCTAGCAGTATTCTCAATGAGTTATAGACTACATTACAAACGTCTTTCTTACCTATTGCTGTAAATGTTTTGCGAACACAGACTGTTGACATATTTTTCTTTTCCCGTAAATAGTCTGCAAACTGACCACACACAATTATACAAACCCAGCAGCCAAAATAAGGAAGTGCAGATAAGAATCCATTCTGTAGAGGGGGGAAATGGTTGGGGATGGCTCTGTTATTAAAAATAGTTTGAACAGTTCTTTGTTGGATCATAGATATGATTTATGATATAACCATGAGTAATGTATCATATTTTTAGATATGATCATACACCCACAACACACCTATAGAGAGGATCACAGATTTAAAAATAAGCACAAACAGAAACAACATATTAATAAATAATGCAGGCAAGCGACCAGTAATTTATATACAACTTTTTGGGACTCTTTTGATACTGATCCATCTTCAGGTTACTTCATTCCTTCCAACCACCAAACAGATGTTTGACAAGATGAGAAAAATACAGCCTCTCTCTGGTTTCCTTCATTATAAAAGCTTATATATGTATATAATATGGATATGGAGCTTCCAGACAATTGTTGAAATTGCCTGAAGCCTTTGAGAATAAAGGCACCGCTGAAAAAGTACTTAAATGAAGTAACCTTTTTTAATGAAAAACAATGGAAAACAACTTAAAAAAATTAATTTTAAGTATGTGGCCAAGATGTAGCACCTGTTCCATTGGAGAACCATTATAAAAGACAAAGCTTTTTTTCATGATTCTGGATTAGAATGGATATTGCCATTGCCTCATTTGGTTTAGGTGTATTTTACTGGTAGAAAGGCAAATATTAGTTCAACAGCGCCTTTTAGATTTAAGGCACTGCAGTAAAAAAAGAAAAGAAACTCCCCCCCACCCACGGGCTGGATGCGTTACTCACAGGCCATGCCCATCCCAGCTCCACGAATGGGAAAAACATCATGAAGCATCACAGGACGGCAACGTAACGCAGCAAGTTTGACACCCATGATGTAAACAACATAAAAAGGGGAAAAAAGAAAGCAAGATTCTAAGTTCTGATTACATAATAGCTGAAGAATTTAAACTGCTCTGTCCTGTTACTAAGATTCTTCCCTTGTACTTATTAAGTATATAACCTTCTGAAGAAATGCAAGTATGCATCAGGCAATGTGGCAATAGCCAGCCACACCAACAGGCTGCAGAACAGTTTCTACCTGTGGGCTGTCAAGACTTCTGAAAATAACTTCATGCAACATAGTATGACAGACTTGCGGGGCCGGCAATAAGATCACATAGGGCAGGGGTCTCCAACCCCTGTCTGAAGAATTCTGGGAGTTGAAGTCCACAAGTCTTAAAGTTGCCAGGGTTGGAGACCCCAAAATAGGGTAATAAGATTGGGTCTAAGTTAGGGACTTCTGTCCTCACTGTGAGTTGTGTTTGTGGGGGGGGGGGTGCACGAAGGGAGGCTCAGCCAATCTCATTGTACACATGTTGTACTCTGACAATAAAGGTAATAAATAATCTGTAGGAAGCCAACATTTTGCTCCATTTTTGTTCCTTTTAGAATAGTCCACACAGAAGACATGACTACTTGTGAAAAGGCCCCACTAACAGAGTTCATAGTGTCCACTTATTACGATAATTTCATAAAAGAAATTCTCCTGGAGTACACACACGGTAATTTAACTATAGCCATATCCCAGGAAGATTATGTAATATTTGGTTCTTACAAACATCTGAACTTCTGTTGATTAGAAAGATGGACAGAAATGCAAGAATTGGGCCTAAGATTGGGAATCAAATTCTCATTCAATCTAGATATTAACTGAATTACTAATAATTAATACAGTTATAAAGCCGCCTGGATCTAGGCTCATGGTTGTACCACTTTAGGATTCAAGTTAATCTTTGTAACATTGGAATGCATAGGGTAGCTTACCTCCTGGACATCAAATCTCAAAATCTCCTTCATGTATGTAGGCAGCAGGGTAAGGAGAGTGTAGAATGTCCAATTATAAGAAAAGTGTGCAACAACAATGGCCCACAGTGGAACCGATTTCAACATGGCTTTCCAAGGCACAGATTTTTGGGTAGAAAGCTAAATGGAAAGAATACATTCAAAACCTTTAGATCTCAAGGAATTTAATTTTTAAAGAATCTGTTGTTAAGCATTATAAAGGATTAATTCTGATGTAACAAATTTTTGATACATAGATAAAATATAAAAAAACTAGGTTATATGATCAGGTACTGAATCTAAATCTCTTTCATTGGAGAATAGCTACCACCATTTCACTGTAGTCTGTATTAAGATGAAAATCATAGGTTTGAAGAACTTGTTTTTGAAGATGAATGGAATCCTTAGTTGTTCTTGTCTTTTAATTTTTTAAAAAATTAGCATGATTAAAAGGTACTACTTTTCTCTTTTATATATACAGTGGATATTTATACTTTATATTGCAATTAACCTGGATGATAACTTAAGTATTTACTGATGGTTCATACCTGTTGTGAAAGAGAAGACAAAATATATTCTTTTTCAGCCAGGGAAATTGTCTTGTGAGTTTCAGGTGTATTGCTAACCATACATATCCAGAAGAGGAACCACAACACACCTAAGGTACCTTAAAGTGAAAGAAAAAAAATGCTTGTGTTTAAGTTGAAGACAGGGAAAAAATGTCTATGGCTAGACTAATTAAAAATTATCTGCATGTGAATATAAGAGCCTTGTAATAATCCTTTGCAAGAAAAAAAAGATTGAAAAGTTACAGGGCATTTCAACAGCATTGTTTTTCTGTAATGTTTACAAGTTTGTGTCAATGTGTCCTAGTCATACCAAAACCAATTGTTAGCGCATAACATACAGTACTTAACACAGTAATTTTTAGATCTGTTGGCTCCAGTATGGCTAAAGGTGTTACGTGTAAAACGATAGCAGCTGAGAGAGGAGAAACACACACACACACACACACACACACACAGAAAATGCTTAGAAAATAGGATTATTACATAAAGGCTGAATTATTAAGGAAAATACAAGCCCACATCCCACGACTGCTTGGAATCATCAAATTTCTCAACCATTTGCATCTTCCTGACAGAAAAAATAAAATAAAACCACACAATCAAATCTCCACAAGTCGGTTAAAAAAAGCATCTGTACAAGTATAATAGTTTACATGGGTGCACTATTCTGGAATTAAACACAAAAAGCCTTAAGCAAAGAATTATGCTTTCAATGAGACTACTTACCAAATATGTAGAATACATAACTCCAATCTACATAAAAGCATATTACACCAGACAAGGGAAGTGAGACAACCGTTCCTAGCTGTGCACCTACAAATTAAAATATTTTTTTTAAAAAATGCTGACAGTGTATATCTTAGTAAACAAATTATTTATCAAGCATGGCTAAAATAATAACTGAGTTAAGGATAACCTTGGTTAAAAGCAAGGCCTGCATTATAGTGAGCCATGGCCTTGGGCACCAGCAAGAATACAGGATGAGGGAAGGGAAAAAAATTCATAGCCCACAGTCAACCATGGTCAAATTTAAAAATATTTATGAAATCTTACCTGCATATGAAATACTAAGAAGTTTACTGCGTTCTAACGGAGGAGCCCAATTAGACCACATAGCATGCATGGCTGGGAACGTTACACCCTGGAAAGTATATTTGTTTATCATATATACTATACTATTATATATATATATATATAGCCCAAAAACAAGATAATTGATAAAATACAATATTTTATTTTAATGAAATGTTTTTCTTCAATAAATCCTAGGAAAGTACTGGTTATATTAGCATGAAGCCATTTTCAACAAGTGCACATAGCTAAAGAGCAATTAAGCAGAACTTATTTCTTGCCCATCAGTCCTTCAGATAAAAATGTTTTTGGGAGTTATACTGATCGCTCAAGTCTTAGCCACCAAAATATTTCTTCTATCTAGACCATAAATACTGATATGTAGTGAAGCATGATGTAATGTAATCAGACAATGAAAGATTTTTTAATTTAAAAAAAACCCTTATTCTTAAATTTAGACCCCAGTTAAAGTAATGCAGAATTTAAAATGAAAACAAGAAGCAATAATGTTTAAGATGCAAGAGCATCCAAAGATGCAAAGGGACAATCCATTTTAGGATCAACTTCTAGGATACTTTTAAGAAACTAGTCTTTTCTTGTTCACTAGGGAATATTATGGGCCGAGTCTATTCTGATAACAGTTGTCACTGGATGCTTCTCAAGACAACTAAACAATATTTTATTATGGTCAACTCTTGAATAGTCTGCTCTGCTGATATTATTTTTAAAGATACTCCAATGAGTATGGCATTTTATTTATTTATTAAACGTTTATGCTTCCTATTTCCCCTGTAAGGTAACTCTGGGCATAATTTTGCATCATGAATCTGATTTAATGACTAATCTATTTTGTGCTCCAAAATATTGAGAACTGCAATGAAAACGATTAACTGCGACAAAAAAGAAAGTCCTTCATTAAATATTATAAGGTACAAATGAAGCTGAAATTTGTCTTCATGCCTTCACTTTGGGGATTCATGTTCTTTGCATATTCTTTGCTCATCCTTCCCAGGAATACCTTCTACTAATATGAGGCAGCAGGACTGGAGGGTTGGATTAGATACAGAACAGTATACTTCATATCTACAATTTTTCACAAAGAAGGTACTTTACACTCCACACGCTTGTCTTTACAAATAGTACAGTTACACTCACAAAAAAACCCACATTATTTTCATAATTTTCATGTGGACCTCAAACTGACAGAAAAGAAGAAACACTCAAGTTCCATATCTAAGTCCAACATGTTGAAGTTCTGTGACAAGATTTAAGAGAGTGTGGAGCCAGGAGATACTCATGTCAGAAAAATAATGAAAAGTGGTGATCAATTGGGTATTTCCCCTTCTTTTCCCACTTTTTTGCCAATATCAAAGGAAAAATGAGAAATTACCTCACCCAAACCTTCTAAAACTCTGACTGCTATGAGGAACCCAGCTCCTAGATCTGCTGCTAATGGTGTGAACAAGGTGAAAACAGCAGTACCCAAGATGCCAAATCCCAGCAGCAGCTTTGCCCCAAATCGGCGTGCCAGATATCCCCCAGGAACCTGAGTAATGATGTAGCCATAGAAAAAGGACCCAAGGATCCAGCCTTGCATATCAGCACCCCAAGGATAGCTTTTTCCCTAAAAAGAAAAGAGGAAGAGGCAATATTTTCTACACCATAAGAGAAAAAATGTATTGAGTTCCCCCGCTCTTTAATAACATACGATCCTTTGTCGACTTTGCTCCCAGATACAGCCTGGTTAACAAATCCCATTTTCTGTAACAGTAATCTCTGTGCTCATTAGTATGACATACATGAAAAAAGCCTCTTACAATGTATATCCACTACAGAAACAACCACATAATTTTTTACTGTTTCCTAAGTTAACTATTACAATATATCAAAGAGAAGTGCTATAAAATTTTTAAATAATGTAAATAATATATGCACTGTTTTGGAATCCTTTTCTGGCTGTTTTTTTATTTTTTATCAATGCATTCAATTATGTTACCATGCTTGAAATACAAGACATTACACACTTTTGTTAGCAGTCCAAATGCACATAAATAAAAGAAGTATCTTATACTAAACTTGATCACTAATATATCTCTGTTCTCTGTCCCTGGTCTAAGATATTAGCGGAGCCTGATATATATCATGCTAAGATAAGGGATAGTTTATTAAGAATCATAATTGCATTGTATCATAAATCTGTATAAGATTGTGTTACGTTTCATGTATTGTTAGTTCCCCAAAGTCAGCAGGACAATACACTCTCTATGTATAGTACAGTGTTTCTAATATAATAAGGCTGGGTCTTTTTTTTTTTTGAGCCCCGAAAAAATGGCTAGGTCATCTTTTGGGGGGTGACTTAATTCCCCCCCCTTACATCTTCGGGTGGGCGGGTGGCGATGGCTTGGATGTTGACCTTGGTGTTGGTGGGGCACTTCGTATCGGGGTCAACGCAGGCAGCACCATATCCGGATGTGCAACAAGAGTACTTCCTAACGGCAAGCCCCCCTCACCATTCCACCCCATTTTGCATGTTTTAATATAGGCCTTAACTTGGGGGGAGGGGCTTAATTTCATTTCATGCCTATAAAACATGCTGGGACTTCCTATTGGGGGAGGCCGTATTGTTGGAGAAACAGGGTACACACTTCATAAGGGGACTTATTCAAATCCAAAACTTGACATACAATGCAATCCTATACAAATGTAATCTGATTTGGGTTCCTTGACCCTTTATTCCTTGATTATATTTACAGGATTACAACCCAAATATGTTCAGTTAAAAATGACTACTTCCGCTTGCCAGCCTCGGTGACAGCAGGGATTTGCATTTCTTCGCGATCCCTGCTGTGCTCACCGTCTTGGTGCCTCCGATCCAGATGGATTTGGAGGATAAGGCTGCCTTGTAGAGACAGCCGAAGATAGGGAGGATCTGGGAAGGGGTATGGGGGTGCCGCAGACTCCCCCCACACCCAGTTTAAACCTCCTCTCAAGACGATGTAGCGACGGTCTTATGGCTGCCATGAAGAGGCTGGCATCCGGGAAAAGATTGCGCAGGAGGGGTGCTGAAGGAGGGGAAAAAAAACAGAGAAAGCTTTTGGCTGAACCGGGACAACAATTAACATCTGAATACCCTGGAACTTTGGCTTTTCAAGTGATATATTGTTTTCCAAAGGATCGTTAAGCTGCGGTGGAAGAGTAAAGGGAAGACTTTTTTTTTTCTCCTCACTTTCCTTCCCATGGAGGCAACAGATGGAAATCCGAAATACCCGTATTGGCAATAGAAGGTATTAACTTTCAAGATTGAAGCCAAGGGGAAATTATATTTTCAAATATTGACTCTTTAAAACTCAAATCTTTTTGCTTTAAGGGGGAAGGAAGAGAGATAAATGATTTATACTAACGTTTGTTGAAGGAGACTGCTTGGAGTTTTATAAGATTAGAGACTAAACTGTAATAAAACTTCCAAAAAATGTCTTGGAATTATGTAATTGAATTCTCCCCCAGGAAGAGCAAATGACTTTGGGACTTTAACTATCTTTTGAAAGACTAAGAAAACATTTGGACTGCTTAAAAAAAAAAAAAAAAATCCTTTTCTGTTCACAATGGTGTCTTTTGAAGAATTGAAAATGCAGTTTGAAAAATTAAGACAAGAGGAAGATGGCTCTTTTGGATCTATTTTTGGCTTTATAGAAATGGCGATTTGTGCTTACCAGGAAATGCAACAAGAAAGAGGCTGGGACGATGAAGAAGAAGCCATCTTTAATGGACATATGATTTCAAAAAAGGGTAAAAAGGAGAAGAAAATCAAGAATTTAAGCTCTAAAAAAACAATTAAGAAAGGGAAAAGAAAGGTGAAAAATCGATATAATGATAGAAAGCAATGGAAAAGAGGAATGCAACAGAGAGGGGAGATTAAAAAGTGGGAGATTGAGACGGGGGGGGTAAAAAGGCTAGATTTGACAAGGAAGGAAGAGACAAAGCAAAGGGAAGTTATAAGGACTTTAAACAAGATGTTGTTTGTTTTGTTTATAAGCAACTTTTTTTCAGAGACAAAGGGTAAAATAAAGTTTTAATAGAGATTCTGCAAAGGTACACAAGATTGCATTTTATATTTGTATTTGAAATATATGTCAATAAAATATTGTAGGGACTGTGTAATTGATGTGTACTTAACTAATTTGGTAGGGAATACTATTTTTAATATCTATAAGAATATTACGTTTTTTTTAAATGTTATTTAGAATGTACTAAGCAGAATCAGAATAGAAATAATGCTTAATTTTAAGCGTTGAATTTGGGGGGGAAATAGAAAGGTGTCATACTTCAACCAGTTATTACAGGGACAAGATTGTGTTTAAGAGAAAGATAAATGGATGATTGAAAAAGAACGGACAAAAAATACAAGTGAAATGATTTAAATTGAGATTAAATAAATAAAGTAGAATTAAGAGAGTGAAAAGAGGGGAGAAGATATCTGTAAAATGTAGAATCTTTAACAGGATATGAAATAGTATATAAGCTGAGCATGAATTTAATTTAAGTCTGTACCAAAAGTTATAACCCGGGGTCAAGCCGCTTTCTAAAAAGAAGTTTTATATTTTTTATGTTATGTGTTTGTTAGTTTATATTTGCTTATTGAGGAGTAATATTGGATAAGAACATATGAAATAGTAACAATATGAAATATAGTAAGATGAAATATATGAATGAATAAAACCGAATAGAAATAAAGGAAGAAACAGTAAGAAGGTGGAAAACAGTAATAAGATATGAAGTTGAATATATAAGGTGCTTATTAAGTTATGTGTGGAAATGTGATAATTTAGAATTATATTGTACTTAAATGAGATGTCTTATTTGTTTTGTTAAGTAGTTGTCGGAAAAGATGTCTTATGTTCTTATGTCTTATGTTTTGTTTGTGTACTGTTTTTTTTTTTTTGAAAATTAATAAAACTTTACAAAAAAAAAATGACTACATTAGTTAAAAGAAACAGCAGGGCGTCTTTTCCAAGCCTTTTCACACAACAATGCATCTTTTGGAAGGTTGAGGAGCTAACATATGATAGGTGTTGATTTTTATCGTTTGCAGAGATCTTGTGGGAAGAAAAGAAACGTGTCAGTCAATAAGAACTTGCCGAAGCCTATTGGCATCCCAGTCTTCCATTATAGATTTAATTCTTAACAATTAAGTGCAGCTCACATTTTCAAAAATAAACTTGTTAAAATTACCGTAGTGTTACGAGGAGCTACTGGAGTGGAAGAATGCTCCGGGCACACATTTGAGGTGATATTCTTGTTCAAGCTTGTATTTAGTTCTATCATGTCCACTAAGGCAACGCTTAAATTCACACGAAGTGCATACAAGAGGAAGAATCCAAAGAAGGCCCATATTGCTAAACTGAGGCGAGCAGAACACCATAAGGGCACTAAAAGAAAAAAAAAAACACATAATTGTTAATAGCATTTCCTTCCAAGGACAAATAATCCTTGTAGTCTTGCTCAGCTGTAATGTTTAACCAGATAGAAGGGTCAATACCATTAAGATTACCCTACTTCTGCAAGAAGCAAGACATAAAGCATTTTCTACTCCATTTATCTCCATCAAAGAACCATAGTAGTGGATTAAGTAAGACTGTACATGGGAGTAAGTAACTGATTCACAATAAAATAAACAGACTTAATCAATAGAGATAAATTATTATGACAGTTCCACATGGCAGATAGGAGAACTGATGCTGGATTCACTTCGATAATCTTCTGGATACAATTCTACATCTGTCTCCACCTCATCTCCAGACTACTAATAAGAACATGTTTTTATTAGCAAAGTTTCCCTTGGTTAAAATCAAGGCCTCCAAAGGAGAGACAGTAAGGTCACCACTAGCAGATAATCATCTACAGGCCTTGCCTCTGATATTAAGGGCAGCAAGAAACTACGGTAAATAGATCAGGATAGGGTGAAGCTCCTGGTGAAGCTTTAATTTTATCAGAGACAGTAAACACTAATGGAGATGGCGTGGCTCCTGTTTGTTTATTTACCTCAGAAGCATCACAATTAAAATACTATATGACATGAAATTTGAAATACAAGTTTAAATAGGTGGGCTCCTATCTCCCCAGGTATCATATTTTACTGTCCATAGACTCGAAGTGAAAAAGTTGAAAGTCCTGTTTGAGTGCTCTCAGCTCACATAATGCAATCATTGAGAATGATGATTGATGACAAGAAGGGATGCAAACTTGCAACACTAAGAACAAATGGAATCTGAAAGTTAAATTGAATTCATGGTCATCTCTTAAAAACATAAGAGCATAAAAGCTGCAGGTAACAAACATTTTACTTGCTTCTTGGATTGATTTATATAGTTGCCTAACTCACATAAGTGACTCTGTGTGGCTTACAAATATTAAAATTATTGAAACAGCAAAATCCTTTGAATGGCTTCTTCAGGAAACCCAGACTAAGCACTCTTTCTAGTAGCAATTTTTGGCAAAATTTATTCTATAAATCTGCAGTTCTCCACCCAAATTCATGGTACCATGATATCACTTGCTACACATTCACTATTTCAACCTTTTTAGAAGGTGTAATGATTAGTAGCTATTGTTCTTTCTCTAATCCTTCCAGCCTTAAAAATGAATTTACTCCTTTATAAATAATGAAAAGTTTGAACATTAAGTCCAAGTAGATTAAAATCATATAGATGCAGGTTTCATTTTACAGGGAATCAAAGGACTATGGATTTTAAAAGATTTGTTACATGATATTAGCAACAGCCTTCCTAGTAGCATTTAGGTTACAAAATAAAACTAAATGAATAGAAAATAAATTTGATGCCACGTCTAGTCAATAATACACAAAGTCTAATAAACAGAATCAAATAATAAGTGTTATAAACTTCATATTCTTCATATTTTACAAAACTGAAATCAAGTATATTATAAAGTCTATTGTAATTCTAGTACAATTATTCAAGGATAGGTCTAACTGGAATAAACAGAAGTAAGGAACAGAAACTTACAGTATTACAATTCAAAACAAACATGAAAAAGTCTCCCTTTTTGACAAGCCATATACTGTATGTCTTAACACACCACTTATTGTTCTAATATACAAATATACCAATCATATTCATCATCATCTTGCTTTAACTATACATAAAACAAAGAAAATACTATTTTTCCCTGAAAAAAATTAAATATAATAGCAAACTACTTTTTTTTTCATTTTGGAAAAGATTTTGACTTGTACCATTTAATATAAATAACCTTTCAAAATTAATTTCTTACCTCCAACATCCAAGGAAGCTTTTGTTTTCGCAACCAACCTCGTTTTCATATTCATATTGTATCACTTCCTAGTTACTGTTGCACCAATTTATTGAAATGTTCTAGGATCATTACTTCCTGTAACTTCTTTGAGGAAGCTGCTGTCTATTTTTTTTCAAGCCTAAGCTAGATATAGCATATTCTTCAAAGATAAAATCTTGCTATTTCCATACAAAATGTTAATAGTACGTAATGCTTTTTAAGCATGCTAATGGCACTAATATGCTGCTGTTCATAAGAGACGCTAACCTGAATCTTTTCACCAATTACACTTACACTTTCCCTCCTCCCAGTTCTACTTCTCTGCTGGGTGTGGAATATCCTGTTGAACAGCTGCAATTTTTTTCAGCAACTTCCTTCCTTTTCATTTTCCCTATAGTTTATTTCTATTGATTCCTATGCGGATCTGTGCATACATGCCCACCCACGAAATAGACATCTACTTTGTACTAAATGGTTTGCTTTAAGTCAACCTACGTTTCTTAGCTCTATTTACAATTTAGCAACATAACCTATCGATCACAAGCAGTCATTTCCTAATGTGTGACGAAATCAACGACAATTTCATGGATACACACAGGCATGGAAAGAAAAGGACCTTGCTTTTATTTATTTATACCAATCCATACACACATGCAAAGTTCTATCAGTATAACTTTAGTTACAAAAACTATGAAATGAAAGATTAGCCTAAGAAGGGGAAAGACACATATTTCAGTGGATTTTTTTAAAAAAATACACTATAATTGTAATGCTTTTTTCATTGTGTCTTGTAGAAATATGACATAATCGTCTATGGTGACTCATAAGACTACATTTTTTTATAAGCTGGTTTTAACTCAGAGTTAACTGTGGCTTGTGGACTAGATAAACAGTGAAACAGCTGTCTGAAAGACACAAGAACTACTTCAGGCAGGGAGATCAAAGTTCTAGAATTTTGTGTCCAATAGTAACCAAACAGATCCTTTAGAAGCTCAGAGGTACAACAAGCATGTTATGAAAAATATTGCAACTACACTACAATGCTAGTACCACAGTAAGCTAGAAAAGAAAATTCTATGTATATGTGTTGTAAAAGCATATATATCCTGTCATTCTTCCAACAGTACACAACAGTAGACAATTGTATTCTTCTATTAGCTGAATGATAGCAGCTAATCCTAAATCATCTATGGAAGAGCTTCACAGATTTTAATGAGGGATGTGCACAAACGATAAGAATCTGCCTAGTTGCTCATTTAATCATTCATAAAATACTGAACTTCACCACTTGATACATTTTGGGGGCAAATTTGCATTTAAAATCAACATTGTAGTGACTTTTAAAACGATTATGCTCAGTAGATTTTTAATTAAAAAAAGAAGGTAGGATAAAACTCATTTTCTGATAAGTACAGATAGTCCTCATTTGATGGCCATTCATTCAGTGACTGTTCAAACTTATGATGGTGTTGGACAAGCGGTAGTTACAAATGATCCTTGTATGCGTGGCTCTTTCAGCATCCCACAGTCACATGATCACGATTTGCTACTTACCCTGCCAATTTGCCACAAGCAAAATCGATGGGGAAACTTGCAGGAAATTGTAAGAGCACAGGCACATGGTTTTTCTACTTACAACCACATTGTTTGACAATAGTTTCTGTTCTCAATTAGCTTTGTTAAGCAAAGACTACTTATAAGTACATAACATTAAATACCGTACTTTCCATTTTTAAGTTTAGTCCAGAACAATGTGACTGAATTCACTGTACTTAGAAGCTAATGCTTTCAACCACTGAATTATGACTTCGTATTTTAAATTAGTTTTCTGTGATAAGCACTACTTTCCTTGTATTGCTATGTTTAATCATACCACACAGAAAACAAATTGTTTGAAATTAAAATACCCTAAGGTATCACCCCATTATTTTAAGCTTTTTTCTTTGATCAGGTGACTTCCCCCTCCAAACCACAGCAACAAGGAACTTTTGAAATTCCTTGTAGTTTTGAAAGAAGTTTGCCATGTGGTTTAAGGCCTTGCTTTGGACAAAAACAAAGTAAGCAATTTGGGCTAATTTGCTGTCCTAGGTAATTGCTAGCTAATTGCGAGGCTTTTGTATTAAAGCTATTAACACAGGAGGTTCTGTTCCACACTTAGCTCAGGACACTTTTTAGGTGACCTGTCTGAGAAATATTCAGTGTGCTTCACAAAGTTGTTTCAGAGATAAAATTAATTAAAATTAGTGCATCAAAACTCCCTGTTCCCAATTGCATTCTCAGATTTGTAATTCTTTGCAAGGTTATAGGAACAAATTTAATGAACTGGGTGTTTTATGATCCATTCAACCTGCCTTGAATTTTGCTTTCTTTTGAATACAGATGTTGCATTTATTTAATTATATTCTGGTATCCTACTCCTAAATATTAATAATAAAGCATGTTATATAGATACTGTAACTTTTCAGACCATGCTCCTGTGAATGTCATATCCCTACTTCACAATAATTTAGTACATTTTTAAATAGTCAATCTTATCAGCTTATCATATGGTATTCCACACCATATCTTTGGTACGGAATACTTCAAAAGTCTTTCAGGTCATACAGTACCATGCTTCTCTACTGTTGGCAGAAAAATATTCTTATGTATTAGAACTTCCATAAAACAAATTGTCAATCCTTTTTCATCATGTTTTGGAATTCCCAATAAATACTAGTTTCCCAGCAAGAATAACCTTCTAAGAACATTACTTATCATAAAGGATCTTATCATTAGTTTCCCAGCAAGAGTGACCTTGTTAGAAAATTATTCATGGTGAAGGATCTTATCATTAATTTCCCAGCAAGAGTGAACTAAGAAGAAACTTTCCAGAAGAAACTTATCACTCTTAATAAACTAATCACAGATATTTCCACAGGTCTGTCTTGGCTGCTAATATCCTTTAGTAACTTTTAGACCAGGGGTGTTCAAACTTGACAGCTTTAAGACTTGTAGACTTCAACTCCCAGGATTCTTCCTCCAGTCATGTTAGCTCAGAAATTCTGGGAATTGAAGTCCACAAGTCTTAAACTTGACAAGTTTGAAGACCCTTGTTCTAGAACCAGGGGGTGAATAAACCCATTTTTCTCAATAGTTACTGGAATTTTCACTTTAACAATCATGGCAAAAAAAAAATTAGTTGCTATCCCAGATAATTTTAAAAATAGGTCCTATGTGAATGCCAAAATAATGATCAAGTTTATTATTGTAATAATAGCTGCTACAGGAGCAATTTATTATAAGAAAACTAATGCAGATACCTGTAGTATCTAGAAAATGTAATGATTATCCAACTACAATGGAATCTTCTCCTGTAGTCACATTTTATATTTTCGAAAGTGTTCCTACTTTCATTCCTTCACATTATTTCAAACAAAAGTATAAATACTTCTGAATAATATTTGACAGGGGTATCCTTCAAGATTTCCACTACATGAAGGTGGATTTAATTTTCTGGCCCTTCAGAATTCATTAGACATTTTAGCTTTGATGGGATAAAAATCCAATAATAACAAATATGATGCTTTCTTTTTATTTTGTGTTTAAGATTAACTGTTAGGAGAATGAGTACCTGTATATACTTATAAACTTTTCCATTGCTTGGCAATAAATAACATGTTAAAATTAATTTAATATGTAAATTCAGATCATAAGAGAATCTACTAGCAGTGACTTGCCCAGAATAACAATTTTCTATGTTATTTTTGATATAATAACTGAAATTGCTATTGTTTGTGAAAGAATTTTAAAGCTTTGCTATCATGTGAACATATTTCTACTTTCAATAGAAAACAGTTCAGAATGTTTGTGACTTTTATAACTTCATCATACTGAGCACACGAATGCCATTTTTTCCACACATTTTACAGTAAATAATTATGCTACAATTTTATATAATTGCAGTAACCCATTTGGCTAAAATGGCAGCAACCACATTTTTCCTCCCAATCTGAAGACAGGAAATTAGACTTTTTACCCTTTCTACATTTATTTATTAGATATTTATTTATTATATATTTTCAAAGGTAGCCAGAGATATTTAAAAACCTCAAACAATTTATTTTTATTTAGGCTAGAGAAGGGGATTGAGAACAATCTTGCCAATTTGTCTTCTAACTGAATCTGAGGTGTGAAAGTTTTAATTATAGTCACATTAATTAGTGCCATATTTTTTTAATAAGAGGAGGGTGTTAAAACATTATTCATAAATGAATGAATTTGGACAACACACCAGCCAAGATTTGTTTAATATCAGTCACTTGTTTTCCTGGTGTGCACTTAGCCCTCCCCATTCTGTTCTCATTTTATCTTTTCGTACAACTTTGTGGATCAAAGAGACAGTTAGGGTTAGGGTTTTATTAATTGTAATAGATTTGAAAGTAAGTAAGTTAAATTGCAAGGCAGCAAATAAAGTAAACCATATCTTACCCTAGATTCTATGTTGCTTAAGTAACATGGGATCTTCTTTATTATATGTAGTTTACCTCTGTGTGTACTTATATGTAGTTTACCTGTGTATGTATAATTTACCATGAACATGTCTTGAAACATCTGTGTTAAAATAAATTGGTCATTTCCCACCCACAGAAGTTATGTCTTCTGTATCCCTACCAAATTATGCCCCCCTTGTGGAAAATCAGTGCAATTCTCTTGTTATTTGCATGGAAATAATGGTAGAGAAGGTACATATTGAAGTAACCAGACAATAACTAGAGTGAGAAACCCTATGATGTAAGGCAGCTTCTTCTATGAATGAATTACTGTAAATTAATGGGAAAAGATACCATGGCACTGACCTGCAAGCAAAACAATCTATTCTGTTTTCTTATACTGTATAATTATTGACCAGGGACAATTAGCAGTTGAAGAAGGTGGAAGTGATCCTTTCTTGCTAACATTTCAGAGCTTTTATATCCCATATTTCCTTTTACTATTGCCTGCAAGCATTTTACAGGCATATCTGCCTAAATATAAGGTGCCTCAATAAATTCGGTCGTCCACCACTCTTGGGTGCCTCTGCTCTGGTAGCAACTTGTTCTCTGAATGACTCAGGAGTTAGCACCGCCGAATCCGACGGGATTCACTCTTTAAGCCGAGGTTAGTGTTGTTTTGTTTAGTGACCAAGCAGCCAAAACCTCCCATTAACAGAGGCACTCGCGCCTTCTCCGGGGTACTTAAAAACGGCGACGCGCCCACCCAACACGGGTCTTTCTTCAGTGTCACCGAGTTAGAGGCGAAAAACAGAATCGCGGGAGCCAAAGAAGAAGCAGCTAAGAGGTTCCTTCAGTGGCGATTCTTACCCTCTTTGGAACTGGGTTGAGAGTCGGACAGTAAAAGTGGAGTACGGTCCTCCTCCTCTTTTGCCTCTTCTGGCTTCGGAGTCTGCATGTCGCCTTGCTCCGGACTCCAAAAGAACCCCACTGGCCGGTCCCCCGGGCTAGAAAAGCAAAGCGCCAGGAACCGGCACGTGATCTGTGTCACGTGACCTGGATCGAACACAAATACGACCAGTCTGAAGATTCAGCCCCCGTTGGCCGGCTTTTCTTCCTGCTCCGCTTCTCGTACTCGGCCATCTTTAGTGCTGGCATGTTGACAAAAGGAAAGGTGCTGTGGGGAGGGAAGGAGGGGGAGTTTGCGGAGGCGTCATTCAGCCGTGGAAACTGAATGGTGTCCGTACCTGCAATGTTAACAAACATGACAGAGAGCGAAAGACTTGCCCCATAATGCCAGCAGGTGGCGGCATCTGTCCCTTGACTGCTAGAAATTAAATACTTATTGAAAAAAGATGTTTATCTTTCAATCGAGTGGTTCCCAAACAAAAATTAAAAGACAACATTAAATGAGATAAATCTCTATCCTTGCACCAATTCGTTCAATTGCTGCACTGGTCGAAAACAATAGTAAAAAGAAGCAATAATACGTGGATTTGCAAAAGAAAAAGCATAGCGTGGAGTCTGATCCTTTACTGAAATGCTGAGAATGAGGCAGTGTAATTAACCCTTAAAATTAGAGGAGGATACCATTCTGAGATAAAGTATCAAGGCAGCTAACACCTGTAGAGGAAGACTTTTCATCTTTTCCCATTGTCTTTTGCAGAAATAGTTCTGCCAAAATACAGATTGGTTCTTGCACTATAAATATTATAAAACGTCCTGTTCTTATGAAGTGAACAGAGGCCTTAACTTTCCAGATAGAAGATCACATGGAATATTTGTAATTATTTACTACTAGGCATTCGGGACAATGTGACAGTGTTGGTGTAGAAATATAAATTCAAATCCTTCCAGTTACGTTACAGTTTGCCAGGTGCCTTTGGGACAGTCCCCTTTTTTTATTGAAGAAAAGCAAAGAATGATAAACATTATGACAGGACTGGGGAAATCTTTACCTTTTATGTAATAAAAAAATTGGAAAAGTATTTCAGGTGCAATACAAGGTGGTGTATTTTTAAAATCCTAACTGATGGCTCAACAGATGTTATCTAAACTACAATATTAATATTCTTCATAAGTCAGATTTTTTTTGCCAGAGGTGTAATTCTATAATTATTGAAAGGCTACAGAGGAATCTATTACTAATTTTGTGATACATGCCTAATTTTTAATGAGCTTTCTCTACTAAAATAATCATGCCTTGTAATTAAATCTGTAGAGAGGCTTCGTAAGTACAGTTGTCAAACTCGCAGCATCACATTGCCATCATGTGACGCTTCACAATGTTTTTTCCAGAGTTGGGATCTGCATGGCCTGCGCTTGACACATCTGGCTAGTTTGACACCCTTGTTTTATACTTATAGCATAGAAGAATGCTTTCCTATATTGACCCCAACATCATCTTCTTAGTGTTTTTCTCATAGGCACAGGGTCTGCTTTTTGGATCAACAATAGAATACCTTTTATTGTCATTGCATTCCATGAATACAGTGAAATTTGAAAGCTACTCCAGCACAGTGCCCCAAACCACATCACAATCATACTGCAGAGTAAATAATAATAATAATAATAATAATAATAATAATAATAATAATAATAGACTAAATCACAAATGCACTTTGATTCAAGACAATCACTGCCTTGGAAAAGAAACTGTTTCTCAATAAAATCTATTAGTCCTCATTTTAAGACACCTATAACGCTTCCCTGATGGTAACAGTTCAAAATATGAATGTCCAGCATGAGAATGGTCTGTGGAGATTTTTAGTGTTCTATAGAGGAGTCTAGTCTTCGCAATCTCTTTCAAAGAAGAAAGAGAGCAACCAATGATTTTTTTGTGCTGTGTTTATAACTCTCTGGAGCATCTTCTTATCCACTGCAGAGCATCCAGCATACCACACCATTACACAGTATGCCAAAATGTTCTTGATGGTAGAATGGTAAAAAGTAACTAGCAACTTCTCACCCAGACCACTCTTTTTCAGCAACCTCAGAAAGTGCAGGTGCTGTTGGGCCTTCTTTGCAGTGGTCATAGTGTGGACCGACCAAGTAAGGTTGTCAGAAATATGAGTTCCTAGAAATTTAAAACTATGAACTCTTTCCATATAGTCTCCATTGACATATAATGGGAGAGGCTCTGCTTTGCATCTTCTGAAGTCTACAATAAATTCTTTGATCTTTTTGATGTTCAGGGTGAGGTGATGACTCTTGCACTACAAGACCAGTCTGAGAACCGCTGACCTATAGGCTGTCTCATCTCCTCCTGATATGAGTCCCACCAACATGGTATCATCTGCAAATTTTATTATAGAGTTAGTGGGACAAGAGGGAGTGCAGTTGTAGGAGTAGAGTGAATACAAAATGGGGCTCAGTACACAGCCCTGCGGAGAGCCAGTGCTGAGAGCAAGAGTGGAGGAAAAATAGCTGCCAATCCTAATGGTTTGGGGTCTGTTAGTAAGAAAGTCCCTTATCCAACAACAGATGTGAGAGGAGACGCCCATTTCCAGCAACTTCTTAATCAGTATATCCAGAATGATGGTATTAAAAGCCGAGTTGTAATTAACAAAAAGTATCTTGTATGATCAAATTCAGCATCCAGGCCATGTCTGCATTTTTGACACATATGGCTGTAGATCTATTGATCGCAACAAAAAACTGACTGACCGGCTTATGAACAGGGCCTATATTAGTTTGGTCTGTGTTAAGCTCAATGCCACCCTGGCAGGCAGGCATTATCCAGCAGCACCACTGGGAGGAGCAGATCTCACCACCATGTTGATCCCAACTTGTGAAAGATATTTGTTCCAGAATTAAGTTTAGCCCTTTTAGGAAAGGTGTCAAGATACATCAGGAACAGTAGGTTGATGATTGTCAGCATTCTTGGATGGGTTGCACTTCTCCATATTTGAACTGGTGTGCAGCTTGGGGTTCTCCTGGCCTTTTAATTACTGTTTGGCCAAACAGGTGGCAGTCGTGACCAGGAGGATCTTTGCATGGGTTCATCTTACGTGCCACTTGCCCTCTTTTCTTGAACAGGAGGCAGTTCAGATCAATCATGTCTTGGGCTTATAATTACAATTTGCTGTCTATGGGAGTATCATAAGAGGCCCTTGTCATTTTACCATGTGTCATTACTGCTATGTGAGCTGTATTTGTATCTACCTGGCTTCTGGGTACAATTCAAGATGCTGGTTATCACCTTTAAAGCCTTTCAAGGCATAGTGGTTGGTTTATCTCCTGTTGTTCCAGATCCATTCAATTAAACATTGTCACTGTATGGGACCAAGGAAGTATGCCTTCTCTGTTGCTGCCCCTCCCTTCTGTATTAGCATTCCCCCAGAGATGAATGTACCATAATTTCTCCTGGGACTCTTTAAAAAACACCTAAAGTGTGCAGCTGAACAGTCCCGATAAGGACCATGGAGTAAGAGGCTAGATGCATGTTTTCTTTGCTCTTTTTTTAAAAAAAATAATTAGGCCAACACATTTTTAAATGGCTAAGCAAACATACTGCATACATTGAAGTTGGCATGTCTGATATGAGCACATCAGGATAGTTTAGATTAGAACACTCCACCGCCCTTGCCTCTTTATAGAACATTACATCAACTTTCAAGTGTTGTTCAGATGCAGAAGTTCCAAACAGCTTATGTTCCTGCAAAGTAGTAATCCTAGGACAACTCATTTTCACAAATAAGTCATTTTTTTCATCAACATGGACATATTAATGAATGATTTACCAGAAGGCAAATCAGTCAGAAACTAATTCTATCATAGTGCAAAAGTAAGTTGTGGACCATCTGAAATAATAAACCTACTTGTCCAGAATTGTTTTGTAACGACTTTCATATAAGTACCATCATACATGGATTTCTAGCCATCTATTCCACAGGAAACTGACCCTTCTTCAATCATAGTCCCTCCGGTGCCATCATTGATTGGCAATTTTTTATGCAGAATGTGAAGAGTATTGTAAACCTTCACAGATAATTAATATCCAAACAGAGAAGCACCTGCCACATAATATTCCAGACTCCAATTGTTAAGCTGTAGGACTACTGGAAGAAAAGTTGCCTATCCGTCACCAATTTAGAAAGATTGAAAAGAAAACAAAAAATTGATCTGTCATTATAAATCAAGTCCGATAGGAAGAGGATATCTGAACAGAATACAATTCCAAAATTGGAAATAAGAGAATAGAGGATAGCAGATCAATGTTGATGTCTTACATCCTGCAACAATACCTCCACACATCATTAAACAATATCTCCAATTGCAAATCCTTGGGAAGGACTTAACAGGGTGGATAAAAATATCAAATTCAATATAAACGTCTGCTTAATTGTGCAATGAACCATAAAAATAAAGGCAATAAAGCACAAAGAACTGGAGCTATGTTTTAAAATCTTCTAATTGATAAATTATCTCCCTCGAGCTTTCTGGCAAGCCTAGACTGTCTCACATCCTATTCACTTAGTCTTAGATCCATATTCCAAAGAAACTGAAGATTAGTTACCAACTTCAGCAAGGCAGGTCGCAGCCTGTTGCAAACCAGCTAAGTGGGAACATCCCTCTGCTGGAGTCTGTTATTTCCATTTCTGACTCAACCCATCTGACCTTTTCTTCTAGCAATCCAGTTTGTTTCCCCCCTAATTTGCTGGCCTTGCGCTGGACCGCTTAAAAACTTCAATTTCTTTCAGCTGACAGATCTACGCAGCGAGAGAACACGCATCGTGGACCAGAAAGGCACCACGGAAAAACCCTCGCCGGCCCTACCTTCTCTCCAGCTCCTTCTTGCCGGCCTTTCCAGTGGGAGGGTGGGAAAGGCTCGTGAGCACGAAGGCCTGTCCTCATTTAGGCAGGAGCCTCCGAGTTGGTGGAATAAGAAGGGCGGCGGCGGAGAGCCGGCGCTACTCCAATCTCGACACAAGGAGCTGCTTTCACTTTCCGAATTAGCGCGGTTTAGCTCGAAAAGGCGGGGGGGGGCGCTGCGAGTGGAGGGGGACCACCGTTGTCTCCAGTTCGGCTGCCCGGTGCCCCAGAAGAAAGATGCGGCTCTTAATGGAAGTTGTTCTCGCTCCCCGGAGGAGCTCTTGGCTGTTCCCCATCTTCCCGTTCATGTGGGGCTTCGTGATAGCTTCATCGCTTGTTAATGCTCGGTAGGGGAAAAAGGGGGGGATGGGGGTTAGTGGACGAGAAGGGACTGAGAAAGGGAATTATGGAAGGAGGGGAGAAAATTGGGGCAGAGCATGTTTGGGGGGAATTATGTTCTTCACGGGAGGCCTAAATTTGCATTTTGCTAATCTGGAGCAAAATGCAGGGTATTAGGCGCTGAGTTAAAGTTGCCCAAACAACTGCTTAATTTTCTGGATGCAGATGATTCAGGCATGAATGTATGTGGGGCCAGAAGCCTGTGGAAAGATTGTTAAGGGAAACATTATTTTTCTTTTAATCATTGAGGAAAACCTCCTTCCTTATGTTTCTATATCTGTATCTCAGTATATCTCAGAGATTCAGGTCTCTGTTGCTTAAGTTTTAATCATATCCTTATCAAGAACTATATAAGGATACAGGTTTTTTTTCTATATATAGTACGATCATCCTCTGCTTTTATTTTGTCCCCCCAAACTCCTAAAAATTTGAAATGGTATGAGAGATAAGAGCAAGACACGTTTTTGATGAGTTGCCTTAATTCCCTCAAGGTTGTTCTAGTTCATATAGGTAGCAATAGCTTATAATATTATGCATTTTAATAACAATTGTCAATAAGTATGAAGACTTTATTTCTTTTTGTGATTTCTAGACCCACATACCTGTTGGCAGTTCCTAAAATAATCCGACCTGGAGCAAATCTAACTATTGGAGTTTGTCTCTTGAAGGAAAGCCCTTCAAGCATCAGAATACAAGCGCAAGTACTCTTGGCAAATCGATCCATATTACAAGGAGAAGAAGTCTTTCAAAGAGGTGAGATGGTTGCCTTGGACTGGAATGCAATGAGATTTATTCATTTAATTTATTTATTAAACTTACATGTCACCTATCTTTCTGTCCAAGGTGACTCAAATTAACTTCTATGTTTACAGTACAGTCCTAAATATGTTTATTCAATTCTCATTGTAATGCAAGTGTTTTAGTCATGCTTAGGATGGCAGACAAAGTTGGCATTTGGATGGGGTCTTATTGAAATAACTGCATAGCAATTTGAGTTCAAAATGTTCACAAATGCTCTAAAGTATGTGGGTGTAATCTATATGGGATTACAAGTATAATTATTTGATGAGCTACTAGCAGATTATATATATTAGGGCTTGAATTCCAAAGGAAGAGAAAACTATACATTATTTTCACCTCCTTCCTTGACTTTGTTGCATAGGGAATCATTGCTATTAATATAACATCTGCCTAAGATTCTTTGAACCTAATACCACAAAACATCTGAAATAAAGTCAAACTATGCTTTTTCATGATCGTTCAATAAGTCCCCTTTCAAAATAATTTATATAGGGTCATCATCACTCCCATGAGGCCAGGGCAATTTTTATCCTAATGAAAATTCCCCCTGCCCAACAGTTTATTCTTAAAACAAGTCAAGAATAAATGTGCATGTGTAGTTAAGTAGAGATGTAAGAACACAGTTTTTCTCTGTTGTTGCTACTATCCACATATAATAAACAGCTAATGTTAGAAGTGGCTTTATAAAGCCACTTAATTCCCCTACCTCCTTTCCTCCCTCTCCCCCCCATGCATTTCAGTGAGAGCAGATCAGATATTATCTTTTCCAATAATACTTATTTTAAAAGAAATATGGCTTGATTAGTATGCAGTTGATACTTTCAAAGAATTAAATGGAGGAACACTTATGAGTTATTAAAGATAAAGTTGTTCTACTGATTAATTTACACAAAGGAAGAGTGCTAACTTTCAAAAGCATTGGCAGCAAAATCTTTTGCTTATAATCTGTGTCTCTTGTATCAACACATTGTTTTTCACAAGTTAAGTGGGGGGTTGTATTGCATTTCCTCAATAGAAGAAGAAATGTAATGTTTTTACAACAAGAACACAACTTTAGAGGCAAGATTTATGAACTCTTGGCAACAAATGAATAGCAGCTCTGTGAGCTATTTTCAAATCAGTCAGTCATTCAAACACATTTTGAAAATAGTATTAATAGCAACTTCTTTTCCAAAACCATAGCAAAGAATGGTAGATTTACAACATATGGGAATTTCCATATATAAAGGAAATTCCTGGGAACAGATCAAATTGGAAAAAAAAATAGTCTATCCAATTGGGATATAAAATTGTTTACCAATTTGTTTCTAACATACCTTGGAAACTTCATTTTTCTGTTGGCTCTCCCTTGTTAAAGTTGTACTGTGTGCCTTTTGAGAAATTGATCCCACGAATAAAAATCTGACCAATGATTAGTGAAGCAGGTTTTATAATGAAAAGGAGTTTAGTATAAGAAAAACACAGGTGGTTAACAATATTACAGGTTGTCCTCGATTAACAATGGAAATTGGGACTGGAATTTCTGTGACTATGAAATACAGTTATAAAGTGCAATATATAACATCACTTAGCGATGACAATTCCGAAGTTCCTGTTGCTGTCGTTCAGGTTCACAGGTCAAATGACAACTTCGGTACCATTTCTTGCTGACTTCCAATAAGCAAAGTCAGTAGGGAAACCAACAGGAAGTTGCATGTCCCAGTCAGCTTGCAAGTAGGCTAGTCAGCAGTAAGTGACTGCTGCCTGGTGGGAGAGGGCATGTAAAGATACATGAGTTGTTTGTGTGATGCAAGTGTACTATCATTGGGGTGGCTGATGTAGAGTTTATGTTGAAGTAATTCCCCGTTAGGAGAATGAGTGCATACAGGGAGATGTAGTGAGAGAAGTGTTGAATAATACACACACAGCAAACAGATACACTGTACAGTAAATGTAGGTTTTTACTTCCAGAAACGTTTAAGCAAAGTTCAAACACAGTCCAAAGTCATTCACAGGTAAGGCAGTCAATTTTCAGTCCAGGGATAATCCAGTAACAAAGTCCAGTATCATAAACAGTTCAGTAACAGACTTACATCAAATCCAAAAATATCAGTCAATTAGGAGGAACGGCAATACTCTCCAACAGAAGGAAACAGAGACTTACTCACTTCACAAAGACTTCTGAGACTAAGACTAAACAACCCAGGTTTCTGGCTCCATCTTATGGCCATTTTAGAAACCACACCCAATTACACTTTTAGCATTCCCTTAAAGAGGCAGTATTAAAATGCCTATCCTGGTTTATATATTTCCAACCCAAATAGCTGTTAGGTGACTTACATTCCTAACTGTGTAGGAGGTTGCATAAGGGGCTGGTGCAATGCTGGTATTCTACCGGTTCAGCCCGGTTCTGCCGAGCTGGTAGCGGCGATGAGCAGCGGAGACTGAACTGGTTCTCTCTGCCGCTCTGCTGTTGGGCCCACCTGCCCGCCCAGGGTCCCATACTCACCTTTATCCTCTGCTTTTGAAGCACAGCTGCTTTGCATGGCACAACAGAGTGCCGTGTGGCATCTGCTGAAGCGACCTGCCGAGTGCAGGCTTGCAGGAGGTGAGTTGGAACACCTCTGTGCCTGCGCAAAGTGCGTGTTTGGCACATGTGTGCATGCAAAGTGTGTGCACGCGCCCAAAGCACGCCCATCAAGCCACGCCCACCGAATCGGTGGTAAAACTTTTTGGAATCCCACCACTGTAAATGTGACAGGGCAGGTGTGTGTGTGACTGCTGAAGGAAGTGGGAGACTTATTAGTAACTCACAACTTTTCTTACTGTGTTCCTCATTGACTTTTCTGGTGCTGTAATTTTGAGAACAGGTCGTAAGAACCACTCATTCAATGCTATTGTAACCTTGAATGATATCTGAACAAGCAACCATTAACCTGTATAGAAGTAGGCACTCTTTGCATGTAGCTACCTACACCCTGCAGAGAAGCGAGAGAGCAAGTACTCTATGCAGCTTTACACCTGGGAGCAAAGACAGAAGGAAATGAACTGAGATTAGCAATTTCCTAAACAAACAACAGGTAGAGTGATAGACAAAGAAGGGATATAGTAAGTCATTAATTCTTTATCTTCACTCTACTGTCACTTTTGGTCCATATGCAATGAGGTAGTTGAAGAATCAATAGTATCCAGATACAAATTATGCAAGAGGGGTACACTGCTGTTACAGAAGCCCTGCACCTTTGCAGTGTGTTAACATCACATGCATTTAAAAAGGGATGGGGGCTTCAGGTTCCCATCTTGCAGATTTTGAATCATTCCATGGATGCATGGGCTATAGGTCCCCAAATTCACACTTTAAACATAGGAACTGGGAAGTAAGATAGTATTTGGAAGCTACTCAGGCAGGATCCTCCCTGATTCACTGAAGTATAAGGAAGAATAAAATAAAATCACCCATGTAAGATTCTGTTGTTATACCCTATCTGAGTAAAATAAAGTTCTAGCCTTCCTTTGAAGTTGTTATTTCTGGGCTGGTCTACCTAGTGGGCTAATATCCAGCCACTGGGTTTTGTATCAGCAGTAGTCTAGCCAAGCAGTGATTAAGGCATTAATTAAGGCATTACTATATTCCAGGGCACTCTGGAAGTAAGTATGGTTGTAATAGACACTAATACATTAGTCAAAACCTCTCTAGCTTATACAAAACTACCAGTGAATCCCGACTGGCCCTTTGCTGTTCTCTTCCAGACTTGATTCTTGCTACAAGGTTGTTACAGGAAAAAAAAATGGAGAAGAGAATGTCGTACATACCACCTTGTGCCCATAGAGGAAAGACAAGATGTAAATTTAATTAATAGTTATATTGTATATACAAGAAAGCCATCTGTTCTTTTTGAGCTATAATATGGCAAATGAGATACAACACAGAATTTTCAAATGACGAAAGAGGAATAATATCTAAAAAGCATTTTAATAAAACCCTAAAGATTTTTGCAAGGCAAATAATTTGAAGAGAAAAAAAAGCTATGAAATAATTCTATTCCATGTATTCCGTTCCCTGTTGGCAATGCACTCAGTGTTTTATGGTTGTGTTATACATCCCAGATATATTAAATATATTATTCATTTGAACCCTAAAGATGGTATACAGGTGTTTATTAGTGAATTGCTAAATTATTTTGTCATTTCTCTTCACATAGGTTACATTTCATTTCTCTTCATTTTTAATGACTAGGATATAGCTCCAATTTTTTTTATATGGTCCTGCAACAATAAAAATTGGCTGCTACAAATAAAATGGTTACATTCATACACCACACTAAAACATATTCTCCCTAATAATCTTATTATTGACCAAATCACAATACAGTCAAGAAGTGTCGCAATCGGTAAACCAAAGTTAAGCAAAATATGGGCCAGCCAGTTATGACAATCTGGTCACTGGATGCATCAACTCATTTAGGAAGAAAAACATTTTCTAAATAACACATTCAAAAAATGAAAATAAATATCAAGTGGTAAGAATGATTTGCATCATCCAACAAAGAAGTGATATAATTGCTTCTTGCCTCAGTGAAGGAAGAAATTATCATGCTGAACAAATTCAAGCAAGTCCCTAAAGTTGAGACAAGTAGTGGTAATAAAATATTGGAAAAAATATCTGTGCATGCCTGGTTATGTAAGAATATAAAATGGCTGAAAATGTACATCAGGTTAGAATTTGCTGATGAATGCTAAGTTGTAAAAGCAGTACAGCAAAATTATGTTTAGCCATCTGAGCCTCCAATTATAATATAAACATTGCCATAAAACTCACTTGTTGTACCCTGCCAGATGTCACATTAATTTCCAGGGCTGGTCCTAGAAAAATTTAAAAACAATCCCAGAAGAATGATTTTTGAGTTGGTAATAACTTTGCATAACAGATAAAAAGATTTTAAGAATAAAATTTCAAAATCATATATTAAATGCCTGTCATTAGCAATCTGTAGAGATTATGCGATTAGTTCAAAGGGACAAAACCACAAATCAATTCTGCTTTTGAAAATTTGTTTTTAAATTCTTGCCCCTCAGTCTCTCAATTTATTCTGAAAAGTAGAAGAATATTGTTTAAAACTATTCTGTTTTCTGAGAGGCAGGACTTTGAGTAGTTTTCAGTGGAAATTAGATTAAAGGTGGGCATTGTGAAGTTCTTGGGCTGAATATTGCTGTGACTTTAGGCTTTATACTTTAGTTATCTCATTGTCCTCATTTTTTATTCATTTAATTTTTTTAAAAAAAGCTGGTGACATGCTGAAAAATATTACTCATCAGAATGATTCTACTTCTCTCTGTGTATTATTCATACACATCCGTGGGTGTATGATTAACCTCACCCAAATATGGTTGCTTATTCATCGACGTTCGTATTGCTTTTGGATCTTTATTTACTACCACAAATGGAACATCATATTTTTTATTTTTCCTTTAGACTTGAATAATATTTTGTGACTAGATGAAACACATGAACACGAATTATTCTTTCAGTTTATGGTAGTAAGCTAGGACTAGCATAATTGCATGATATTAAGAAAGAACCAGAAACTTAGCACAACTTCTTTGTCATAGAATGGACTTCAGTTATATGAGTAATGTCTGAGAAAATCCTTCCCACAGGCTGAATAGAAAATGGCTTCCTTAATTATTCTTTTTATGGTATATCAGATAAGACAGAGCCTGTTGTTAAAGTCTGTTCCCTTATTTTTTATAGGTAGTCCTTGACTTACAATTGAGCCTGACAATTATGGTCATAAGTCATGATGGTTGTAAAGTGAGTCACTACATGACCGGACCTATTTTTACTATTTTCTTTGTAGTCTTGTTAAGCGAATTCAGTGGTTGTAAATTGAATGCTGGGTTGTTAAGCAAACACTACAGTTTTTAAGCGAGCCCACTATAAACTGGATTAAGTTTTTCCAGAAACTGGAATTAAACTCTGATTTCCAGCAACGCCATCATAAATTGTACTCATGTGATTATGGGGCACTGCAAATGGCCGTATATGCAGGCTGGTTGTCAAGCACCCATCACTGTGGGAGGAAGTGATGTCAGAACTTTGAACGTGGATTGTAAGTCTTTTGGGGGGGCGTTCTTTGTAAATTCAAATAGTTGCTAGGTGACTAGTTGAAGTTGAGGGCTACCTGTATGTTCCTGCCTTGTAAAACCTAGATTAATTCCTCCCATCTTTAGGTAGTTTTATTGTCTCTCATTGTTCAATATTTTTTAAAAAGAATGTTGCTGTTGTCATATGTTTAAATAAGCAATATAAAGAAGTCATGCTTAAATAGGAAGAATATCTGGTATATGGATACGTGAAATCTTTTAATTTGTTTTCCTATTCTTTTTTCCCCTAAATGTAGATTCCTTTAGGACACTAGTCCTTCCATCTGTAAGTATTCTTAAAATATAAGAAATATAAACCATATGTTTCCAGCATGGCTTTTATTTGCTTTTTTCATTTGGCTAATTTGATTATAGTTTATAGTTCCACATTAGTAATCGGGATGTAGGTGTTATTTTGTTTCTTTAGATTAATAATTAGTTTGTGTGCCCACTCAGAAGAACTTGGGATTTCAATCTGAATGCCTTAAATGCATACTCACATTGTGCGCAAACAGCAATACGTACTCAATTTAACAAATTTGTATATTAATAAAAGATGAGAAATATATGTAAAAATTTTAACTTGTACTTATATCCAGAATATTTTATTGCCTCCTAGCCTGTATGTATTAATTAAAGTTTGTCTTCAGCCTTTGCTCTTATTTAATCTCAAATTGCAGGCAAACTTGCCTGACTTACAAACATGGAGAAATTCAAACAACCTGAAATCTATGTAGTGAAATACAGCAAGAACTTTGGTGTATTGTGAAGTAGATTATTCAATCCGTGAATGGCAATCTGACATCACCAAAATATAAACCATTTACATGTTAAATACAGAGTACAATTTATGTTAAGATGTTACATTAAAATTTATATTGACTGAGAACCCATAATAGTTTTTTTTTTACAAGGTCAAAAGATTCCAGTTTCAGTAATACCTTGAATCTACCTTAATAATTCTTGTTGGCTTGGAACTGCAAATAACAAGAACTCCCTTCAGTGCCTTTTTTCTTGTTTTTTGTTAAAATAGTTCAGATGTTACAAATGAAAGGAGATGCTTGAAAACTTGATTAAAAAAACTGGGAGGACAAGGACAATTAAAAAGGACTGAGAAAAGTTTTGGTTATAAGTCATTGCAGTCATAATTTGAGTCACTATATGACTAGACTTAATTTTATGGAAGCTTTTTTTATGGAAGTCATTAAGCAAGTTATCACATCAGTTAAGCAAATCACATGATTGTTAAGTGAATCATATGGTTGTAAGTCTAAATCCAGTTTATCCAATGAATGTTTTTTGCCAGAAAATGGCAAAAAAAGAATCACAAAACATAATCACATGACTGGGATGCTGGTTACCATATACCTAAAATAGAATCATGTGACTGTGAAGGTGATGCAATAGTTGTAACTTGAAGAACGGGTTGTAAGTAACTCTTTTTGAGTCCATTATAGCTTTGAATGTTGGTTAAAGGATTGGTGATGTCGAGGATTATTTGTATAGGGAAGAATAATTCTGTGCCCCATCTAATTTTCCTCATCTGTACTCCAGAATATTTTGTTTCTGAACAAAATATTTAAACCTCCCTAATAAAGTAGTGTAGGAGCAGCATAACTGATATGAGTCATGTATTTTAATCAGTGGACAACACATGTTTCTAGTAACCAGTAGGAACTGAATAAACATTTCATGTTCTGCTTCTAAAATTTGTTTTCTAAGATTTTTGTATTTTTTTAATTTTTTGCTTCTGTTCAGTCAGGTCTGATTCTCAAAGACTGCCAGGACAAGTTTTTGCAGTTTTCTTGGCAAGGATTTTCAGATATGATTTGCCATCTTCTTTTTCCTTGGGTTGAGAGAAAGTGACTAGGCACCCCATCGAGCTTTGTGTCCAAAGCAGAACTAGAATTCACAATCTCCTAGTTTCTAGCTTGATGCTTTAACCAAACTGATTATTTTCCTAAGAATTTAGACTGATACTAATGAAGTCTTGACATCTGAGTAAATTATATGTAGATATTTGTATGTGGTTAAAGTTGAAATACAGATAGATTCTACATGCAAATGCAAAATGTTACTGCTGAATTTGGGCAATAAGTTTAATTGTTTAGAAATAGATTAATTGAAAAAAGTACAGTATGAACCTGATGAGTTAAGTTGAGAGGAGGGTTTCTTTAAAAAAAATATACATTATGGTACAACATGCGTGGCTTTTGAAATACTACTGTATATAGATAGTGCAAATACTAGCTAACAAGGTTGAGATGTTGAAGGTAATGCAGATATGTAAAATAAGCCATGGGAAGCTCTCCAGTATGTGGGGAGCCATGGTGGCTTGCCTTGGCCTGACCCAGCAGGTCTCCCGGGCCCAGTCAGCCATGCTGCGTAGTTGGTGCCCTGAGGCCCCTGGTGCCAGGCCTCACCACAGCCTGGGAGCCTTCCTACTTCCATGCTTTGAGAAAGGTGTTGCTAGTAGTTGCTCTCCAAATAGGGCAGCTGGGAAATGAGATTTGTCAGCGAAAGATGAGCTAGGTCTAGGACTGGCAAAGAAGGGAGGGAAAGAAGAAAAGAAAGGAGGGTGGGAGAAAAGGTGGGAGGAGTGTGGGTCTCTTGCCAAACAAGGAGTGGAAGAGACAGCCAATCACCTTGCAAGCAAGTAGGATCTCTGCTAGGCAGGGAAGAAGAAGCAAAAATAAAAAGTGAACAAGACAAAGATGAAAGGGAAGAAAGATTTTTTTTCTTCAGCAAGGAGAGAGAAGAAAGAATTTGGACAATGTCAAGTTGGGCTTCCTAGTTCATCCCAAATATGTTTTTTGAAAATAACAGGACATATTAGCCCAGGAACAAAACCAAAAGTGCTGCCAACTAAATGGCAAAGTGACATGGCTCTGTTTCACAGCATTGCCAGAAGCTCGGTTTTGCAGTGGAGAAATTTTGATTTAATAAATGTACATTTAATGGCATAGAAAAGCTATCCTTCATTTTGCCAATTTTTTCAATTCTGTAGAGTAGGGGTGTCAAACCTGATCGCATCGCAGGTCATATCATGACATATCGGGCCATATTGGAATGCTTTTTGCCTTTGCGGAGCCAGGATTGGTGTGGCCTGCATGGCCCAAATCTGGCCTGAGGGCCGCCAATTTGACAGGCCTGCTCTAGAAAATTCTATCAATGTGTGAAATGACTGCAATATTGGCCCTTGGGATAACAAACAAGCCCTCCTACACCACTCATAACTATTAGAATTGACATCCCTGCCTTAAAGACTAATAACTTTATTATTGCATAAGCTTTTGTGAATTATAGTGCCTTTCCTCAGCACTTCTTGTGAGTGGAATGCTATATATTGTATAAACTCAGTTGTTTTGGGGAACGAGGAAGGTTTATGAAAATTAACAATAGTGGTGGTAAAGCAGCTAGTTAAGAAATTTTGGATATGTTTAATTCCCAAGAAATGATATTCAAACTTCAAATCAATTCTCTTTGGTTTTGCCAACACAAGAGGGGAAAAAAGTACATCAGAAGCAGAGCAGACAAATGGGACTTGTGGTTGATTCGAAGGTAAATAAGAAATTAATAGTGATTGCATTTCTTTCTGCCCTTCGGAAGAAAATGCCTGTTGGTTCTGGTGCCAGAACAATTAGGCAGTGCAGGTTAACTCAGACTCATAATCTTAATGTATATGATCTATAATTTTGACTTCCAGTCATCTGTTCCCCCATGTCTCTAAAGATATGTAAGAATGACTAGAACTAGTTGTGCCTAATGGTTAAGATGCCTGGTTTAGGAACCAGGAGACTGTGAGTTCTAGTACCTCCTTAGGCTTGAAAGTCAGCTGGATGATTTTGGCCAGTCATGCTCTTGGCCCAACCTACCTCCCAAGGTTGTTATTGTGGGGAAAATAGGATAGAAAGGAGCATTAGCTATGATTACCATTATTTAAAAATAATAATAAAGCTGGGATTAAAAAGAAATCAAATAAATAATAGCAATGGTAATGAAATGAGTTTTCTTCCTCAGATCCCATTGGGCAGTACTAATGCCTATTATGAATTGTTAGTGAATGGATATTCAAAAGGACAACTGCTGTTTTCTAATCTTACATCACTGCTATTTGCAAGCAAAAGTTTTTCAGTCTTCATCCAGACTGACAAGGCAATGTATAAACCAGGACAAGATGTGAAAATACGGGTTGTTACTCTGCATTCTGACCTCAAACCATATAATACTCCTGTAAATATATACATTCAGGTAAGCATACATTTAAAATTATTTGGCTAAGAAGGGATTTCATGTGGAATGTGTGAAAATTACTCTTGTGCATTCACACCAAGATATAGCAGCAGGAAGGTGATTTCTTGTAAAAGACACCCATAATAAATATGTATTTGTACATACTATAGAGTATATAGATGTTCCCACAATGGTCCAAATTATACGTTCTTCCAAACTAAACTTATGTTTTAGAACAGGGGTCTCCAACGTTAGCCACTTTAAGACTTGTGGACTTCAACACCCAGAATCCTTTGCTGGCTGATAATTCTGGATGTTGAAATCCACAAGTCTTAAAGTGGCCAAGCTTGGAGAGCCCTGTTTTAGAACACAATTGATGTAGCAATAGCAATAGCACTTAGACTTATATACCGCTTCACAGTGCTTCTACCGCCCTCTCTAAGCGGTTTATAGAGTCAGCATATTGCGCCCAACAGTCTGGGTCCTCATTTTACCCTCGGAAGGGTGGAAGGCTGAGTCAACCTTGAGCCTGGTGAAAGTCGATCTGCCAAATTGTAGACAGCTGGCAGTCAGCAGAAGTAGCTGCAGTACAGCACTCTAACCACTGTGCCACTGCGGCTCTTGTAAATTCTTGTAAATTCAGGGTAAAATTTATTGCTCTTTAGAAAAGAGCTATAATAAGGGAATGATGGGCAAGAGATTCTGGGAAAGTATTAGCTTTCATTATTTACGTATTTATTTAAAGCATTTACATAGCCACACAATTCAAACAGCATGACTCTGGGTGACATAAAAGAATCATTCTAAAATTATTGAGACTTCAATAGATATATTCATGGTAGAAAATACTTTATCACCAGAAAATGTGTCTCAATGGCTTGATATGCAGTGTGCAGCAAGCCATAATGTAGCTACTGGTTTCAGTGAGTTGTAATTAAACAAATCATAGCTAAGTAAGACATGAGAACTTGGTAACAGATGAGATTTTTCTTCAGAAATGAAGTCTGCCAAAAACAAACAAACACAATTGGATTGAGGGTCTATAACAAATGATGAAATTCATTGTCAGATAATGATAAAGTGAAAGCATTTCTGAAAATTAACTCCTGTTGCCATAGGAACTTCTAATCTTAACATATGCAACAGGGGTGGGATTCAAAATTTTTAACAACCGGTTCTATGAGCGTGGCTTAGGTGGTGGGCGTGGCTTGGTGGTCATGTGACTGGTTGGACATGGCTTAGTGGTATGTTATTGGCTGGGCGTGGCCAACTCAATATCACTCACATCGAGGCACACATCTCCTCACCTGGCCTCTCGTGACTGTGGGGATGCTGCAACAGTCGTGTGAAAAATGGTCATAAGTCACTTTTTTCAGTGCCATTGTAACTTTGAATGGTCACTCCACACAAGCAAAGGAGGGGAAAAAAACTCCGAGACATTCCTGAGACAGGAAGTCTAGTCCTGCCAAGAATGTAATAAGGGATAATGGAGAGGCAGTTTCTGTAAGCAACACCAGAATGTTTCCTTCCTGCCTTCCTTACAGGATTAGGCCAGTAATTTCTTCTAACAACCGGTTCTCTGAACTGCTTAGAATGTTAACAACCAGTTCTAGCGAATAGGTGCGAACTGGTAGAATCCCACCCCTGATCTGCAACCTGTTTGATTATATAGTGCAATTGATGGTGAAGTTTTCTAGGTGGATATTTTCTGCTGAAGCATACTTTGTTGCCATGAACCTATTTTAGCAGTCATATATTGCACTAAATTCTGTATTCTGAATATATGCAATAGTTTAACATATATTTTTGTAAGGATCCTCAACGAAATTTGATCCAGCAATGGTTGACACAGAACGGAAAACTGGGCAAGATCGCTAAGCAGTTCAAATTATCTAAACATCCTCTCTTGGGTGATTGGTCTATAGAGGTTCGAGTAAATGTGAGTATAATTAAGATGCATTTGTATTTAAGTAGAAATGGGCAACCTTTTGACGACAGGAGGAGTAAAGACTGCAAAGCGGGTGGGGCTAGGTCACACTTAGATTAAACTCCAAGTACTTCAAAATTGACTCAGGATCACAGACTGCCTGTTTATGATTTAAGAAGTGATGGTACACTTTTCACTTTTTTATACGCTGAATGATTCATTAGATAATAAATTTAAGGAATATCTCAGCTTGCATTTATTCTTAAATGGTGACGATAATTTTGAACAAGGTTTTGCCTTAGCTTCAGTAAACTAAAGGAATTCAACATGCTTTTCATATACTTTTGATTTTGCTTGTGTTTCCATAGGATCAAGCCTTTTATCAATCATTTGCAGTAATGGAATATGGTAAGTGATAACCTTCTGCTCTTTAAAAACATATGCTTAAAATTCTTTTAGAGCAGCAAGTGAATAGTTTTTAAATTTAGGAAGGCAATGATTCTTCCACAAAACTGAAATCCAAAATATTACTTACCATTTAAAAAAAACATGGAAATTGTAATCCTCAGATTGCAGACTGTTTAGCATAAATCCTGACAATAATTCTCAGAGTAAACAAAGTGAAATCACTGAGTGGGACTTAAGTAATAATAATGATTAACTTCTAGCATGAACAAGGTCAGATCTAGCTTTGAGAATCCAGTCGTTTGTAATGTTAAATTTATCTTTTACAGCTTGCAAAACTAAAAATCATTCTGAGGTCTATCAATTCACTCATTCAATGAGGTCTTCCTTGAATAATAAATATATAGTAGAGGAGCACGCAAGCTTAATCTTTTAGTTGCATTAGTTTCTCCATTATGTAACTTTAATTGTTGCTTTTGGGATTTTTCAGTGGCACCAAAGTTTGAAGTCTCTTTAACAACACCTAAGTACTATTCTCGGGAAAGTAGGTTGAATGGCACTATCACAGCAAAGTAAGTAAAAAGTAAATATTATGGCATTGAGAGCTATATGTTACTCTAATGTTACTCTGATTTGGAGGAGGTGGGGTGCAAGTAGGTAAAAACAGTTCATTATTGTGTGATGGCAGCAAAAAATATCCAGAATATGCATCAGTATATTGCATATGCTTGCTACTTTAAGTGAGTGCATGTGCATGTGCTGATGCTTTATTTAAACTGAATTGATATATCAATGATTATATAAACTTTTAGATGCCATATGTTAAATAAGTAACTTGCTACTTGATGGAATGTGGACAATATTATTGGCTGGCATAGTATCTTATAGATTAAGATTCTGGTTTGCTCACAATGGCATGACCTGACGAGTATTATTCAGATTATTCATAAAGAGAACTACCTGTGACACAGGTACAGTTAGGACTGATAACCTAGGGTATGTGTTTTGTATTTTACAACTGCAGCTTGTATAAAAGGTTGTAATTGTAACATAATAGGAATAAATGTTAAAGAGAATGAACTAGTTAATTAAAAATAGTTCTACATTTGTGAAACTAAGAGAAAGGAGAAGGGGAATGGTGTAATACCGTAATCTGAATGGAAATGAACTGATCACATGGAGTGAAATTGATGAATTCATGTAGGGAAGTGAAGGTATAGGTTTAACAATGAATAAAAAGGACAACATGTATATCAGAAAATATGAATTACTGTCTTTCAGTTTTTTATTGCCTATGAAAATATGTAATACATTTTTATTGCATATGAAAATATACATATCCATGTGTTGCTGATGGTTTCATATTATTATACAGTGAATGGAATGGTAGAAAAGCCAGAAATTAGTTTTTGTGAAAAATGATATAATTCTCTGAATGAATGTCTCCAGGGGGAGAATATTATTCTGACAGGTGATATGAATAGATGGCTAAGACAAGATAAGTGAGTATAGAAGATGTGATTGAGAAGCAAGAATGATGAGAATGATGGCTGCTTGCTGAGTATCTGCTTAATAGATATGTACGAATGTGCAGTGAAAAAAATGTTTCATTTAACTATCACATTTATATACGTAGCTATTCATCTCATAGTAAAGTCAATCTAAGTTGCTTACAATAAAAACAATTATGACATCAAAATATTGAAACAACTACAATTAAAAAACATAAACAGTATTAATAACAAGACAGTGGAGAAAATGTATGTTAAAATTAATGCAGAAATCTCATCAAAACTCCGCCTCTTTGAGACCTGCAGATCTGCTGTCAGAGCTGTGTTTTAAGGGAATTCTGGAAGGATGTCATGGATGGGAGCCCAGTCTTACCTCAAGGGGAACAATGTTCCCCCGGCAGGCAGCATCACAGAAAAGGCCCATCTTCTGGGTTCCTCCAGAATGAATCTCTTTTGCAGATAACACCTGCAACACACATCTTTTGCTAGACCTAATGGGAAGGACAGATGTAATTGGACAGAGGCGGTCCCTCAGATATCTTACCTAGCCCAGTGAGATATGTGTTAGGAAAATAGAGTGAATGACTGTAAGTTAAGCATCAGTGGTGAAAAATTAGATCAGGCTGTGCATCTTTTAAGTTCAAATGCTGGCAACAAGGCAGTATGGTGTTGGGTAATGTGTGGTCTGTTGGGAGCCATTAATGTTTGTCAAAATAAGTAAAATAGATGTACATCTTCCTGTACAGATGTAAAGGTTGGGTATGACAGGAGGAAAATAAAAGCTGACTAGTGTGAGAAGGGCATACTTAAAAAGTGAAGCTGTTTGGTCATATGGAAAGGAAAACATGATACTCAAATTGCAAAACAAATATATAGACAACACATGGATTGAAAGGAGGGATAAAAAGTTGTGATTGGATGCTGTCGAAGAGATGTTCAAAAGATGAGAGAGAAAAAGGAAAGCACTGTTTGCAAAATAAGCTGTCCAGGTTAATAAGTACATGATGGGTTATCATATGTTTTCAGTCTGTCTTTTAAAACTAACAGTTTCCAACTGATATTTTTTTCTGGTGCTTTGGGTATTCATTTCAGGTACATATATGGAAAACCAATGAAAGGAAAGGTCACTATTGATTTCTTCTCATTGTTTCAAATGCAGAACATAAAGATAACTAAAATAATGGAGGTGAGCCATACTCAGTTCTTGACAATATACATGTTTCAGGAAAATTGTGCTTCAGGGTCCACCCTCACTCAACATTTTCTAGTGAATTCTCCTGTGGTCTTTCTATTTTCTTTGCTGTTTTCTGACCCAGAATTCTTTCTTCCTCTTCCACATACTACTTTGAGCCCTATCAGAACACATTAAATATTTTTTTTTGCATTTTTTACTGCCGGTTTATTACCAGTCTTGGTTTTTTGTCTCAAAATTGGCCTATATCTAGATGCAGTGGCATTTCAGATTTTGGAATTAAGTTGGGTCGGAGATCATGTGTGATAGCTTATTGGCAGGAGTTTTAGGGAAAAGCTTGTGTGAAGGATTAGGCCAGGTTAAGATTCTCTTTTCTTCAACTGTTTTAGAAGTATGATATTTTATATTTATGGCCTTGTAAAAGCTGATTTATTTTAAAACAAGATTTAAATTGTACTTGCTAAACCAAATGCCTAGCCATTACTGCCATGGGTTAAGCAAACCATTTCAAAATCTAGAAGATTTCTTATCCTCTTGAGCCCTCTTAAAGCAAGTGCTAAAGGAGACACCCCCCCCCCCAAAAGGAGTACATCTGTAGTAAATGTGGAGATTAACTACAACCAAAATATCATGACTGGCACAGATTGAAGTATTTTCTTCCAGGTTAAATTGATCACTGAAAATAATTCCCTAATTTTAATCTTGTATCAGCTTTATAACATTTCATCTATCACGGCTATTCTTTCCACAAATATCTTGTAAAACTGTAGCTAAGCCAAGAGAGAGAAGTATGATGTTAATAGATCTCTGGGTCTTTTTTTTGCCTTTTTCCACTCAGTTTTAGAAAGGAAGAATAGTGGTTAGATGCGTTGTGGTGTAGATATGCCTTAATTCATATAAATTTGTGTATGGAAAAAGTATTAAAAATAAAATGTAATTATATATGGTCAAGAAAACAGATCTTCTAGAATCTAGATGTTCTGGCTAGTGTGAGAATCAGATCTATATATCTATTGTATATATATATAGTATATATAACTTTGGGATATCTCATCGTTATAATACATAAAAAGGATTCTGTGATATAAGGCAACTCCTTAAATCGCCCCAGACTAATAGTGCTTAAAATGAATTTCAACCTAAAATGTACCCAGACTCAGATTTTGTGAAGTACTTGATGCTCTCTGAGCTTGGTTGTTTGATTGCAGACATTTTGTTACCAGCACCAAGGACTCCACAGTTCAGCCTGAGCTAAATATATTCTCTTTTATTGAGACTCGGATTCAGATGTTGGCATGGTATTTTATTCATATTGCTTTGATTTCACAGTGAAATGCAGTAACGAAAACATTGTATCTTAATATTATTTCTGGTTATATTGCTTCAAAGATAACATAGGATTAATCAATTTATTTTTCCTGACCTTAGATTAATGGTTCTTTGAACTTTACACTGGAGAGTCCAGAGATAAAAAATCTAACTGTCAAAGATGAGGATACATTTTACCCAATGCCTATAGAAATTATAGCTGTTGTTACAGAATCTCTTACAGGTATGTTGTTTAATGTGGCTTTTATAAAAAATTGGAAGAGATCAAATCAGTCCAGCTGTATCTTTTTACAGTGGGCAGTCATAATCTCACAAGCACAATATGAGTATAGTCACTAAATCACATTCATATTTCCTAGCAATTGATATTTGGAGGCATAGTGGTTCTAATTTAAATACCATAGCTTATTGCTGTGGCTGGGGCCTTTTCTGTTATTTGTTGGAGGGGGGCATTTGATGGGTTTTGCAAAGGCTTATTGTACCTGTTTTATTAATTAACAAAATCAAAGTGAAAATTTATCACCTAAAATTGGTCATTTGCAGCTAAATTTCATAATTTCAAAAGCTCTGGAAACTGAGATAACTATGCTAAACCATAAACCATCTACAAAACACAAAGCTTAGGATGACATGTTACACTAAGACATTTAAGTGATTTGTTTTTTGTCTTAGCATCTTGTATGAATCTAATCATAGAATATTGTCACTTAGAATAAGTGTGAGTTGTCTTGCTTCAGTTAAAAACAAATCTGTGTGTATCGTTTTTTAAAATCTCTGATCATTATAATAGGAATCTCCCAAAATGCAAGTGCTACAGTATTTCCACAGCTGCATGATTATGTATTAGATTTTCTTGAGTATCCAAGATTCTTGAAGCCTTCTCTGAACTTCATTGCTACGGTGAGTAGTGTTGTGTTACTGTTTGCTTCTTTCGGTATCATTTCAGAAATGGACTGAATAAAGGATGCATCAGAAAGATGGAATTATGTTCTTAAAAAACTACAAGTCTTAAGGCAGCCATTTTATTTCTCAATTCCATACCTAACTAAAGAGGCCAAAAATTTCATCCCCATCTATCATGTTCATCCAAAGTCCATATGCACACTGTGTGCTATAGTATTTAGTATTTTTATTTGACATCCACATATCCTAGGTTGCCCATAAATATTTCTTTATCTGCGTTTATTTTCCACAACTCAAGGTGGGAAGTTAGAGCAACATTGAAGTCACCAGATATTCCAATTGTTCTCTTCTGCCAAATACAGTATTGCCATTTCAAATAAGTGCTCTACATAAAGGTTACTATTGTTTAAAAAAAAGGTTTCTAAAGTTTGATTTGTTTTCAGCTGAAAGTAAGAAGAACTGATAATCATCCATTAACGTCTGATGAACAAAAGAATAATGTCACAATCATGGTCAGACAGTCAAAAATTTATTATCCGATATATGGCTATGAAAATGAATTGCAGGAAAAGAACACCAATTATGAACTAAGTTATCCTGTTCCAGAAAATGGAATTATTCAGATTGAGCTTCCAGTTTTAGCTAATGCAACAGTTTTGCGTATTAAGGTATATTCCTTTTCTGTTATTTTGTCTAAAGGAAAGCTTTAACTTTAACTGGTCAGAACATAATTTCAACATGGAAACTTGTTTAATGCCTGTCTTTTTCCTCAAATGTACCTTGTTACACATCAGATATATTATGTTGTTTTGTAATAATTGCAATAGAATAGAAGGAAAGTTTCTTCTATTGTTGTTGTTATTAAACCACAGTTTCCCATTAGATAAAAATTCTTTAAGAATTGTTCAGACTTTCCCAAAGTTGATAGCAACAGCACTTAGACTTTTACACCACTTCATAGTGCTTTAAGCAGTTTACAGAGTCAACATATTTCCCCCAACAATCTGGGTCCTCATTTTACCCACCTCAGAAGGATGGAAGGCTGAGTCAACCTTGAGACGGTGAGACCCCCAAACCGGTGATCAGCAGAAGTAGCCTGCAGTACTGCATTGTAACACTGCGCCACCACGGCTCGTGATGAGGCAAATATGTGGGGAGGGGAATGCCATAGTTTGCCATGGCTCATTTGTAATCTAAACTGCATTAAAGAATACCTCGACTTACAACAGTCCATTTAGTGACTATTCAAAGTTACAATGGTACTGAAAAAAGTGACTTATAGCCATTTTTCACATTTAACAGCTGTTGCAGCATCCCCATAGTTACATGATCAAAATTCGGATGCTTGGGAACTGACTCATATTTATGACGGTTGCAGTATTCCCGGGTCTGTAATCACCTTTTGTGATCTTCGAAGTCAATGGGGAAGCCAGATTCACTTAATCATGTTACTAAAGTACAGTGATTCACTTAACAACTGTGACAAGAAAAGTCATAAAATGGGACAAAACTCCCTTAACAAATGTCTCATTTAACAACAGAAATTTTGAGCTCAATTCTGGTTGTAAGTAGAGGGCTACATGTAGTTTGAATATGGCAAATGCTTATAGGTATGCTGTTAGCAAAATTCATCCTTAGTTTCTCCAAATGAATATTCAAAGAAAAAGGTTAGGATTGTATTTCAGGAACTATGCTAAGTGTTGAATCTTCCACCTGTGCTGTTTCATTGTTTAAGGGAGATATACTATTTATTATTGTCTTATGTGCTTGTTTTCGCTGTTTTTTTTAAACAGGCTGAATTTCTGGAGAGTCAGGCTTCCATAGCAATACAAGATGTGTTCTACTCACCCAGTTTGTCTTACCTTCAGATTAGAAAAACAAGCAAGGATTTAAAAGTAATTGTTTCTATCAGTAATTGAACACATTTTTAAAGTAAACTCTATTCTATTATGATTGGTGTTTTCACTCAAGACCTCTTTATTTTTCCTAGGTTGGGATACCTTTGGAACTCAGCGTTCAGAGCAGCATGCCTTTGAATGAGATCAATTATATGGTAGACCATAATTATTTTTTACTTTTGCAAAATAATTCAGAGCTGAACCATCCTTAGCTGAGGACGTTGTTCTTTTTTGCTTGGTGTGTAGATAGGTTACAGTAAAGAAGAAAAATGGGGCAAAGGAATAAATAGGTAAACAAAAGAAAAAAGTGGTAAGCTGTTTCTTCAAAGGAACTGATTTTCAGTTGTACTTGTGCCCTCTAATAATTGAAGCGTATCATACCAGGCTGTTTGCTGCAAGGAGGCAGATTGTTGGGAGGTGGAGGCTAAAGGATGGGAGCTGGTGGGTGGCTGGGACTTCGGCAACATTTTCTGTATGAGACACACAGACATTTCCACCCATTTTGGTGAGGGGAGAAGTGCATCTTATAGACTGAAAATTATGGTACATTTTGTGAAAGTATAGTTATTTTCTTTGGAAAAAAATATGTTTCAAATCAGTTTTAGATCCTGAAACTTAGGTTGCATATTTATGCTTCTGAATTCAATAAGCTTTACTTCTCAGCAATTCTGCTTAGGCTTGCATTGCTAATATCTGAAAGTAATCAACTAGTGGATACATTTTATAACCTTTTAATATATTTAAAGAATTAGTAAATAGATTAATGTAGTACTTATAGATTAATGTAGCACTTACAGGAAGGAATAGAATGATTCACTGTTAATCATACAGTTCTTTACAGTCAGAAGTTGATATGATTAGGTGAAAAACATAATTCTAATATATAAAAAGTATATATTAAATCAAAAAATTTAAAACTAAAATATTTAATACTCCCTTGTATCTCTGAAGAAAGATACTTCCTTTAACTAAACTTGTATCACTGATTAAAGAAACAGCCACTTTAACTACATTTTTAGACTATAATTTTGTATGGTTTGAGAAAAAGTTTCATAAACTCAAGTTTGTCCCCAAGTTGATATGCTCAACTGATGAAAGATTTAATTTCAAATTAAATATTATATCTGATCCTGTCCTTTCCCAGACAGAGTAACCTTGTATATTTTTCTTTTGAAAATGGGATGTTTGGATTAGAAACCATAAGGTGCCTATTCACATTATTTTTATGAGGGGCTTTTAGGTGTGATGTTTTTTTTGTTGTTTGTTTTGTACTCATAGGTGATATCCAGAGGTCAGATTGTGGATGCCGGGAAAAAGATGACCACAACATTAAGTTTAATCCCAGAACATTCTTGGGCTCCTATGGCTTGCATAATTGTATTCTATGTGCATGATAACGGGGAAATAATAAATGATGCTCTACATATTCCTGTTCCACTGACTTTTAAAAATCAGGTAAATGTCTTCCTTTCGTAATAAATGGAGAGGTAGAATTTTACAAATTAGCTGTGTTAATAGACCATAGGGTTATATCAGTTCTCCAGAGATGGACTTTGGTACCTTACAAAATGCATACCGGTAAAAAAGCATAGAAGGAGGGTTGTTAGATTAAGGCCATACTGAAAGCTATTTTTGTTAGAAAAGTATTTTTGTTAGAAAAATATTTTCTTCTAAATCTGTAATTAGCATAAACTTTTAAACCACGCCCACCTGACATAATAGATAATTAACTAAGTACCTGAACAACTAGACATCTTATCCTTGCTAGTGTTCCCCATCAGTTGAGTTACATTTCTTTTGGAAATTATAGGAATATATATGTTTATTTTGAAAAACCAAATGGAAAAAAGGAAAGAAAAGGGAGATGATATATAAATTGTGCATGTTGCATTTTGTAATTGCATCGTATTATATAGTGGTGGGACTCATCTCGCGGGGGGGGGGTAGTCTGCCTACCGAGATGAGGTGGACCGGTTGTTTTCATGGTGTGGACACACAACTTAATCCTCAACACCAATAAGACCAAGGAGCTTATAGTGGACTATAGAAGGAACAGATCAGTCATCCAGCCCTTGCTTATCAATGGAGACTGAGTGGAGCAAGTGGCCAGTTTTAAGTTTCTGGGTGTTACCGTAAAAGAGGACCTGACCTGGGGTGCACATATTGCAGCACTGGTCAAAAGGGCCCAGCAGAGATTATACTACCTGAGACTTCTCAGAAAACAACAACTGAGTGAAAAACTGCTGGTGATCTTCTAGCACTGCACCATAGAGAGTATCTTAACTTACTGCACCTCTGTATCGTTTGCCAATTGCACAGTGGCAGATAGGAAAGCACTCCAGAGAGTTAATGTCATTGCCCAGAAGATCATTGGTTGCCCTCTCCCCTCTTTGGAAGAGTTTTATATCTCCCACTGCCTTAAGAAAGTTCAAAACATTCTCAAAGATCCATCTCATCCTGGGAACCCCCTTTTTTTTTAAAGAAAAAAAAAGGGTGCCCATCTGACAGACGGTACAGAGTATTAAAAACAAGCACAAATAGGCTGAAAAACAGCTTCTATCCCAGTAGCTCTTTTGAATTCTACTGTATAGTGCGGTGTTGCGGGTTTTCGGTTCAATGTGTGGAGTGTGAAGGATGTATGTTTGTGTTTATTTTCATGGTCATGATGTGCACTGAAAATGTCGTTTGATTTTGTTGTATGAGGTGCAATGACAATAAAGTAAACTAAATTTATATTCAGTGATTTCTAAGAAAGTGAAATAACCTATATTAAAATTACATTTTATTAAAATGATTAGAGCAAGTAGAAAATATAGCGATAAAATAAAGTATCTTCAAAAATCAAACAAAATAGTAAAATAATAGCAATATTGTCTATTTTTCCAATTTTAATCCTACTGTTGAGCTATAGAATTATTACAAAAACAATAATTACAGCCACAAGGAGGAAAAAGTAAAAATTAATGCTAAATCACAGAGTAATAGTATCTGAGGGAGTACCTGAGGCAATAAAAATGTGTCTGATAGTCATAAAAACTATATGAAGATTGGTACATGGGAGAAGGCTAGGCCTAAAAAGGCTTGTAAGTGACAGCCACTTCAAGAAGTACTTTAACCAGTGAATTTAAAATATTGGTAAGGATAGATGGAAAATACAGGGATTTCTTCAGGTCCTTCTTCAAGTCCTTCAGGTACAGCCTTACCAAACCATGAAGAACCTTTGTAAAGCTGGTAGTTTGAATGGACTGAGAATCTACTGCATTCAGAGTTAGAACCATGATATTCAAAGAGCCACTAGATGGCAGCAAACACATGGCATTTCCTATATCTTTGTAGCGGTTGTCCAACTTTTGTAGCCCTGAACTGCCACTGGTAACCACACAGTGGTGCTTACAAGTTTGTGAATCTGATTGTATTTCCAGTATTTCTTCATAAATATGGCCTAAAACCTAATCCATTCTCTGTTTAATTCCTAAAACTAGATAAAGAGAATTGAGCAGATGAGTCAAAAGTATTATACAATACATGTTTATTTACTTACTGAAGAAAATGCTTGAAAGCTATACCCTAATTGCTTTGCCTATTGCAAATCTATGCATAATTCACTGAACTTTATTCCAGCTTCATAAGAACTGATTTACCAAATTCAGTTTCCCCATATGTAGCAAAGCTTATTTATATAGGTGCACTTAAGCAAGAGTGGGATTCAAATTTTTAACAACTGGTTCTGTGGGCATGGCTTAGTTCGTGGGCATGGTTTTGTGGTCATGTGATTGGGTGGATGTGGCTTGGTGGTCATGTTATTGGCTGGGCGTGGCCAATTCAATATCACTCACGAGGCATGCATCTCATCACCTGGCTTCTCATGACTGTGGGGATGCTGCAACAGTCGTAAGTGTGAAAAATGGTCATAAGTCACTTTTTTCAGTGCCATGGTAACTTTGAACGGTCACTCCACACAAAGTACCAGCAAAGGAGGGGAAAAAAACTCCAGAAAAGTTCCTGAGATAGGAAGTCTAGTCCTGCCAAGAATGTAATAAGGGTTAACGTGGAGGCAGTTTCTGTAAGCAACACCAGAATGTTTCCTTCCTGCTTTCCTTACAGGATTAGGCCGGTACTTTCTTCTAACAACCAGTTCTCCGAACTGCTTAGAATGTTAACAACTGGTTCTAGAGAATAGGTACGAACTGGTAGAATCCCACCCCTGCACTTAAAGGCTTCAACCATAATTTAAGTTCTTATCCAAGTAACTATTTTTTTGCCCCAATAAAAGTCCATTTTGGACTCTCCGTGAAGAAAATACTTGGATATTTATTCTTCCAGGCATCAGGCACACTCACACAACCATTCAGTAAGCAAGCCACACCCATATTTTAACATTTGTCCTATTGTACCATTTCTTCCATTTTTAAACATTCTCATAGCATTTATGATTTTCCCTTTTCTAGGGTATCAACTTTTACTACATTTGTTTCAATTCCACTCGTAGATGTTCCACTCTTATTCCTATATGTATATTTAAATCATTCACTCCAGTTTTGTTTTAATTCATCTAATCGTCCTTATTTTTAATTCCTTTCAAACCACTGGAGACTTCCTGATCAGTTCCTTTGTGATGGGTGGAGAATTGTTTTTATTATTAACTATTTCTTTTTCTTTGGATGTTTAAAATTACCTCAAAAATAAATTTTTCATCAGTAAGTTACTTTGCATTTTAAATATTTCCCTTGAAATTATTCCTGGGTTTCTGGACCATTAACAGTTTATGGTTTATGGTACAGTATAATTAAGGGCAAGGGAAATAACTCAAAACAATGTAACATTTCAGTGTGTCCAAAAATTGTTTGTACAGATGATTGTAAGACAAAAAAAAAAAACAAGAATCCACTGCTGATTAATTACAATGCTTGCTCTGTGAAACAAGGCAAGGTGCAATTAATCTTAAATACAGGTAATGCTAACAAACCAACTTGAATCTGTATTTTAAGAAAGTGACTTATTTTTAATTGCTATAAATTAAAATAGACTTCTGAACTGCTCCTATCAGGAGAGAAGAAGAAATACACAAGACCCTACTTTGAGCTTATCCTTGTAATCTAAGCTGTTGTTTAAGCACAGCCAAAGTGAAGCACAAGATGCTTGTTGCCCTATAGAATCAAGTGGCCAGTTGACTGCAGGAACAGATTTCTTTGTCTTGTCCTCTATTTGTTCTTCCCCTTTTCTTTTCCTAGTTTAAACATGTGATCGCCAGTCTCTTCATTGTCACATTCATCGTCTGCTCTCTTATTGTTCTCTTTCTTCAGGTGTCCTATTTTATGTTCACAATGATCAATTTTTTAAACCTTCCCTACTCCTCAACAACCCCTTTCATAATCCAGATTATCATTCTGAGCTACTTTTTGTCTCCCATGAGATAAAATATTCAGAAGCTCTGTGTGTGTGTGTGTGTGTGAGAGAGAGAGGGGGGGGGCTGGCTTTTGGGAGAATAGTACACACAGAAATAATATGCTTTCTCTAACACACAGGCCTCAAATATTTTTCCTTAATTTATAGTTCTATTTATCATTAAAAATGTATGATCTTCCACTCAGAAGTAGAACCACTGAGTTCTAGAGATCTTTTTCAGAAAGTATATATAGTACCGTATTGTCCTATTTCTGGACCTGGTTTGGCTCTTTCACAATTTTGGGACCTGTTCAATTACATCATAGGTAATTTCAAATGTATAATATTTGATCTTCCCCAGATTAACATGCAATGGAGTAAAAATAAAGCTGGACCTGCTGAGGATATCACCCTCAAAATCAAAGTGACAGAACCCCAAACCTCAGTTGGACTTTTAGTTATTGACAAAAGTATAAATTTGTTGGGAAAAAGAAATGATATCACAGAGGATGCTGTAAGTTTCTTTTTCTTTTTTCTTTTGCAAGAGTGCATTGGTTTAGATAGAAGCACTATGTTTTATTGTGACTAGTTCCCTTAAACAAATTGAAACTATAAAACAGTTAATAATATGCATTAATGTTAATCTATTTTATTTGCAATAAACTTCATTCTCTGATAACCTGAATAATGTTATATTCTATATCAAATATGTTTGCATTTATTTACCTCATTTTCTGATAAGTATGCAGTTAAGAAGGATTTCATAAGGATACATAATTCTCATTTTTGTTAAAGTAGAATATTCATAGCAAAAGAAATAATGGAAACCAAAAACAAATGTAATGAATTCACATGCATTTACAAATCATCAGCAAGCTCTTAATGAATAATGAAAAAGAAATAAAATATCTTTAGACATTTCCAAGAAGTTTTATGCTGATGGTAAAACTGTTGGCCAATTAGAGCTCAGTCTTTGGTGGCATTCTTCACTGCCCTGGTTCAAAAATTTTATTAGTAAATTACTTCCTTGTACAGCAACTCAATTACTAGGCTTCCATCAAACAGCTATCTTCAGAGAAAAGTCATAATGAATTAATTTTGTTCTGAAGATTTTTTTCATATGCCTTCCACATTGACATATTAAAATCATACAGTAATTATGCACCCATGCCCTATTTTATTTTATCCAGTTTCTGGGGTTGAAAAACGTGTGTGGCCCACTAACATAGATACTAATACATTGTGTTATCCCTGGTTAAATTTTCCTTGAAAGATATAAATATTTTTTTTAAAAAGTTGGTTGTTTTACCTTTGATTTATCTCTACTTTTTAAAAAATAGATACACCATGAGCTAAATTTATATGATACAAAACCGTATGATGTGGAAGCTGGAAGTGCTTTCAGTGTTTTTCAGGTACAGTTGCATATTATATAGCTGCTAATTTTCATGTTCCCCGATGTGGTTTGGTTCCTGAAGGTATATGAAAGTGTCTATCTTTTTCTCTTTCACACACACACATGAACACATAAAGAGCTTCCCCATAAGGTAGTATCATAGAAACATAGAAAAGTGACCTTTGAGGCAGTGGTGGGATTCACATGTTTTTACTACTGGTTCTGTGGGCGTGGCTTGGTGGGCATGGCAGGGGATTGAAGACCCTTGCTGTAAAATCTCCAGTCAGAGGTGGGATTTGCCGGTTCTCCGAACTACTCAAAATTTCCGCTACTGGTTCTCCAGAATTGGTCAGAACCTGCTGAATACCACCTCTGCTTGGAGGTTTTTTAGTCCACTCTACCCCTTATTCCATCCTAGACAAATGACTATCCAATCTTTTCTTGAAAACCTCCATTGATCTACAACTCTGGGAGGCAAGCTATTCCATTGATTAATTCTTCCACTGTCAGGAAGTTTCTCCATAGTTCCAGGTAGGATGTCTCTTTAATGACCTTTCACCCATTGCTTCTTGTCCTGCCCTCAGATGCTTTTGAGAATAAGTCAACCCCCTCTCTGTGATTGCCCCTCAAGTACTGGAAGACATACCTCCAATTCTGTGTATATGTGTAGTTTTTTCTATGTGATCTAAAATACATTTTGAAAAATAATTAAAATGTATGTATTTATTTATTAAATTAAATGCGGCCCATTTCATGGTCTGAAGCTACTCTGGGCAGCATATACTGATATATTGCATGTAGTTAAACTGAAAAATATTTTATGCATTGCATTCAGAATAACAATCTCTGGATATTGACTGATGCCAACCTTTCAGAACATGAGGACTATGATGATTGTAAGTAAAGACAAATCAAGAAATGAATCTAGCATTTCTGGGGCAGATACATACTTGACTTTCAAACCTCCACTTCTTTATCTGCCTCAGAAAAATAGGCCTTTCCTTTATTCTGTTTAATTACTCCCTGTCACACTCTTTTTGATCTCAAAGGAGATCATTATCTTTTCTAATACCAAGTACTCTTTAGTCCGTATAGTAGTGAAGATGACAGAATCAAAGACAGATTGAATGTTCAGCCAAGGATAACTATTCGAAGAAAAATTTGGTACAGTAGTTAAGCCAGTTTGCTCTAGTGGTTAAAGCATCAGGCTAGAATCCTTAAATTCTAGTTCTGCCTCAGACATGAAAGCCCACTGGGTGAATTTGGGCTAGTCACTCTCTCTCTATCAACCCACCTCACAGGGCAGTTGTTGTGGGAAATGTAGGAAGAGGAAGGAGTATTCTGTATATTTCACAACTTTCCGTTCAATATAAAATAATAAAGGTGGGATAAAACAATTCTAATAAATAAAAAATATAGTTTGTGACTATATTTAGATTAAATTCATTTATTCTTATTTACATATTATGTTGAAAGAGAGGAAAAGAAAGAGTAGAACAGATTCTTTATCTACTGTGCAAATTTCTTGTCCATTCTAACCATCAGTGAGGGTTTTTAAAGCACATTAAGGTCTCTAACCATTTTTTTTCTAACCTTTCCTATTTGTAGCTATTCAAACCTGATGAATATTGGATTCATGCAGGTTTCTTCTAAAGAAACTTCTCTTCCTCACAGAAATAATTGTGCAGTCATATTGCTCCTTTTATGTTACTCAAGGTTTCCCTCTTTTATTTCTTCAAGATCTTTATTCAGCTCACCTGCAGAAAAACTTTGCTGATTTCTACAAATTTAATTTTAGGACTGTGATATCAGTTCCCTCAGAGTGCTCTGTCTCTGAATTTCTTACTCTTCTGGTTTTCTTGTAATGGTTTATCCTCTCTTTGTGTTTGCTGCTTATTATGTTCTGTTGCAAAGCAAATCTTTGGTGGATAAGAGAGTTCTTTGGTTCAAATGTCCTTTTGTGGAGCAATTTTTTTATAGATTTTTAAATGTAAAAACATACAGAAAAAAATCAGACTATGTTTGGGATGGGAGGAAGATGAGATTGCACTTTTCCAAAATATATGAGATTGCCATTTAAAAAAAAAAAACCCTAGGCATTCTACATTATGACAGAACCTTTTAGGAATGGAGACTTTTGCCTGGTTATGTGATCTTACAAAGTTGGCAAAAGTTATAAAAAAGATGAGACACTCCTCAGCTTAGGTGCAAGTTTCAGAAAGTAAGAGTTTGTATAGTAGATTTTTCCCAAGAAAAGATTAATGCTACTCTGTCATTGTTCTAGATGTTGAACTGTGAATCACACAGCAAAATGCACATTCCCCCCTCCCCCCAAATGCTGTAAATAAATAAGGAAGGCAAGCAGGCAGGCAGACAAAGAAATTTTTAATCTCAGCTTACAGTTGATTTGTCAAATAGCTTTTCATTTAGCTATTTATTGGTTCTCATCCTGCTTATTTTCTTAAGAGACTAGTACCGTGTTTCTCCAACAATACGGCCTCCCCCAATAGAAAGTCCCAGCATGCTTTATAGGCATAAAATCAAATTAAGCCCCTCCTCCTAAATTAAGGCCTATATTAAGCATGCGAAATGGGAGTGGCGGGGGGGCTGGTCATTAGGAAGCACTTTTGTTGCATACCCGTATATGGTGCTGCCTGCATGGACCTCGGTGTTGGTGGGGCACTTTGTATCGGAGACCTTCCGCCATTGCTTTCCCTTCTCCCCGTGATGCTGCGGAGTTTAAAGCAACACCGCGGCATTTGGTGCAGCCATGCACGGCCAGCCAGGGCTCTTCCCTGCAACCAGAGCCTGGCGGAGACACTCGGCTTCGGGTGCTCCTATCGCTGCCTCCCCTTTGCCTTCGAAGGCAAAGCCAATTCTTTTCAAAACAACACCCTACTACCGGTACGACAAAGACTCCCCTGCCCAAAAGGGCAGCCCAACCCCACAGGGCCGCAGCGCAGGATCAGCCCACCCCAGGAGCAGTGCCCAACCGCCATCCCTGCCTGGCGCCGGGCAGAGCGTGAAGAGCTTCGTCTGGGGCACCCAGCACAGCTGACAGGCAGGCCCTCCTGCCCAGTGGTGGAGCTCTCACCAAGGCAGTGAACGCCTCCATGCTGGACCCTCTGCTCATCCCACCAGAGCCGTGTGGGCTGGGCAGAGCTGGGAAAGCGAGCCGTGGGTGCGCACCCGCCTGCCAACCGAAAGAGCCGGGCCGACCTGAGTTTGGCTTCCTTCCCAAGTCCCTCAAAGCCCGAACCCAAAGGGAGAGGCTGTGCGAGGAAATGATAGCGCCCGCCCCTCCGCGGACAGGGAGGCAAGGCGACAGCGCCGCTGCTTCCTTGGCTGGCAGGTCCAGCGGAGAGAGCCTGAAGCCACCCGTCCTTTCCACCCTTTGCCCAGCCTGTCCCCGTCCCCATGCATCTCCAAATGCGCTGGCAGCTCCAAACGCTGCAGCGGCATGGACATCGGGCAGAGGCGCTCACTCAGCGGGGCTCAGCTCAGAGGAGGACGTGGTGCAGGTGGTTACCTTGCCTCCCTGTCCATGGGTGGGTGGGCACTGTAACTGCCTCGGGCAGCCTCTCCCGGTGGCCCCTTCGGGTTCAGGCTGGAGGGACTTGGGAAGGAAGCCAAGCTTGGGTCAGCCCGGCTCTTTTGCTTGGCAGGAAGGCACGCACCCGTGGCTCACTTTCCCGGCTCTGCCCAGCCTGCACAGCTCTGGCGGGATGAGCGGTGGGTCTGGCGGGGAGGCACTCGCTGCCTTGGTGAGAGCTCCGTCACCAGGTAGGAGGGCCCACCTGTCAGCTGCGCTGGGTGTCCCAGGCGAAGCTCTTTGCGCTCTGCCTGGTGGCTGGGTGCTTCCTCTGGGGTGGGCTGATCCTGCGCTGCGGCCCCAGAAGATTCGCCTCCCCACGTGGGGTTGGGTTGCCCTCTCGGGCAGGGAAGTCTTTGTCGTACCAGTAGTAGGGTGTCGTTTTTAAAAGAATTGGCTTTGCCTTCGAAGGCAAAGGGAAGGCAGCAACAGGAGCACCTGAAGCTGAGTGTCTCCGCTGGGCTCTGGTTGCAGGGAGGAGCCCTGGCTGGCCGCGCATGGCTGCGCCAAACGCCACGGCATTGCTCTGAACGCCGCGGCAGCACGGGGATAAGGGAAAGCAATGGTAGTGGAAGGTTTCCCAATACGAAGTGCCCCACCAACACCGAAGTCAACATCCAAGTTGTCACCGCCCGCCTGCCCACCCGAGGATGCAAGGGGGGGGAATTAAGTCACCCCTGAAAAGACGGCCTAGCCGTTTTTTTGGGGGTCAAAAAAAAATAAGGCCCAGTCTTATTTTGTGAGAAACATGGTAGTCATCAGTTTATATTTTCTAGTATATATTCTGACCAGCTGATGAAGTAGACACAGTAGAGTGAAAGCTGTTTGCACAAAACATGACAGAGGAAAATTAAAAGAGTGCAGACCCAGGTGGCAAACTCTTGCTATTGATCAGAGGTCTCCAAACTTGGCAACTTTAAGACTTGTGGACTTCAACTCCCAGAATTTTCCAGCCTGGCTAGAGAATTCTGGGAGTTGGAGTCCATAAGTCTTAAAGTTGCCAAGTTTGGGGACCCCTGCTATAGATGTGGCTTGTGATGCTTAGACAAAAAGGAGTTGACAAATATAATTTGTAACAGAGTGGAGTGTAAATATTAAACTTTATATCTGAAACCTATATTCTGTTAGGTGAGCGGAGGTGTGGCATCGTTTGCATAATACAGGGAAAATATGCTCTGAAATGAATCCCTTAGCTCTTCCCCTGCTCAGTTCCCCTGCTCAACAATTTCTTGTTTGTTTAAGACTTCTATTTAATATGAGTCCATTATGAACGCTACTTCTTTTAGCAAGAAGACATCAGAGAGGATGCTTTCTTTCTAACTTCCCTTTTAAAATTGACGCAGGTTTTTTTTTCCAGCTGTGCTGGCACAGTTAGATCTCACGGCTTTCATGCTTTGTGTTAGTTTTGTGAGTCTTCCTTTCCTGTGGGAAGAATTTTGGTTAAATTAAGGTTTAAAAGTTTGCCTTCCAACTCTGTATTTTTTGAATTATTAGAGTACTTTTCAGAACAATATGTTCCTGGATGGATGTGGGAACAGAAAAAGGAGGAAATTGACAAAAATCAAGCCCCTTTCATCAGTGGCATCTCATCATACATCTGGGGATGGAACAAGCCATTCTTGTAACAGAAATTAAACTGTCTGGCCTAACTTATACTGCTCTCTTGCATCCAAAATCCTCACCCTATTCTTTTCTTGTTTGTTCCAGTACTGGATTATGTTTTGTATGACATGGAAGACATGGCTCCTCTATCTGTATCCCATGAATATATCCCAGCATTGCATGACAGTGATCTCCATGTGAGGAAGAATTTTCCAGAGACTTGGCTTTGGCAGGAAATAATGACAAGGTATAAACTTGTGTGAAGACAGCTTTCTTTATTTTCCCCTACAGATAATCATAAATGTTTGTGGGACTTCCAGGGAAGAAATTGCAAATTAAGGACAGTTCTGCTAAAGGCGGAATGAAGCCCTGGCAAATAGCTGTGGTAATATATTTTATTCTGTGGGTCCTTGTATAGCTTTGCATAGATCTAGGGACTAAAAAATGCCCCTGGTGGGGGGGGCATTTCCGCCTGCTATGGGTGTTTTTGTCCTGTTAGGACCTGCGAAGCTTAGAGGACCAGATATGTCGGTGAAAGGTCATAGTATATAGCTGAGCCATTCCCATGGGAATAGCTGAGCCATTCCCATGGGAATTTCCGCAGATGTATATTCTCATCCTGTTTATTCTCATCCTATATATCCTGTGGAAATAACATCCTGTTGAGGTCACTTGTTTTCTGTATATGCATTTTGTTCTCAATAAAAGCTGGTACCTGGGTCTACTCGGGGCTGGCATAAGCTCAGACGTTTTCCCTGCGTCTCATTTCAAATGTCAGACCACCACAAGTGGTGACCCCGACGTGATAGCTTTGGAAGGCTATACGTTTCCCGCATCCTATACTCATCGTCGCGGACGTCGACTGGGCCCTCATCTTCTTCGCTGGACGGAGATAGATTCTTTTCGTAAGTATGGGAGGAGATTTCTCGAAGGCTCAGACAGGGCACATTAGGGAAATGAGAGAAATCACTGGGAATAGGTTTAAGTTTGGAGTTCATAGTAGAGGACATGCAGTAGGAAAGAAAGAAATTGAGGACTTATTACAGTATGTTTGGAAACATATTCCGTGTTATCCAGAGGGAGGTAGTATTAAAGTAGAGTGCTGGAGAAAGATAGGGAAATTTTTGCACGAGGAGCCTCGTGCCCCTTCTTCAATTTTGTTAACCTGGAGGATGGTTATGGATGCATTAGCTACTCATGAACAACCGCTCCTAGCACCCCCTGAAGAAGGTTTGCCGCCTTACCATGCGGTACGTATATTGCCACCGACAGCACCTCCAGATAAATCCAGAGGACTGTCAGGCACTGAAAATACTTTGTCAGAAAAGAAGAGTTTGCCTTTAAGAGTTCAAGTAGATGCAGTTACTGCAGCTATTCAGGAAGCAACAAATAGAGGGGAATTATCAGGAGATGATTTGGTAGAATTTGGAGTGGAGATTCAACTTAATCCAGTAGAAATTGGTGTAGATGTTGCTTTAAATCCACAGAGAGTATGGAAGCCTCTGCCTCTCAGTGTTTTAAAGGAAATTAAGCAAGCAGTGAAAGAATACGGTGTTAGATCGCCATTTGCTCAGGCATTGCTAGAAGCAGTTGGTTATGGAAATAAAATGATTCCAGCTGACTGGAAAGCTCTGTTAAATATGATTCTAACCCCAGCTCAATTTTTGGTATTAGATCAGAAATGGAGGCAGCTGGCAGTTCAAAGGGGAACAGCAAATGTTACCGCAGATCAGCTTTATGGAGCTGGTAATTTCACAACAGTGGAACAACAAAGAGATGGAATGCCAGAAGAGGGGTTCGTTCTTCTCCCACAGTTAATTTTACAAGCCATAGGAGTTCTCCCTGATGGCGAAGGTGGTGAGAAGACCTTTACTAACATCAAACAAGGGAACAATGAACCCTATGAAAATTTCATTAGCAGATTGAAATTGGCTATTGAAAGGCAAATTGACAATCAATTTGCCCGGAATGAATTGCTTTTGAAGTTAGCAGTAGAACAGGCAAACGCAGATTGCAGGAAGATTCTGAATCCACTTATCGCGAGCGGAGAGCGAGAGATCGCTGATTTGATAAACGCATGTAGAAAGGTGGGGAGTCAGACTTTTAACATGGAAACTTTAGCTCTGGCTCTGCAGGCAGGAAATGCTAAAAAAGGAACTTGTTTCAATTGTGGGAAGCCTGGACATTTTAAAGCGCAATGTCGGGCTCCTGGAGGGGGTCAGAGTCAGCAAAAAAGGAGATTATTAGGACAGGGTGTTCGTCCTAAATCAGTGTGCCCGAAATGTAAAAAAGGATACCATTGGGCAAATCAGTGCAGACTTCATTCTGAAGGAAAAAACTAGGAAGCAGGGATCAGGGCATTCTCCCTACTCTAAAGAGTGAAGTAATGTCCGAAGGGTTGGAGCCACCAGAGAGAGGTAGGAATCAAATATGGTCACCAGCTACAAAAGGTTCAGCAGGAATTGATCTTCCATTAGCTGAGGATTTGGAATTGGGATATCCACATGTAGTTTGTTTAGGGTCAACGGATTTCTATGGACCGTTGCCTCCGGCTTCTGTGGGTCTTCTTCTTCCTAGATCATCAGCTCATAAGCGTAAATTGTTTGTGGTTCCTGGGGTTATTGATTCGGATTATGAGGGTCAGATCAAAATTCAAGTTCATTCACCTGCTCCTCAATCTTTGAAAAAAGGGGATTGTTTTGCACAGCTTTTAGTTTTGCCATATCTGTCTTTGGGGGAATCAGATAGAATTCGCCAGGGTGGATTTGGATCTACAGATATGTTTAGTGAGTCTAGTGTGTTTTCCATCATGCAAAATGTCAAGGCTGATCAGAAACCAAAATTAACTCTTTTGGTTGAAGGCAGACAGTTTATTGGATTGCTGGACACTGGAGCAGATGTCTCGGTGATTAGTGAAAGTGAATGGCCTAGGGAGTGGCCGACAGATCCTACACCGTCTGTTCGAGGAGTCGGAGGACTTCAAGACGCACGGGTTAGTAGGAGGATTCTTTCTGCCAAAACAAAGCAGGGAAGTGCTATTGCACATTTCCAACCGATTGTTTTGCGCCTTCATATTAACTTGTGGGGCAGGGATTTGATGCAACAGTTTGATACAACAGTTGTCATTCATGATGACTGAACACCCACCTGTGGAGTTATTAAAATTACAGTTACTCCAGCAGGAGCCAGTTTGGATAGATCAATGGCCTTTGACTAGTGAGAAATTAGTTCATTTACATAAATTGGTTCAACAACAATTGGAAAAGGGACATATAGTGCCTACCACTAGTCCTTATAATTCTCCAGTCTTTGTTATCAAGAAGAAATCTGGAAAATTGAGATTTCTTCATGATCTGAGGGGGATAAATTCAATTTTAAAGCCTATGGGCCCACTACAGTGTGGGACACCTAATCCTAATTTAATACCTGATGGATGGAACATAAGAGTGTTAGATTTGCAAGATGCTTTCTTCTCCATTCCTCTGCACCCTGAAGATGTAGATTTGTTTGCTTTTACTATTTTGAGTATAAATCAGGGGCAACCCGCTAAGCGATATGCATGGACTGTCCTTCCACAGGGAATGTTAAATAGTCCTACCATGTGTCAAATGTTTGTAGATCGGGCTTTGCAACCTTTCCGGAGTAAATTCCCGGATTGGAAGGTTTATCACTACATGGATGATATTTTAATAGCTGCTAATATTTCTGATGCTGCAATGGATTCTGCTGTCATTCTTTTAACTGCTATACTGAAGGAGAAAGGGCTGATAGTCAGCCCTGAGAAATTGCAAAAGGAATATCCTTTTGCCTATCTAGGTCATAAATTATTCTTGAGTCACATTACACCTCTGAAATTGGAATTTGTTCTTCCTGATCCTTTAACTTTGGTAGGTTTACAACAATTTTTGGGTCATATAAATTGGATCAGACCATATTCGGGTTTAACTACTCTTCAATTAAGTCCTTTGTTTCAAGCTTTGGCTAGTGCTAAGCAAGCATCTGATATAATAACCCTGAATAAAGAACAAAAGGGGATCTTGTCATTGATTGAGCAAGCTTTGAGTCGAAGGTGGACAGATAGATGTTTGCCAGATTGTCCATTATCAGTGATCTTAATCTCAGAACGAAGGGCTACTGCATTGATAGTTCAGGTAAAAGAAAAAACAGCTTTAAGGATTCTGGAATGGATTCATTTGTCTCATACACCATCGAAATCCATAAATTGCATCACAGAACAGCTTGCTGATATTTTTAATCGTGCTCGTCAGCGCTGCAAGGCTATTGCTGGTATGGAACCAGTAACATGTTATGTTCCTTTTGCTTTAGCTACATGGGAACAAATGATTTGCAATAGTGAGTTTTTGCAAGTTTTGGTAGATTCTTGGCCAGGGAAGTTTTCTTGTCATCCTCCAGCCGATCCTAGGTTATCTTTGTATAAATCAGTTAGAATTAATCTAGCAAATCTTTTTGTGACTCAGCCTATATCAGATGCCCCTACAGTCTTTACTGATGGAGGGAAAGTTTTTGGTGCTTGTGTTTGGAAAGATAAATCTGGAATTTGGCATACAAAAGTGACATCAGAGCAGAAGTCTGCCCAGCAGGCAGAACTTGCTGCTGTGGTTTTGGCTTTTCAAAATTTTCAAAATCAGGATTTTAATCTAATAGTGGATTCTTTGTATGTATATAATTTGTTGCCCTTTGTAGCAGGTTCTTATTTGTCTCCTGGAATATCACCCAATATTCTACGTTTGCTTTTGTTGTTGCAAGGATGTTTGGAGCAGCGTGTGAATGTGTGTTTTGTTGCCCATATTCGTAGCCATAGTAATTTACCTGGAATTTTATCACAAGGCAATGCCAAAGCTGACAGTGCTGTAACTTCAGTTCTCACTGTCCAGCCATGGGACAGCCATAGTTATTTTCATCAAAATGCTAAAGCGTTGGCACATCAATTCAAGCTTACTGCTGCAGAAGCTGCTGCCATAATTCAACAATGTCCAACTTGTTCAAAACAGGGCACGGCTATTCCTATGGGAGTCAACCCCAGGGGGTTGAAACCTTCAATGATTTGGCAAATGGATGTTACTCAGTATCCATCATTTGCACCTTGGAAGTATATACATGTGACTGTGGATACTTATTCAGGATTCCTAATGGCTACTCCTCAAAGAGGTGAAGCGGTTAAACATGTCATCAATCATTGCATTAAGACATTTTCAGTTGCTGGTACGCCTCAAACTTTAAAAACAGACAATGGTGCAGCTTATCGGAGCACAGTCTTTGATCAGTTTTGCAAACAGTGGTCCGTGGAACATAAATTTGGGATTCCATACAATTCCACAGGACAGGCTATTGTAGAGCGTTATAATGGCACGCTCAAGAACATGTTAGCTAAATTAAATAAAAAAGGAGGGAAGCTCCTGGGGCTTCCGGCAATTCAAGATCATTTAAATCTTGCTTTGTATACTTTAAATTTTTTAAATTTGTCTGGTAACCCCCCTGCGAGTGCGGCCAGCAGGCATTTTTCTTCTCCTTCTACAGATGCAGTGAGGCCTCGAGTGTTGGTGCGATTCCTTCCGGATCCGGCATGGGTTCCCGCTGAGCTGATTACGTGGGGACGTGGTTATGCAGCAGTAGAACATCTTGGTCAAATTCGTTGGGTTCCTGGTCGATGTATTCGGCCTGATCATTCACAGGCGTCTTCGCAGGTGCAGGAGGTTCCTGATTCTCAGGATGGCGTTTCCGTGGTTCCTGATTCTCTTGATGCCGGCAGTCCAGGCGTGGCGCTGTGAAGGCTGGGAAAAGATGACTGCTTATCTGAGGTTATCAACTTGTTTGCAGCAGGTTCCTCTGGGGAATCAGACTAAATTGATCTGCAAACAGCGGCATCCTTTGATTTTTCCAGCATATTGGTCCTGGCATAAGGGTCAAGACATTCTTTACTCGGGACCTGATAAGGATATTATATCTTCAGCCTGTGCTACAACTCTGATCCTGTTTAATGTTTCTGTTTCAGACTATGGACAATATAGATGTCAATTGGAGTTACCTAAGTTACCTTACACAGACTCTCTTTCCATTCGTCTTATGCCTCCACGGACTCTAATGCGGAGGCGGAGAACTGCTATTATCTCAAAAACTAGAGACCTTGGTGATAATTTATGGAAAGAAAATTCCTACATCAAGGACATTCGGATGGCAGCTAAGGGTTTAAATGTAACTAATTGTTGGCTTTGTATTCATGTGCCTGGGTCTGGGAAAGGTGGAGTTTTGTTACATGGTGTTCCTTTGAATGAGCAAAACAGTGCTAATTTTGATTATAATGATTTTAAACATTGGCTTTACTGGGGTCCAGACCCCGAAAAGTGGAATCAAACATTATTCACAACAAAGGTAACTTTCACTACCAAAGCATCGGTTTGTTATTACCGCCCCCCTGTAGGGACTCAATCTATTTTGCTGGGAAATACTACACCCTGTAAGAAGGTGATTCCTTTGGAAGGAGGATGTATGAAATGTGTAAAAAGCATTACTAGTAAGAGCAACTGCATAAATCGGACATCTTCTACGTTATCCAAGGCTTTGAAAGTTTCCCGTGACTGTTGTGTAAATCGGACAACCACTAAGAGGCCTGACATTGATCACGGGGCATATGTTCTCTGTACTTGGATGTGGCTAATGTGGGGTTGGGAAAGTCAGGCCTCCAATAATATCTATCATAAGCATTTAAAATACTTTCCTCTTCCGGATGGGTTATGGCTGCTATGTGGGGATACTGCTTATCAACAATGGCCAAAGGATTGGTCTGGGGTGTGTACGATTGGGCATGTCATCCCAGTAATATATAAGTTAGACCAACTGCCCAAGGCCCGGATTCGTAACAGGAGGGAGGTGGATTCGGGTCTCACCACGGGAGGGTGGTGGTTAACTCAACTTTCCAGGGCGGCATTACCACCTTTGGGGGTGGCTATGAACTATCGGGATCTGCATATTTTAAATAATTTCACTGTTGCTATGTTTAATAATACTGTTAAGAGCATTAAGATGTTAAATGAAGAAGTGTCTGAAATTCGCCAAATTACTTTACAAAATCGTTATGCTTTAGACATAATATTAGCTGCTAAAGGAGGAGTTTGTGCTTTAATTCATTCACATTGTTGTATTTTCATACATAATTATGAGCCTAACATTACAAAAACTGTTCACGATATGGAAGACCGCATAGCTGAACACGAAGCAGGAAAAGATGGCTTTGATAAGTCACCTTGGGCTTTGCTATGGGATTGGCTTCCTGACAGCTCATGGTTACGTTCATTGCTTCAATTAGTTGTGACAATTGTTATTATACTTATTATGTTATGTTGCTGTATTCAATGTATTCCTAATCTATTTCAAATATGTACCTCAGTTCTTCAGCGTACGAGACAAAGTCGCAAGGGAACTGTGTATTATGCCACTAAAACACCCCCTATCTTTGAATAAATAAAAAAGGAGGGAATGTGGTAATATATTTTATTCTGTGGGTCCTTGTATAGCTTTGCATAGATCTAGGGACTAAAAAAATGCCCCTGGTGGGGGGGGCATTTCCGCCTGCTATGGGTGTTTTTGTCCTGTTAGGACCTGCGAAGCTTAGAGGACCAGATATGTCGGTGAAAGGTCATAGTATATAGCTGAGCCATTCCCATGGGAATAGCTGAGCCATTCCCATGGGAATTTCCGCAGATGTATATTCTCATCCTGTTTATTCTCATCCTATATATCCTGTGGAAATAACATCCTGTTGAGGTCACTTGTTTTCTGTATATGCATTTTGTTCTCAATAAAAGCTGGTACCTGGGTCTACTCGGGGCTGGCATAAGCTCAGACGTTTTCCCTGCGTCTCATTTCAAATGTCAGACCACCACAATAGCAAAGTTCTTAATTGTGTAACTTTATGGTGAAAATATCAGTTTCTGAAGAGCAAAAAGTGATTAAGCTGCCCTCTGTTCTCCCCTCACCTATAAAGTGACCTCAGGGCCCAATTTTCTGCTTCTCTGACACCCACTTCTATCCTTTGCCACCTAAGTGATGCTTAAGTGGTATTGTTTATTTTGGCTTGAGTATTTTAGTTGGTTGCAAGCTAACCTCAGCAGCTTATTGGTTATTTTGCAAATGAAGGAATGGCTTTTCATTTGAGTTCTGACTTTGTTTTAATATTTGCATTAAGTGAACAGAATTAAATACATTTTATTAAAGAGTTTAAAAATAAAGATAGTTGAACCTTGATTTTATCATCCAGCAACTGTTTGAAATTATGATGGCACTGATTAAAGGGTGATTATGACTGGTCCTCAGTTCTAGCTGTCCCAGCAAAAAAAACCCAACAACCTATGATCACATGATCACAATGTGAGCACTTGACAGCCAGGTTGTACTTATGGTTGGTTGCAGTAACTCACAATCATGTGATTGCCATTTGTGACTTTTCCTGAGGGATTCTCCAGAAAGCCAATAGGAAAGCTAGAAGGGAAGGTCACAAGCTACTGAGGTAAGACTCTTCCTTACACATGCAGCCTCTCTGAGAACCACCGTCCTGCAGTCTCCCATTGGGAGTCCAGATGGACATCTTATTCTTTACTCATCTGAAGAGGTTCAGTGAGATCAGCTTATTGCCAGTCTGTTGGTCTTAGCTATATCTCTATTCCTCTGGAGCTTGCCATTGCCTCACCTAGAAATCCCCAAGGAAAAGGAAATCTTACATATCTAAGTTTTATTTATAATCGATATCAGAGATTTTTTTTTTCTAAAAATTGACTGTTCTATTGAAAAACAGCTTATCAAATGGCCATTTCCCTCCCAATCACCTAGCTCCCTGAACTGGAGTTGAAGTAAGCTGAAACTAATGGCTATTTTGTTTCATATTTCTCCAAATGCATATATATTTCTTTGGACCAGTATATTGTGAGAGCTAGTTTGGTGTAGCAGTTAAGGCACCAGGCTAGAAACCGGGAGACCAAGAGTTCTATTCCCACCTGAAGCAAGAAGCCAGCTGGATGATTTTGGGCAAGTCACACCAGTCAGTCTCCCTCAGCCCTATGTAATGGTAAACTTTTTCCAAAAAACCTTGCTGAGAAAACTTCAGGGATTTTTTCAGATAGTTGCAAGGAATCAAAACTAACTTGAAGGCAATCATACAGAGTATATTGTGGCAAACTATAAAGTGTGTAAGAAAAAAGGTAATGTCTAAACATGTAACAGATACCTGCTGGAACATATACCCAAAATAAGATCCTTAGGTTATAATATGTTAAATGAACGTTTAGAATCAAGTGTTTCTATGTCTTGTAATGTTTCAACTCTCCAAAACATATATGTGACAATTACCTTCATATTGGGAGACATGAATGGATTTTTGGATCTATCATGTGCGTAGTGCAAATTCATTACTATTCCTATAAAAAATTAACTTACTTAAACAAAACAAGATTCCTACACCAGGAAAGTCACTCTAGATTTTCTGTCCTTTTTATTCTGTCTTTTTTCATCTTTAGATCTACTGAAACAACAATAAATGTTACTGTTCCTGATACCATTACATCCTGGGTAGCCAGTGCATTTATAATATCTGAAAATCTTGGATTGGGTGTGATGAAAATACCCATTGAGGTAATAAATCATTAAGTTGATTCTGCTCATTTTCTGTGAAAATAAGAATTTACAAACACTTATTGAATTTCATATTTACTAGCATAGCTTCTGTTCAGTAGTTCTTTAAAGTCTCTTAGTCATTCATTTGTTTTTTAAAACATATTTCTATATAACTTACCATCAACATTTTATATCAGGATAGTTTATTTTAATGCCATAAAAATCAAGCCCAAATGAAACTGAAAATACAATATTTGTCATCTATGAACATAGCAGCCTTAAAATAAGATAATTTTCAGATGTTATATTTTAGCCTAAGATATGTAGAAGCTGGGACATTTCATGCATCTTTCCAATAATTCAAATATTAATTTGCATGTGCCGAGGACTTGGAGGACAGAGTCACAAATAGAGAAAATTCTCTAAGTGAAACTCAATCATATTGAAATAGTGAGAGCTTCAGTGATATATTAATAGCATCAGGTAGTTGGGCACAATGGCTTATTTTTTAATACAGTTTATGGATTTTGAGCAAAGAGTGAAAAGATGCCAGCTGACTTAATATAACATTGTTTTCAATGCATTGGTGGATCTATTTTGGTGGTTTTTTTCAAACCCACCTCCATAGGAATCTGTCCCAGCATACTGTAGCTCAGCAAACTCTGTCAATTTCTACTGAAATTGTAAAGATGGTGAAACCAGCTGAGGGTAATACAGCAAACTGCTGAGAAGAGCTTTTGGTATGTTGTGTACAGCAAGTCTAGAAAAGCAAAACTAGTAAAGCAACTAGAATATTGCAAGAGATGAACAGACTGTAGAGGGCAGTCTAATATAAGAAAAAGGGTTGGTGAGTCAACAACCAAAGCCTTTTCACAGTAAAGTTAACTTTTTGTTGCCTTATAAATAGAGAAGTCTTCCTGTTCTCTAGAAGATCTGCAATATTCTATATTCTTGGCCCCTCCTCCAGTCCTTCTCAAATGACATAGGAATAATATGGGCTTGGTGCTGTAAGGTTCTCACCTGGATTGTTTTAAGATAAGAATTTTAGTTTAAAAATATGCAACATTCAATGTGAAATCTTAGAGTTTACTAAAGCAAAAAGTTGGTTGGGGTCCAGATCTTAAATTTGCATCTGCAGTTACACATGTAATAAAAAAAAATTAGAGGCATCCTCTAATTCCGTGTTTTGGATTCACATCTTAAAGTTTATTTCAGGATTAGATACAAAATACAGTAAATATTTATTTAATGTATATTGGTAGATATTGTTTTAATGAAGCACTTTCAGTAAAGGATGTGCTTGGCTGCACATGGTTACAGTCGAACACCTTTTATATATTCAAAACCAGAATTTCACTCCGGTTTTCTTGGTGACTGATTTCATCACTGTACATTCTTGGCTTGCTTAGTTCCTAGTCAGAGATTGCCATATGGTTACATCATGTTATATATTAACGAGCAAGAAAAATATTTGTATAAAAACTGACTGTTTCACAGGCTTTATGTGCATAGCATTCAGTTTTAACTTGGGTAAATTATTAACAGAAATTACTTTTGTGTGGTTTAATTTTGCTTTGCTATAATCTAGTCCATCCCATTTATTTTCCTGCTAAGTTTCCTTGCAGATCTTTCTTTCTCAAAATCTGACAGAGTCTGGTAGCAACTTTTAAGCAGATGCACAGACAGCCTTAGCTGATGGAGGATTTAAATATGTAAAGATAAGGCAGGAGAAAGAAGGTGTAATACAGATGAAGACTACACTGTGGATATATCATAATTTTCAAACAAGAGTTGCATGTACTCTTGAGTTGGTCTTTCCTCTTTGAACTTCATCTCCCTCTACATTCATCACTCTCTGCTAACCAGTTGACTGTGCTTCATGAATACATAGCCAGTCCAGATGCTAATTAGAAATTTGGAAATATGTGGGAAATATTCTTTAATTTCATTCTTTAATTTCAGTTCACAACTGAGATCTCATAGATCACATTATTGTTTCATATTTTGGCATGAGGGGAAAACGTGTGATATATTCATCTTGAAGAGGTGGGTTGTAAGCACCATGACCTCATTTAGAGTACAAGTAGAGCTGAAGAACTGCTGAACTTTAAGGAATGTAGCACTTATGTTTGCCTTGAAAAGTCAGTACTGAAGAGAAGTAAGGAAGCTTGCGTATTTTGTACCTTGACTTCTTGTGCATCAAACAGATATAGAAAGCACTACTTTTCAGAAAAAAAGTGAGAAACTTGGGAGATATTTTTGTAACATGAAGCACCAACTAATCATAATCATTACCAGCTGTTTCTGCTTCTCATAATTCTTCCTATTTTTGAGGTCTGAAAATTTGAGAATTTGAAGCAAGCTTCTCCATCTCTTAACTAATTTATTAGGCATGTATATTTCAAAGCATGCCAAATATATTTATTCTCTGTCTTTTTAGGTGCAGTGTAAAAGCTAGGAAATATTTTATAATCCTCAGAATTTTCCATTTTTTTTCAGAGAAAACTCTTCAAAAACAGAAGTATTTTCCTTTCTGATCTTCAAATCTCTAATTCTTTATTAACCAATAGTACCCCACAATGGTTTAATAATGTATAACTTTTGTTTTTCAGTTAGAAGTCTTCCAGCCTTTTTTTGTTTCCTTAAACCTTCCTCCTAGTGTCATAAGAGGAGAACAGTTTATATTGGAAGTTAACATGTTCAATTATTTGAAAGAAAGCACTGAGGTAAACATATTAAAACTTCGTTTTATATATATATGTGTGTGTGTGTGTGTGTGTGTGTGTGTGTGTGTGTATGTGTATATATATATATTTTTAAAAACTGCTTCTTATTGCATTTTCTTTGTTATTACCACTCAGGGTTAATTTCAAGTTTGATTGATTTTTATATTTATTGTTTAACTATAAAGTATTATTAAGTATTATTATCCCCTAGTTTAAAAAAATATACAAACATAGTTATGCTTATGCATATATTAGCATATTGCATCAATCTGAGGATTTAGTTTGGAGGCAGATATGGAAAACAGCTTGGTTTGACTCATAGGCCATGCAGTTCGAGTATTCCTCCCCATCAGATACTTGAATTGAGAAACTGGGAATAAAGATTTATTGGGTGGGTTGATAACAAGGGTCAGTTTTGCCTCTGCTCTTCTGAAACAGCTCAATAAAGCACTTCAAAATCCTTCTAAGGTAAGCAGAACTAAAGATCAACACAGAGAGATGTGAACAAAGTAAGTTCCCCTTCGTCAAATATTTCAGCTTGAGAATTAAACCAGATAAACTGCTCTTTTGTATTAGTCATTCATATCCCCACTCTGCTATTCATTCTGGCATTTTTCTTCCTTTTGAGCTTTAGTGAGGCTCAAATTGTTTTGGTTACTTCATGCTGCAATGTTGTGGCCAACAGGTGATTCTGTGCTTATCCCTTCATATGTAACAATATTTTGTTAGAAGCATTTTTATGTTCTGCCAACTTTAGGAATTTCCAGATGCAATTCTATATTTTCTTTTGTGTTCAGAGGGAGTTTTCCTCTAATATCTTGTTTTCTTTCTCTCTTTTTCAAATATGGTTTTCACTCTTCTGTTCATTCCCCCAACTCCAATGCTGTAGTTAACTATTGATGCTAGTAAAACAAAACATTAACTAACCACTTCTGTTTTGTAGGTGACAGTTACTCTTGATATGAGTGATAGCTTTGAAATTTTTATTCTCTCTAATGATATAAATGCCATTGGAAACCAACATACTGTTTGGGTACCAAGTGAAGATGGGAAGACCATCTTCTTTCCGATTAAGCCAAAGCAGATTGGAGAAATTCCCATCAAAGTGACGGCAATATCACCCATTGCTTCTGATGCTATTCTCCAGAGACTATTAGTGAAGGTAATTTAAAGGAGCCATGTTTCAAGAATCTTTTTCTGAGACAGTTTAGAAGCTTTTACCCAAGTTCCATTTTAATCATTTTTAAAAGCATCTATGGGTCATTAAAAAAAAGTCAGAAAATCTTGCTATAAAATACTGAAGAAAATGAGGTTGGAGTTGCCTTAAAGCTGAGGGGTGGAGTAAGGCCTTATTTGAAGTAAAGTCTACTAAACCAGCTTCATAGTTTTTAGATGAATTTCCTATAGACTTTATTAAGTAAGTCAGGGTTTCTGATTTGCCAAATGAGGTGATGGCAGACATATTGAAATCTATATTGCCAGTTCCTGATACAGACTGGACAAAGCCACACTTATATATATAGTAAGATTCAGTTGTGATGAAATCTTTCAAGCTTCTGAAACAAGTGTATGAAAAAATGCTTACTTTTGCAATATGTTTCATTTGCTTTGTAAGATTAAAAATCTTGAATGCCCTCCTTCAGAAATTGTTGAATTGTACCTTTTAATAGACAGAATGAAAAGGGATGAAAAAATTGAGACTATTAAATTATAGGAACTTTAATTTTTGTGTTGGCTTGCTGTGTTTGGAATATATTTCCCATTTCCCACAGTCACTCAAAAACAAAGCTTTTCCCTCATAAAATATGTACTGCATGAAATGTTGTGCTGGTTAGCGCCTTGACTTGGCTTCAAAAACGGCCTGGAGCAATTCATAGAAGAATGAGTATCAATTTCTAATATAGGTAGTCCTTGATTTACAACCATTTGTTTAATGACCATTTGAAGTTACAATGACACTGAAAACAGTGACTTACAACCTGTCCTAGGGCCTACAACTCTTGTAGCATCCCAATGTACACATGATAAAAATTCAGGTTTATGGACATAAACAATTACTGCTTCCATGTGTAACACTTGTTTATTTTTAATAGGCTGAAGGATTAGAACAAATTTACTCAGAGACAGTTCTTTTGGACTTATCCAAAAGAACTAATCTTACAGAAATTTTGAATTTCAATTTCCCCTCTGATGTAGTTCCTGGCAGTGAAAGAGTGCAAGTTACAGTTACTGGTAAGCATAACTATTTCCTTGGAATACAGTTTTAGCTATATCTAATTGCTGGGTGAATCATGATGTTAGTTTTTAAAGTATTTATTTAGTTACTAGTGTTATTTTAGAATTGCTTGTCTGTCTGTCTCTCTCTCTCTCTCTCTTTCTCTGTGTATGTGTATTGTATGGATAGAAAAGAGATGATTCTTGAGATACTTTTATATATCAATTTATGTAACTGGTTTATTTGATTATCTTTTTTTTTTACTAACACTAATATAGTTCTCTTGCTTAAATTAACGTCATTCTTTATCTGCTGCAAATGTGAATATTTTTTCAATTGACATTATTGATTTTGTTTGCAGATTAAAAAAAGAATTATGATGCTGATGTTATCTAATCTTGGTCTAATCTTCCATGGTTGAATGTCAGGACCATAATGAAGGATTCCTATGTTAGCCTTTCCAAATTGACATGTGAATTTCACAATTCACAGAATTCTCAGTAACAGCCACACAGCTGGGTGCTCTAAAAATTGAAGTGTACACATTAAGAGACTAGTTAGATTGGGGATGCCCGTAATTAAAATGTTTTCATGGTAATACTTACATTGATTTTGACGCTAAAAACAAGTTAGCTGGTTGAAAGAATTGATTAAAAAGTTTGTTAGAGAACATTTTAATTCCCCCTTTGGTCTTTGTTTACATGTTTATTTGTTGTTAGTGTTGCCCTTTCCACCACTGACTTGCAAATTTTATCTTTCAGGTGACAAACTTAGTTCCTCTATCAGTGGTTTGGAGTCACTGGTCAAGATGCCTTATGGTTGTGGGGAACAAAATATGATTACCTTTGCACCTAATATTTATATTCTGGATTATTTGAGTAAAACAGGCAACCTCCAAACCCAATTTAAATCAAAAGTCCTGTCATATATGAGAGAAGGTAGGGATATGTTTGGGTAACGAACATACAATTCAATGTGCATTCCTTTGAAAGCATTTAGACCAAATGTTCATTCTTGAAGAAGGTTTTGTTTGAGAGAAGCTGTAACCCTATTGTAGCGTAAATATTAGAGACTTTACAAACTTACCTTAGGAAGCTGGTTCCATATAGTTGTTTCATTTCTGTATTATTATGAAGTTACAGTTCATATGACTTGCAGATGTCAACAACATAGTTGTTTTTTGAATACATCTGGTCCATTTAAAATTTCAGTTTAAATTAGGTTAAATTTGGTAGTATCATACCAGGAATAACTATATTTAGACTGACATCCCAGATCAGTCTCCCATAAAGATAGAACAAAAGCTACCAACCACAGAAACTGTTTTGTTTGCTTTGTTTAACTCCATGGGTTACATCTCGCCTGACATTTGAACTTTGGCTATTCCAAATTTGCACAGTTACTTTAAAAAATGATGAACATCTGTTTTTAAAAACCTTTTTGAAGTCTTCAAGCACTCTGTCACTCCCTGTAGATTGATTTATTTTGCCATGGTTTTTTTAAAATTCTCCAAACATTAGTTTTATTGAGGTTATTTAAAATGAGTCATAATGGTATGCTAAATTGAAATATAGTAATTATTATTTCACTTAAACATTATCTAGTTTGGGGTAATTCATGTTCTTTGAATTATTTTCTAGACAAAACAGAAATTCATCTTTGCATTCTGGCTAATAGTAATAGTAATGTTTTTGTTATTATTGGTACAGTAGTAGTATTTAATTGTTTTCTATTTCTCATTTTAAGGCTGATACTTAATTGTGAATTATGTGTATACAGTGTACTAGTAGACAACCAATATAGCTTAAATTTTATATACCCACATTCCTGAGAAGATTTTGCTAGATAATAATTTAAGCTTTATTATTCTCAGCTTTGTTTTGAATTCTTTATTAAAAAAAGTCCTTCCACTTGTTCACCAGCCTTTTTACAAATTTGGCTTTATATTTTGTCATGGGCCTATTCATTCTTCTATTACTTATGGGCTGCAGGCCATCTTTCAGGATCTTATCTGTAGACCTTTTCATTGCCTGAAATGGTGTCATTGATATTCCCTGGCAAAATGACCACTTTGGGATAGCATTACTTCATATTATTTGTCAGGTTGTATGAAGTTAATAGAGGAAATAGTAGGTCTTTGCCTCCCAAAGCCTCTCTGTTCCCATTCTCTCCCTTAATCCCTTAAATGCCCTTTCTGGTGAGGTTACATTCAGAAGGTTAGGAAACTGATTTTAAGTCTTCAGCTCTCAGAAGTTGCCTGTCTCTGTATTATGTTGTTTACACTTCATAATGGGAACATATAAACAGTGTTTGAGTAAATTCAATGCTTGTGCATTTTAGCAGATTAGGCTATTAGCTTCAGTAAAAGATAAATCTTTCAGAACTGCATCTCCTGACAATCTAGACTACTTAGATTTTTCAATACGCTTCTCATATTTCAATTTGTTCAGGTTATCAAAGAGAGCTGCTCTATAAAAGACCTGATGGCTCTTTCAGTGCCTTTGGAAACAGAGATCCCTCTGGGAGTACATGGTAAGTATCTATATTGTTGCACAATATGTAGTTTTCATATTTTTTGTTTATTATAACATTACAAATTCACATCATCAAATGGGCTGTGTAGGCCTTCAAGCTCTATTTTCTCCAAATTAAAATCCTTGCTGGCTGCGGAATTCTGCGGGAGTTGAAGTCCATACATCTATAACATAACTCAGGTTGAGAAACACTGGTGTAAATCAATTGTTTAATAAAGAGAATTCATTTGGGCAAAGATGTCTAATGGTGTACTTCCATTTTACTTTCATTCTAGGTTATCAGCTTTTGTATTAAGAAGTTTCTTTCAAGCACAACTATACATTGATATTGATCCATATGTCATGGAGAGAACAACTGCTTGGATCCTCAGTCATCAGAAATTCAATGGAGAATTTGAGGAGCCTGGACGAGTTCTACACACTGAGCTTCAAGGAGGCACTAGCGATTCTGTTTCACGGACAGCTTATATCTTGACTACTCTATTAGAGTTCAATGAGGTAGTAATTATAGTGATCTTAGTGTATTTGAAACAAATTACCATAAAGCTGTTTACAATATAGGCTAGTGCTTTAAATCAGGATAATACCAAAGAATGCATTTGAAGCTGCAGTATTCTCAGTCAGGCAACCAATCCTTTTTTCACAATCTGATTTCTTCCAGATGTGTGATTAGTTTTATGGGAACACGGGTGTATAAGAACATCTCAGTAAGGGAAGGGTGATTTATATTGATTGCCAAAAGCTCACAGATTTAGTCAGGAGTTACTTCCAGTTCTACTTCAGAAAGGCCAGGAATCAAATCTGGGACCTCTTATGCTAGCATATTATGTCTTGCTTTTCTCAAATGAGGCTTTATCTTTGCAGAACAGTATTCTGCTTGATTAATGGTGAGATTAATTAACGGTGCAGAAATGGGAAGATTTTTATTTGGGGGAAAACTTTATCATTTACAAAGTTAAAAAGGACAGGAAAGTTTTTTGCAGCATGAATTGACTTTTGTTTCCTAAAGAGTCACACTCCTAGTAGATAAACATCTTTTCAAAAGTAATGAAGAAGCACCTGGGCATTGATTGTTATGCCTGCATGACATAATAGCATACATTCACATTTATATTTCTGAAATAATTTCTCTTTTCTTTTGAGTGGAATTAAACAACTTGGCTTGGCCCAAGATAAATATAGGTAGATGCCAGAAATAGGTAGAAGCCATAGTATTGCTATACGCACTCTTAATAGGAACAAGGTTAGTTCAAAATCCCATCTCATTCTAAGTCAATAGCTATATGTTTTGAATAGTTATATGAACGATTGGAACATAATATTATTACTAAGGCAGTTTTTATTCTTTAGTGCAAATCAATTTCCATGGAATTATAATGCAAAGAAACATACAAACTGCCTGTGGCTTGCAGTTATCACCACCACCATAAGTAATATTGATGTTTTTGTTAGACCCCAAATTAAGGCAGGCAGCGAAAATGGAATTTGGAAAATCATACTATAATATGGTTCATATTACCATACGACGTTTCCTTGCCAACTGTCTTCTGCCTTTTAAGGTTTGACTTGCATCTGTAATCGTGCCCGCAATTTCGGTTATAAATTGTGATGGTCATAAAGCCATCATATAACTCTGCCTGATTTTATGATTTTTTTGCAATAGTCATTAAATGAACACCATGGCTGTTAAAGCAAACACATTTTTTTTGGAAACTGCAAGTAGGCACACGTGTTTGGGGGATGATGCAATGGCTGAATATGTGGGCCAGTTGCCTAGCACCCACTTGACCAATGGGGGGAGAGTACAGATGGACATTGGATTGTAAGTCCCTTTTTTGAAGTTGGTCGCAACTTCAAACTGTCTATAGTCCACTCCTTGCAAGCATATTTAGAGGCTTACAATTAGTACCATCTTGCTCAATTCCAGTTTGCTGCAATGTTTTATAGCACATCCCACATTTTAAAATTATATGTTTTTATCTTGAACATAAATTTGGGTATAAAATTGCAATGTTTATCATAAAGATTACTACTTGTTATTGTAGTTTACTGTAAATTATTTCTTAAGGTTGCTACTATTCTTTTTCCAGATTGATAACTCTATAAAAAAAGCACTGGGCTTTCTTGAATTTCAATTGAATAACATCGTATTGGATAATCATACGCTGGCTCTTGTGACTTATGCATTATCACTTGCCAAAAGTCCAGCAGCAAAGGGAGCTCTCAACAAACTGAACGAGAGATCAGAACGACAAGGTAGTGTAAAATAGTCTTTCTGCCTGGGTGAGTCATCTGATATTCCAGTTACACTTAAGGCAATATATGCCAGTGGAATAAAAGAGAGGAAACATAAAATGGGTTGATTTGATCTAGTTAAAAGTTATTTATAGTCATGTTTGAAATGCTTAGTGTTACAATACAAGTACAGGATACCTTCTGGTATTGAATTAAATTCAGTTCCACAATGTTAAAGACTATTTAAATTAAAAATATGCAGGTAGTAGTTAATAATTGCATGTGAACTACTACCTGATTTGTGCTTTTTCTGCTGCGGTAAAGAAAACATAGATCATATTCATTGAGTCTATAATCTGTATCTAGCTGTCCAGTTGACCACTTTTTAAAATTCAGTATGACAGAACGGAGTAAACAATTCGATCTGATAACTTGGATTCTAAATGGCACATTCCAACAGTAAGAATTTATAATTTGCCCCTATTTTTCTTGTACAAGCAGGGAAGTCTGGTCTGCCTGTTGGGTTTCATTCTGTCTTATACAAATATCTCTGTTCCAAATGGCTGAAGTGTGTTATAGGATGGGTTACATCCGTGTCCTCACACTCGATTTTTTCCTTCGATCACCATTTTGTATTCTATCTGCTTGTTTTTTTGTTTGAACTGACAAATATTCTGCCGAGTTTCTTCTAGTTCAAGTGATAAGAAACTATAGTTGTATTGTTGTTTACTATAATCTTATTGAAAGTTTTTTTTTAAAGTGTAAACATTAATACAAAATAAAATAGAGTTGTAAGAAAGGTAGTATTTTCTCTAATCACAGAGGTTAATTTGACCATCCCAGCAAGTTCTACTACTTTCAGCAACCATTCCTGGATTTTGATTCGATTTGATTGATTTGATTTACAAGATAATAGGTATAAATATAAACATAGTTATGAATACATGAAATGGATACATATAAGAAAAATAAAAGAAACAATAGGACAGGGACGGTAGGCACGTTGGTGCGCTTATGCACGCCCCCCACAGACCTCTTAGGAAAGGGGTGAGGTCAATAGTAGACAATCTAAGGTGAAAGTTTTTGGGGTTTGGGGAAGAAACCACAGAGTCAGGTAGAGCATTCCAGACATTGATCACTCTGTTGCTGAAGTTGTATTTCCTGCAATCAAGTTTGGTGTGGTTTACCTTGCAATGTATGATTTTATATACTATACTTAGATCGGACCGAAGGCGGCGTAGTTCTAGGTTTTCTAGGTCTCGAATTTCAAGTCTGGTGGCATAAGGTGTTCTGCAACGAGTAGAGGAATGGAGAACTCTTCTTGTGAAATATTTCTGGATTTTTTCAACTGTGTTAATATCAGATACATAATGTGGGTTCCAGACTGATGAGCTATATTCGAGTATTGGTCTAGCAAATGTTTTGTATGCTCTAGTTAGTAGTGTGATATTACCAGAGAAAAAGTTATGTAGGATTAGATTAACATCTCTTAATGCTTTTTTGGCTATGTAATTATGGTGGGCTCTAGCACTTAGATCATTAGAGATGAGTATTCCAAGGTCCTTGACAGAGTTTGGTTCCTCAACAAGGTCTTGGCTATTCAGCTTGTATTTTATTTTCTGATTTTTTTTCCCCAATATGTAAGACAGCATTTGTTTGTTGAGATTTGAAGTTGCCATTTGTTTGACCATTCTGATACATAGTCGAGGTCTTTTTGAAGGGTAGCAGTATTGCCTGTGGTGTTGAATAGTTTTACATCATCAGCGAAGAGAACACAGTTGCTCTTAATATGATCACAGAGGTCATTTATGTAGAGTATGAAGAGCGTTGGTCCTAGAACACTGCCTTGAGGGACACCACTGTTGACAGATACAGAGTTTGATAGGACGCTCCCAATTTTGACCATTTGTTGTCTGTTTGAATTCCTCTGTCCTGGTTGCTTGTTGTTGTTGTTTTTTAATTCAGTAGATGGTTTGTGAAATTCTGGCCATTTCTTTCTTTCTTTTTTCACTGGGTTAAATTGACAAAGTTTTACCAAGTTTCTCCTTCTAGCCCAAATGAAACTATTAATTGCAACTTCAAAAATAACTGGTGCTTGCTTTCCTGCCATGGTTGAGAATAGAAAAGCAGAAAAATTCACCAGTTGGGAGTTATACACTGAACTGAACATCTAGTCAAAGTAGAGGAGAGGGTTGTAATTCAGAAATTGATTTCTTCAGCCAGTTTCACTTCTAGCCAATGGAACACAAGCTGTCAAAAGCTGCAGTACAGAAAAACCTGTAGTAGAACAATTTCTAGTTTATTAATTTGATAAATGTAAAATTGATTTGGGGGCACAGATGGGAATAGTTATTTTTAAATATGAGAAATTATAGGATTAAGAAGTACTTGATTTCAGTCTGCTAAAAAAATAAGGCTTCAGAAGAATAAACTCTCCAACCTTACAAAGTTGTATCCTTTTCTTTTGAGGTGAAAGTTTCTTTCTTTATTTTTCCTTCCTAGGAGAACTAAGGTTCTGGACATCACCATCTTCTGGACTCTCCAGTTCCTGGCAGCCACGTTCTGCAGATATTGAAGTTGCAGGTTATGCTCTCTTGTCTCATTTTATTCAACAAAGACTGTTAGAGGCGATTCCAATTATGAAATGGCTAAGCAAGCAAAGAAATCACCTGGGAGGTTATTCTTCTACACAGGTTAGAAATTATCTAAAAACAACAACTAGTTATCAGGAATTTATGGAATTAATCCTTAAAATATTATGTGGCCCCAGGGATGTATTATTTTCATTTAAAATTTTGAACCAGGAATCTGTCAAACACTATGTGAAGTTTGATTGATGAGCTTTTCACTTAGGGCCTTCTGCATTGCCAGAAATGTATATAGAACTATGTTTCAAAAAACAATTAGAAAGATTTCGATTCTCTAAGGAAGCCAGCCAGAATCTTCTACTCTGTGTGCATTCCAAAGATTCAGTTAATTTTCTACATGGGCCAGCGGCATGGTTGTAATCGATTCATCAATCCTATTTTAAAATGTCAGAAAGTTGAATTTGGGCTTGGGAAGACTAAATTTGGGCTTGGGCTGAGTTCATATTTTTGTACCAAGGCAATGCTATGGGTTATTGTGCAATGTTATACACATTGCTAAGATAAGCTTTTTGTAAATGTGTTTTATTAGAGAAACAGGTTCTCTAGGGGCCTGGTTCTCATATGATGGTAAAGGCCCACTGATTGAACTATTCCTCATGTTAAGCCAAACAAAATCAAATTATGATAAATTAAGTTTGTCCTACCTTTGTAAGAATTACCGTACTGAGTAAATTTGTGCCTTGCAAGATAAAACTACAGTTGCTGTCATGAATGATTACTGCTGACTTTGCCCTTTCTAATAATAAAACACAATACTTAAATGAGTATTTGGACTGAATATGTGACGAAGACTTTTTTTTAAAAAAATCTCAATCTAACCTATTGCTCCAGGATTTCCAGATGAATAGAATAGAATAGAATAGAATAGAATAGAATAGAATAGAATAGAATAGAATAACAGAGTTGGAAGGGACCTTGGAGGTCTTCTAGTCCAACCCCCTGCCTATACCTCTTCAGACAAATGGTTATCCAACATCTTTTTTTAAAACTTCCAGTTTTTAAAGAAGTTTTAAAGAAGATGATTTCTTCTGTAAGTTGTACTAGCCAGATCTGTACTTACTAGCCCCTGAAATCAGCCAAGCTTCATTAAGTGCTGCTTGCTAACCTGGTTCATCCATATTCATATTAAAAAGGACTGTTCTTTCTTCTCTGGGTAGGACACTATTGTGGCTCTGCAGGCCTTGAGTACCTTTGCGACACTTACAGCTGATTCTGTGACAGAAATGGATGTGACAGTGAACGGATCCATGGAAGAAAATCCAACGGTTTTCCACATTGATCAGGAAAACCGTTTTGTTCTCAAGACCAAAGAGGTACTGAAGTTTTTTTTTTTTTAAAAAAAGTTTGATTTCAGGAAATTCATCTAATTTGGAATGCTTCTCTGACCTTACTAAAATCTGCCATTTCTTTTAGTTTCCAGCTGCACAGCCTGTTAGAATTACAATTTCTGCAAATGGCCGTGGTTTTGCTATTTTTCAGGTAGGCATATATAGTCATTTTTGTCCCTTTTATTTCTGTTAAGGATTTGGGATTGAATTAGATTCCCCATTTGGTTGGATAATATTTGAATTATTAAGGGTGGAATCAATATTATATTAAGTACAAACTAGATTCAGAATCAAATCACATCTGTCCTTACGACTTTAGATTGTTTTCTCCATATGTTATTTTGTTCGATCTTTTTTAAACTGTTCTGATTACTGTTCTGATTCTGATTAATCTATTAATATAGATGCAATTCTATACTAATAGAATTCTATGAATCAATTCTAGTAATTATGTAATATTCCCAATGTATCATATTGGAAAATTATGGTTTTGATTCTAATTACTGTGCGCGAATGTCTCATTGAAAGAGATTTTGCTTTCACTTTTCCTGTTAAGCTCCTGGTGTTTTTCCACAAGGTAATTGTAATAGCATTAGGATGCTGTTAAATGTCACTTTAAGATTATTATTTAATATCCAGTATGGACCTTCTAAATCAGCACCAAGACAGTTTTATTCTGAACTACAGTACAGCTTGCAGCATAACAGTGAATTCTGATGACAGATATGTGATTAACTTCATTTTGGATCTACAGTGTCTTTCAGGAAATCCTGAACATCACTACTCTCAGTATTGAAGTCTTGTCCTTTATAAAAATGCAGCCCAGTCCATAATTCAATATAATAATCACAGGCTCCTTATAAGCAGTGTGGAATGTGGTAGTTATAATTATCAAGCAATTCCTTATTTGCAGCAGTGTCTTCCTCCCTTTCTTCAGCCTTTGTGCCCATTCTACTATCTTTAAAAATAGTCACTTGTTTTTCCAGAGAAGGCCTCCTGCTTCCCTTCTCTCTTCCTTGCCACAAAAATTGTGGCTTAGATTTTTCACTGTTCATTATATATCTTCCTTTTTTAACCCTGGCAAAATGCATACAAGTTATCCTATTGTCGGCCAGTAGCATGTTGCTCTTTTGTCCAATTCTCACACGCTACCCGACATAGCAAATCAAATGCTGTCTGGTAGCCCAGGGGAAGAAGAGAAGGAGAATGAAAACAACTTACAAAAGCATCTTGGCATGTGAGACCTGTCTCCATATTTGGACTTCTGTCAAAGGAAATGGTGTTCTCTGTGGATCAAAGGGATGCTAGGGACACAGAATTTAGTTAGCACAGAAACCCCAGGCCTGTTTTACATCTTTTTATCTTTAATCCTTGTAAAACGATTGGATTACATGAGCCAAATTCCATGTTGATTAGAGTCCAGTACAAATAAACAGTAGAATACGTGACATTAGCAATGCAAGACTACAAACAGAATTTGAAGGATAGGTAATGTATAAAATTTCAGAGAGGGCTGGGCTTGTTATAAAATGTCATTATTTGGGTATATTCATTTTCAGAAATCATATTTTTTATCAAAAAGCATACATTTGACTTCAGTGGACTTCAGGTCCATTAATGAAGGCCAACATTTGAAAATATCACAGCAGGCAGTAAATTGCTCATCCATCATATCTGACAGTAGTGGACTCAGCTGGAATTGTTTTTAACAGCAATCAAATTGCTAGAAGTTGTCCACACATGTAAAAATATTACTAGCTTTTTTAAAAACAACAATCAAAATTGATGTGCAATCAAGTTATCAACAACTTAAAACACTTTTAAGAAAAATATAAATAAATATTAGATTCCAAATGCGCAGATCCAAACATATATAGATTTGAAAACTAACAACAATCCTGTGTTTGTAATTAACATATGGAACAAGAGGGTCTTTTACTTAATCAGCTGGCTGTCAGGGTTCCAGCCATTGTCCGGTTTAAAAACAGTAACTCCGAAACAAACATATCTCAAATACTTTATTAATAACCATTACTGGTAACGTTTGTGAAATTTCAGAACTGAAATCATTCCCAGACCTTTCCACAAAATTCAACCTACCCCCTCCCACTTTTCTATACCTCATTAATCATGTGAACCAATTACTCTGCAGCTGCAATTTCTTAGTGTGACTGACTAAATAACCTTGAACTTTCAAACTAAACTTTCCCCCCCCTTTTTAAACTATTCAGCTAAATCACCCCACCACCACCACCATTCTTCAACTCTGTGGCAGCTATGAATTCCAGAGCTGATATTGGCATATGATATTACCATATATTTATTTTTAGGTAGCTTTGAAAAGACAGCTTGTAGGATTTGATGACAATCTCAGAAATGCCAATGTGTGGTTAAAGATGGGAAAATTCTACTTGATTCCAATATGAAATCACATAGAAGTGTCATTCTCAAGTTGAGAGCCAGAAACCACCAAATATGTTGATAATACTTAGCTTTCCTTTCCTTTTTTACATTACGGTCTGAAGTTTCTAGGGCCTCTGAATGTCTCCAGATGACCCTGGACTTAGATGTGAAGGAATAAAATAAGACATGGCAATTAATAACGCTGGGAGTTGGACGTCAGGATTTGGGAAATACAGGTAGTCTTTGACTTATGACCACAGTTGAGCCCAAAAATTTCTGTTACTGAGACAGTTATTAAGTGAATTTGCCCCATTTTATGACCTTTTTTGCTACAGATGTTAAGTGAATCACTGCAGTTGTTAAATTAGTAACATGGTTGTTAAGTGAATTTGGCTTCTCCATGGACTTTCCTTGTCAGAAAGTCTCAAAAGGTGATCTTATGATCTTGGGACACTGCAACCATCATAAATAAGAGTCAGTTGCCAAACATCTGAATTTTGATCAAATAACCAGGGCGATGCTGCAGTGGTTGTAAGTCACAAGTCACTTTTTTCGTTGCCTTTGTAACCTTGAATGGTCGCTAAATGAACTGTTGTAAGTCAAGGACTGCCTGCAATACTTGTTTCGAAGGAGAGTCCCTTAAGGATCAATTTTATATTCTAGTACAGAGCTGTCAAATTCCTGGCCCGTGGGCCGGATGCATCATGCACTGGCCATGCCCACGCCTGGTTTAGAGAAGGGGGAAGTCTCAACGCATCATGTGACAACATGTGTTTGACACCGGTAGTCTAGTCAGTCTTCTGGATTCAGCATTTAACACTTTAAGAATGATTGCAGTTTGTTATCAGGATTGAATTACTCTAAGAAAAGTAGACAGATAAATTAATAATAATATGACTTATGACTGATTTATAATCAAACCAAGCAACCTACCCTTTTCTAGTAAAGTACTCTAACATTAGAATTGATACTAATATGCCAAGTGTATATTAATAGATTAATATACAATAAAAAACTTTAAGCAAATGATATGTGAAATTCCCATTTTAAAAAATCTGTACTAAATACAGAATGCAATAATGGCTGCTAATAATGGCAATTAACATTGCATGACTTATCATCTGCTATGAATTACATGTGAGCAGCCTTTAAAGAATGATCACATTTGGAATTTCTGAGTAGATGAATTTAAATCATGATATATTTTACTATCATTACATCATGTGCAAAGAGGAATCTGTCCCTTCATTTGGAATTAGCAATGACAACGCCACCAGTTGTAATTCGTCAAAAGCAACCCTTCAGCCATGTCTAGCTATTCATTAAAAGCTCAATAGACTTCCTGATTTATGCCTTACAGGGTTGGGCAGAAAACAGGGGAAAGAGAAGCTTTTTAAATGTCTGGGAAGAATGAATCATGTCATCTTAGAACTCTATTTCACTTTTTGAATATCTTCTGGTTAGTGTATTATATTACATAGCAAACTCTAATGACCATCCACTTCCAAGGGAGATGCCAGTTCTTGGTACATTTTTTCTTAAAATTAATTTTTCAAAGAATCTTATATATTTTTCCTGCATTTTTTTTCATTATTTTGCATCTGTTTCAGTGGTGGTATTCATTTTTTTTTAACTATCAGTTCTGTGGGCATGGCTTGGTGGGTGTGAAGTGGCTTGGTGGGTGTGGCAGGGGAAGGATACTGTAAAATCTCCATTTCCACCCCACTCCAGGGGAAGGATACTGTAAAATCCCTATTCCCTCCCTACCCCACTAACCTGCTTTCCAGCTCTGTTCTCCTGTTCAGGGCAACAAAAAAAGATCCACCGATCAGCAGGGACTCTGGAGGCAGCAAATAGATGGGGGCAGTCCCAACCAGAGGTGTTATTCACTGGTTCTCCGAACTGCTCAAAATTTCCGCTACAGGTTCTCCAGAACCTGTCAGAACTGGCTGAATACCACCTCTGATCTGTTTGATCCGTAAATAATTGCATTCAATTAATTCAATTGGCATTCAAAAATTCAAATGGATGCTTAAATGATCTGAATCTTTATCAATAAGAGAATGTTGGTAGCTCAGGGTTGAAATGAGGAGTCTTTAGTATTCTCTGAGCTTGGTTATTTTCTTGCAGATATTTCACTACCCAAACTAGGTAACATCTAGTACTCCTCATCTTTATCTTCGATGAAACAGAATTATGCTTTCTATGTGTCTACTATTGATACATACATACATACTATTGAACCTATACACTGCTCTCCAAGATGTAAGAAAAACAACATTCTATTCAATTTATATAAAAAAACCAAGATGGCCCTGTGTCTGGTTTGAGACTTTCTGACTACATCCACATAATTTTTTTTGTCAGCAAGGAGATTTCCAATTGTCTTCTTCAGAGATATTTTTCAGCTTTCAGTCTAGTGAGCAGCTCTGATTTTTCAATTCTATATATGCCAATAAAGGGAAAAAATGTGGCCCAATGAGACCCTAGCATGCTTAATGTATGTGTGTGTGTGTGTGTGTGTGTGTGTGTGTTTCATTCCTGAAGCAAGTGAATACATTCACATTAGTTTTTATTTTGACATTAGGGTTTTAATCACTTTTATCAAGTCTAAACAAGATATAGCTGAAGCCTCTTAACAGGTCAGGATTGTGTGAATCTTCCCACCCATTCTCACACCTGCTGAAGTTCATTTGTCTTAAAATGCAAACTCATTAGAATTCTATTTTCTTTTTCAAAGCTTAATTTGGCAGCCAAAGAAAATGCTGCCAAAAATTTCTTCCTGAAAATAACCCTTCATCCAGACATCTGTTTAAGATTCAACCATAAGGATAAACATGAGAGAGCAAAGATTCCTGGACTGACAGGCAGTTTTCCAAAGTTTTGGTATTTTTTTTAGCTGGAATATTGTGAAGGTTGCTGCTAAAAGGATTTCAATAATGCTTTCACAAGGGAGCTCCTTGTTTTCATTCATTGTTGAAGCAAAGTACTTCCAGAAGTGTAAAGTCTTGCAGTTTCATAAATGTGACGGATACTATCTTCCTGCTGTTTATCTTGGAAAAGCATTGGAGATTCTTTCCAATCAAGAACTGGCAAAACTAAGGCCAAGTTAACACATTATGGTAAGCCAAGGTTAATTCTAACCTTGGTTTAAGCCACAGTGACTACATTTACATATATGGTTTGGCCATAACCATAGTTTACCAACTAAAATAACTAGATTTACATACCACACCAAACCAAAATCAACATATATTGTGGCTTAATACGTAAAACATTACGTGTGTTTAAATATTCTACTTCAGGCATCTTTCATGAAAACTAAACTTTCTATTCATTTAGATAAAATTCTCTGCGTGCAATAAACAAGAATTGTAGGTAGATTAGAAAGATGAATTTTAAAATGGCATGCATTCTTTTGAAAATGAACGTGGACATGACATGCTAAGGAGAATACTCACTTTCCGATTTACTTAAAGTTTGCTCAAGCTTCCAAGTTTGCAATGTGACCATGAAATAATTTTGCTACAGAAATAAATATATAAATTTATAACATGCAAAATATATGTACACAGGCATAAATTTAGCATTTGTGGTCAAATTGCATGCTTGAGTGACACACTAAATCAGGGGTGCCAAACTTGATTTCATTGAGGGCTGCATCAGGGTTGTGTTTGACCTTGAAGGCCAGGGTGGGTGTGGCCAGCTTGACATCACTCGTGTCAGGGGCACCTGTGGTGGCCCAAGCGCTCTGCCAGCAAAAACAGGCTCCCAAGCTCAGTTTTTGGCTATGACGGCCTTCTGCAGCCCTCTGGCAGCAAACACGGAGATTGTGGGGACGCACATAACTACCTGGGCTCTGTTTTTGCTGGCAGAGGCACTTCGGGCCGGTCATTCACTCTTTCAAGGGCAGCCGCGCAGGCCAGCTCTAAGCACCCCGTGGGCCGAATGTGGCCCGCGGACCTTGAGTTTGACACCCCTGCACTAAATGAACAGTAGAAGACAAACTGTGCATAGTACAAAGCAAAACTTCCTGCAAATGTGAATGCATAATTACTACTTATTATGCAGAATTTTTTTATAAATTAATGTGATTGTCTCTTGCAACTACAGTTTTCTTGACAAGATTTTTTTGGAACGGTTTGCCTTTAATCAATAAATCAAACTGTTCTCATGTAGCTGTCAACATATTCAGAATAAGAAAATAGTGAATATGGCAGGTGCAGAACTTTATAACAAGTAAAATAGTACTTTGGCAGAAATAATTATTTCAAGATAATTCTTATAACCGGCTAAGAATCTTTCTGTTTGTGGTTTTGGATCCCCTCCCCCACTTGCTGATAGCTGTTTGCCTCTCCCCAAGAGTGCTTAATCACAACATAAAACCAATACAAAAACTGATACAACATGTACCATGTACCACGCTGTTATTGTTTAATTCAGTGTTTATATAAATGAGAGATTATGCGATTTAGAAAAATGTAGTTGGCTTATCTTTCTGGTTTTTGAGCAGAAATCATTTGGTTTTTTTAAATAGTATTACAAAATGACATAATCGCTTTGGTTGAGGCATTGACCCAGATGTGGGAGACTCACAATCTTATTCACAATCAATGATAGAAGCAGTGGTTGTATAAGCTAGAGAAATCAGTAATTCCATAACGGCAGTGAATCTTTAAGGAAAGATGTATGGTTTGACACAGGAATAGGCAAATGTGTCAGAATTGTGTCAGAGGTTCCAGACATTGTGAATGATATTTTGCAGTTTCCAGAAATTAATATTGACAGCTATGAAGATAAGCCAGGATTGTCAGTCATTATGAGTGTACCAACTAGTGGAATATATGATAGTATGTGGCATGCATATCTACCACCACTCCCGTCTAAATGGTCATATCAAAATACCCTTTCAAAATGTGTTGGTAACAATCTTTCTGCCTATGACAGCATATATTGCTTTGCCCTGTTTGCAGCAGGCCAGGATGGGTAAGAAAGCTAAATGGATGTTGCAACCAGCTGAAACCATGCTTGATCATTCCTTTGTAGGCTTTTCTTTCTACGTGGATTTATCTTTGTTTAAGGCCAAGAAGGAATGAAAAATTGAACATAAAATTCCTTCCAGTAAAACAGTTATTTAAGAGGCTATCCTAATATGTTGATCCAGGTGTTCCTGAATTGCCAGTAAATTCTTACCATTTTGTTTTTCTTGGCAAACACTAAAACAATAGCATTTTGATTTATTTCCAACTTGATTTGTCCAAGTTCACAGCAGGTCCAATAAGAAGAAAGGCATGTTTGATTTGTTATTTTGCGGTGCTTTTGATAGATTTCTTTTGAGAATTTGAAACTGAAAGTATTATTTCAGAAAAGGATGCAAAATATCCCACATTTATATTTGCACTGTATGTTACAATATTGCATATATGAATTTATTCTGATAAACTATGAAATAGCTATTATTCTTTTCTATGAATCGCTGCTATCTTAACTGAATAACATCATTTTTTATTTTTGCTTCTCTATAGCTCAATGTTATATACAATGTGAAAAATTCACATACTAGCAAAAGGCGTAGTCGATCTGCACAAAATCAAGAAGCCTTTGATTTAGATGTCTATGTAAAGGATGATCAAAAAGACATAAATAGCTTAACTTTAAATGTGTGTACCAGGTAAGTAAATAGATTAAGCTATCCGTTCTCTTTTATTTACAATTTTAAAAAATGACTTTTGAGCTGAATCTTTTTTAACAAATACCGTATATCTTGATAAGATTTCAGAGAAATCAAAAGTTTGGGCATACCACTCCATCATATTTTGCCAGGTTTTCTAAATGAATTATTGAATGAATGAATCAAACAAAAACTCCTACCACAGTTAAAGCTTAGTTAAATCTAAAGAGACAGCTCAGTTCACAAGTTGTTCCCTTAGGCTTTAGGGTACATACAGCCTAGTTTGTGTTTTGTCTTGAACTGGCATCTTTTTACTATTTTTAAAGATTTGTTTTTAATTCCTTTGCCAGCTGCACAGAATTATATGGTTAAGATAGGCAGCCATATAAACTTGCAGCATAAAGGATAAATAAATATGTTTGTCCCCCAGTAAAATCTTGGCATTCCCCGAGCACAGTGTAGGCCAGTCATTTTGTTGGCTTTCCTTTTTCATATTGGTTTGATATAAAATGATTATAACTACTTAAGTATTACCCAGGGATAACTATTTTTCTTCTACAATTATAACAAGGGCATGATTAAAATCATGTTTGGTTATTTGTTTTCAATAAAGCTGGTGATTCACCCACAGGTGGTTTTATTTTTTTTAAACAACTTCAAACAACAGTACTTCCTATCACATATCACCTACTTTTGAAGTCACTGTCTCATGACATACTGTTGGCTGCCCATTTGAGTTGCCTTAAACGGGTCTAAAATTAAGGGAAGATAAAGGTATCAGGAGCTATTAATTTCCAGCCTGGCTTCTGATAAACAGTGGGGAAAGACCATATGATTCACATAACAATGGCAGTGATTCACTTAAAAAATGTGGCAAAAAGATGGAAAAATCAGTCACTTAAGCAAGTTGCTTAGCAACGGAAAAGCTAGTCTCAATTATGTTTCTAAATCAAGGACTACCTGATAACAAGAAATATTGTTTTACTCAGTTTACTTTACTTTTGAGCAGTTCCCAAGCATTCAGAGCACAAACCTGAGAGATGCTTTGTTGAAAAATTGTAGCAGAAATGCCCTATTCATAATAAATGTTGGTATTCTGACATGCCATTAAATAACTTTTTTCCATACTGCTTAATGCTTTCACTTTGCTTATCCTTTCAGTAGTTCCTGTCATAATGTTACAACTGTAAATCAATATTTGTTCTTGATTTAGATATTTGGCTCCTTTAAAATGGGTGGGGGAGAGGTATTTATTTATTTATTAAATTTATTGGCTAACCATCTTACTTCAGGATAACTCTGGAAGGCTTACAATATTATATATGGAAACACTATAAATAAAATTGTTATTTATTATTTATTTATTATTTGTGCTCTTTTATAATTTTATTTTCTTCCAGTACAAATTGAGGTCTTTTTAAAGGTCTATACTTTAATTCTGTGTTAAGAATTAAAAGCACTGCATAGTTATGCGTGCATATGTGCATGCACCGTTATTTCTATGTAAATCATACCTTTTTCTTTGTTAGATATCTGGGTACTGGCTCGTCTTTAAAAACCGGCATGGCTCTCATGGAGATCGGATTACTGAGTGGCTTCTCTCTGTCACCTCGTTTTGTGTCATTAGTTGACCCAGTTAAAAAGGTGGAAAAAGAGGAAGGCAAAATCCATTTATATCTGGACTCTGTAAGTCAAAATAAAGACATACTAGTCAGAATGATGATAAAGCTTTGATTCAAAAACTAAAATTATGAAATGTTTTTTTAATTGATCATTTAAAATAAACATTATGTTTGGTCAACATTATAGACAAAATTTAGAGGTAATTTAATTGGAATCCTCCAGTTCATTCAGGAGAGGCCATATTTTATGAAGTATGTTCACATAAGTTTGACCAAGCCTTGTAAGAATATGTAGAGACAGATGCTTAAGGGTCAAAAGGACAAATTAAACTTACCAAGTTATAGGCTCATGTAAACTTTTTGTCTTCATAATTAAGGAAAAGAGAAAAGAGAAATAGGAATGAAGACGTGCTATGTTGTTCTCCCTGGCTTTTCTGTTTGACAGGTTTGATAGTGCAAGCCTCAGGATAAAAAATAAAGTATAAAATAGGTGTATAAAGGTGGATTCACATGGTACAGGTATTCTTCGCTTACTGACCAGTTGTTCAGTGACCATTTGAAGCTACGGCGGTGCTAAAAAGCAAGACAACTAGTCCACAAAGTTGCATGTTTTGTATTTCTGGAAACAAAGAGTTAAAAAAAAACATATAGATATAAACTGGCAGTCACATAATCATGATTTGGGTGCTTGGCAACAGTGCTCATTTATGCAGTCTCATGGTCACCTGATTGCCATTTGCAACGTTCACAGCTTGTTTCTAACAAGCAAAGTCAATGGGGAAGCCTGCTGAAAGTTGCAAGTCATGCTCACATGATGTTGTTCTTAAAGACATTGCTGCTTAGCAAGAGAATTGTTGGTCACAGCTGCAGCCAATAACTATAATGTAACTGGTTTACATTAGCATTCAGCTCATTCAGCAACCACAATTGGGACTGGCAACTCAGTCACTAAGTGCAAAATCAATGTGACTATAATGGTGGTTATGATTTTACTTCAGGTTTTCTTTCCTTTAAAGGACATGAACCTTAACCAGAGGTCCCCAAACGTGGCAACTTTAAGACTTGTGGACTTAAACTCCCAGAATTCTCCAGCCAGCATCTGGGAGTTGAAGTCCACAAGTCTTAAGGTTGCCAAGTTTGGGGACCCCTGACCTAAACTGACAGATGAGCCCAATAGGTGGGGAAGGTTTCCTGTACTTGACTCGCAAGGAAGCCTGGTAAAAGGGCAAATCTTATAGCCCTTTTTTCCCAATCCCCCACCTTTTGGAGTGCTCATCCCCGTGCTAAAATTATTAGCAAGAGGAAAGTTGGTGTTTGTCTTGAGAGGAAGGGATTACAAGACAATTAGTGGGTACACAATGGAGAATGCAGTTTGAAAAGAATGCACTGGTGTTGGTTGTTTGCTTAGCAGTTCAGGGCTGGGCGCTCTAGAGCATATAAGGAAAAAAAAGGCAAAAGTGTGAAACTGATCAAGGTCTTGTCTGTTACAGGCAGCAGCTGCAGGTTGGTTAATGAGGGTCACAGAGCTGAGTTTGTTAATTTGCAGTTACCACATTTTGGGGGATTACTATGCTGCAGGGTAAAAACGGTTCATGAAGTGATAGCTTGTTCAAGCAATCATTCCAGTCTGGGGACTATGGAGAAGAAAAGGGGTCAGGTACAGGACAATATATACTAATGGACTATATTGGTGAACATGTAACAGAGACGCTGTGAAGGTCATAAGTATGGAGATTGGTCACATAGTTTCTTTTTCATCACCATTATAACTTTATAAATTTTGGTAAGCATGATTCTGTGTAACAGATATCAACTGTTGCATTTATGTGTGTGAATCAGTTTCTGCTTGTGATTCTACACTTGTGTAATATGTCTACTCTTCTTGGCAAACTATAAGTAAGATTGGCTATTTGTAAATACATATATAGCTGTATCTACTGTTCTGGGTAATGTAATTAAAGATGGATAGGAAGTTTCTTTTAAAAACATATTAAACATCTAGTTTTTCATATGCATTCATTATGGAAGCATATAGACCTCTCTGAAAGTTATTATTTATTTATTTTTGTAGTTAAACGAAACACAGTTTTGTGTGGATATTCCAGCTGTGAGAGACTTCAAAGTGGTAAATACCCAGGATGCTTCAGTGACTGTGATGGATTATTATGAACCCAGTATGTATCAATCACTTTTATGCAATCAGTGCTCAAGTATGCAGTTTAGGTGGGAAGGGGAAGAATGAACTGTTGTATGTTAAGGAAGGACCAGATTCAATTAGTTACAGTAAAGATTGTACATGAGAAATACGCATGATAGGAAACCACAGGAACTTAATTAATGTTAATTCTCTGAAGAAGGGTGAGGTGGTGAACTGGTGAGGAGAGGGCAGTGTTTGATGGAACATAAAGTCCATTAAATTTATGTTCTCTGAAAGATTGATATTTTAGGATATAATTCTCCTTCAATCAAGAATGATTTTGTTACTTAAAACATTCCTCATTTCAACAAATTTAGCAATAGTTCAGATTCATGGATATATGTATATAGTAAAAAAAAAAGGATATATAGTAAAAAATTCATCTGCTCCAGATGGAAGATTGAAATCAGGGCATCGTACCTAACAGCAATAGCAACTTAGACTTATCTGTCTCCCCATAGTGCTTCATAGCCCTCTCTGGGCAGTTTACAATGTCAATTGCTCCCAACAATCTGGCAAAGTACAGTGGTGAAGTTATAGGACAGTTTTGCTCCTGATATTGTTTTACAGCAGCATATAAATACTATCAAATAATACTTTGTTTGAAATGTTGGGCCTTAACACCTTTTGTTTGCTTTTCAATTGTTCATAATAGGGAGAAGAACAGTGAAAAGTTACAACTCCTTGGTGATGCAGAGTTTGTCGTCTTGTTCTTTCTGTGAAGATGATGAATGTAATTTTTGTAAAACAGATGGCTCTTTATCTGTTTCTCTCTCTTTGGAATTGTTAGTACTGCTAGTGCTGTCAACTTTCTATGTTGTGGTCTGATTTAAATAACTGGGTGACTGGTGCTTATTGCACTGATGAAAGTACCATTGATTGTATTTTCCTGCATAAGGAGAGTCTGGACCCTGTGAAAATCGACTTTAATAGGTCTAAACTCTGTGCAAGAATTTGCATGTCAAATTGAGTAAGGGCAAATTGCTCGGAATGGAAAACTCTTCACATTTGTACCATTTTTATTTTCATTGGCATCTTCTATACTGGTGTTTCTCTCATACTTGCCAATTTTAAGACGTGCGGGCTTCAAATCCCAGAATTCCCCAGACAGCAAATCCACACAATATAAAATTGCCAAGAATTGAAAAATACTTTTCTTTATCTATTAAATGCTTAGGGACAATGCAAAATCTTATATACTGCATATGTTTGCCTAGTAAAAAGTCTGAAGGGCTTTTCTAATAAGTGTATACAAGATTGCAATCTAAACTATTTTCTTCAGTGAAATAGGGGAGGGTCCAGACTCTGACCTTTATTCTGAATTAGATAATGTTAAATTAAAATTAAATGGCTTTGTCTGAAACTTTAATCATTTTTTTAAAAATTTAAAGCATGTCTGAATGAGACCAAACTGGTATTCAGGAAAGAACTGAAAAGGAGTATATATTTTGTATAAGTTTCTTATTTTTATAGCAAATTTGAGAGTTTTTTTAAAGGAATATTTTTTAGTTTTAGTGGTTATGCAATATATTATTTAAGTCTTACATCCCTAATTTATGGGATTTAGTTTATGGTACATTTCAGGCTAACACTTAATTTATCGGCACAGGATTGAGCCTCTCCTTCAAAGCAGTTTAATAAGTACTTTGGGCCAGATTAACATTCATTGCAAGAATTACTGATTTCCTCAGTTATGTTCTAAAAATCTAAATTACTCTTATATGCATTGATTGTACAATGTGCACATAAGGAGACATACTGAATTACAGTTAAAAAACATTTCAAGCTGCTGGCCATAATTGATACTTTAATAGTCACGTGAAAAATGCTTAAACTGTGCTAAAAACAAAATATGCCGCATTATGTGTTGGAGTGCATGATTTTTGTATGTGTGTTAAAGGTAAATATAAGAAAGCAACAGACATATTATGATAAAAGCTTCTTTTTAATTAGAAATTTTGTGTTTTCTTTTACAGTATGACATTTATTACTTGCTCTTATTACTAGAGAGTAAGATAAAATAGTTCAGTGGCTTGCTTCAAACTGAAACCACCTTGTCCTGCCAATTCTATGGGCAAAAAAACCCAAAAGTTCTTGTTAAACTAGAAGATTAATCCAATAGGAACTCTACCTTTGAAGAATTTTAATGTGATACAAACTTTATGATAAGTTACTCAGACATAGAACACTTTGCAGAAAAAGAAAGACTAGCCGTATACAGTAAATCATTCTTTTAGTAACTATTACAACCACACTGAAAAAAGTGAATGACTTATGACCATTACAACATCCCTGTAATCAATGATCAAAATTTGGTTGCTTGGCAACTGGCATGTATTATTATTGCAAATGACCTGGGGACCTTTGCTTTTGACAAGCAAAGTCAATGTGGAAGCCCGATTCACTTAACAACTGTGTTACTTGAGGGCAAGTAAAATGGGACAAAACTCACTTAACTGTCTTGCTTAGCAGTATAAATTTTGGGTTCAATTATGGCTGTAAGTTGAAGACTATCTCTATAGAAAGAAACAAAATATTAATATTGAGATGGCTGTCAGTCTAAATAGAACACAAAGAAGAGCCCAATCTGAAATAAAGATAGCAGTGTTTTTGTCACTGAAATCAGATCAAAATCTGCTTCCATCTTCCTTAAAAGTAAGATTCAATAAATGAATGAAAAGAAAACTTGAACCAGTAGAGGGTAAAGCTGCATCCATGTTAACAAATGCCAGTATTTGTAGGTTGCCAGTGATGCAGGACTATCAAATATCAACTATATAGTGCAACTAATTCACTTAGATAGGAAGTGAAGCACTGGATTAAAATAATGAAGTGGTCAGGCACAGGTTTAAACATTTAGAAAGGAAACTGAACAAATGTAGACAAATATGTGATGAATATTAAGATTCAAATAAGAGAACTTTAAGCAACTTTAGCTGCATTACGTCTTAAGTGCACAATATCAATTCTCAAGGGGTTTGGCATATTTGCCTATTTTATTTGGCACTGTATGCTTTAATTTGAATATTGAATACCGCTAAGGAAAAAGTGCATGGAATAAAGATTATACACACATACTTGAAAATACAAATTTCTCTATCCCTATATGTACACGTGTGCCTAACACTGAATAAAGAAAAGTGCATTATGGCTGCAAGAAAATACTTGTTTAAGATTTTAGGATTTTGTACATGTATATGAGAATGAGATCTTTAATTATGTTGTAAATACCCTATTAAACTATATCTTTTGTGCTGAAAATTTAAAATATGCTTTCTTACCAGATCAAGAAAACCTCACTTCATATACTTTAATTATGTATATATAATATATACATATATTTAACTATAGATTAAATATATCCATAGAACTGATCCCATATTGAAATAAACACAGTGTTGTTTTGAGTAAGCCCTGTATATGTTTTTCAAAAGAAAGCAGTTTATGACTGCATTGTTTAATAACAAAAAATCATTATTAACAAAACGTAAGCCCTACTTGAAGGTAGGATTATCAAATTACTGATGTAAAGTGGGGGACTAACTGTACAGCTACTGTATAGGGGGAATCTACCGAATACTGTTCTGACCCAGCCTTCATGAGCTCCACTCAACAGCCTACTCATGAGGGAAAACCCCTTTTTATTTAGAAAGGCAGGAATTCACAGCATTCACTGACAGAGCTCCAGGTCACACATCCGTAGGTGATTCATAAGGGTAACAACCTCTGTGTTCCTTGCAGGGAGCCTCAATTAGTACTTCACTCCAAACAAAAAGTCCTGACTGACCTGGTTAGTGGCAAGGAAATCCTGGCAAGGCATCTGCCTGAGGGAACTCTTCTGGAGCATGAATGGATGTATGATGACCCAGGGTGTGGCACAAAGGCAACACAGATAATCTGTAGGAGTTCCTTCATTAGCTCCAACTTTCCCCCCAATATCCTGGTTATCTTCTGGCTGGAGAAAACCTCTCCCAGGAACAGCCTTTGGCTGCAGAGAATCAAGTCCAAAACCTGGTAAACAAAAACTGTATAAATCCAATCAAGGCAAGATGAGGTAATTAGTCCCGCAGGGCAAGAGAAGGAATTCCAGACGTGAAGGAACTGCAGTAATTCAATCCAGTTGGGAGGATGCCAGGAACACAGATAACCAAAGTTGACACAAGATAAACTCACGTTTGTTCCCAGCAGCCGCCACTCTCAGCTTGCATCTTTTATACTCCCAGGTGTGCCTAATGAAGGGAATCAGGGCCCTTTCCTTCCCCATAAGCCATGCAACCCATGTTGCTCTCTTCTCCGTTCCTTCCTGCATGCCCTAGGTTGAAGAGAGGGTAGACCAGGGTCTTCCTCTGAATTCCCTCTCTCTTGTTCTACCTCTTCCCTGCTCTGCCCAGCCAGACGTTGTCCTTTCCCAGTTTCCTCCGCAGTCAATGGAACCACACTCCCGCTCCCTGTCAGCTGTTCACCTTCCTCCTCAGATTCAGACTCCGACGGGTATGACAGGATGTTTCCAACACCCACGCCTCCCATACCCTTCCTTATATCCCAGCCATGGAGGGGCTTGTTACCATCTCCTAGATAATTGGCCCTCAGTCCTGCATTGCTTTCCTCTCTGCACTTCTCTGCACATACACACATCTGGAACAGGACCCAGCTGTTCCTCCCCCCTTGCTCATCTCAGGTCCTGAAAATAGCTGTTTCTTGCTTGAGCGTGAGTAGATGGGCTCTGCATCTGGCTCTGAGCGCTCCTGTTCCTCAGCCTTCCACTGGCTCCGCTGGTAACCCAGGAAAAAAAAGCAAATTAAAAAAAAATCCTCCCAAAAGATCTCTGACTCAACTGCCATCTCTGCTGGCAGTTGACAAACCACAACAAATACAGAAGGCCAGATCTTGGATCCATGGCATTTAGGAGAAAATTACTTCATTATATACTGGGAGGACAGAAAGATGGAGTCATGGTTGTAGGGGATCAGAAACTGAGGAGACAATGAAGGACAGAATACATGAGTAAGTTGTTAACTATAGATAGTTATCTTCGATGTTGATAACAGTAATTTAAAAATGCACTGCCACATTATGTGCATTAGTCTTTTTCTATCACTAGATGATCACTAAAATTTGATACATGAAAGGCTTTCTCTTTGAATTATTTAACTTCCCAGATGAAAAAGAAGAATGTGAGATTATTTTGCATTACCAAATAATTACAACAGAATAGCCGTACTATACTATTTATCCACATCACCATATGGTTTTGGTCCCTCTGTAGAATATTTGATGATTATATGTCAGTTAGCCACATAAAAGCAAAACGAAATCCCCAGGCAAGGAAAATGCCACAGTCTCTTCTAAAAGTATCCTCTCCACAGCGATTGCAGGATATTTAGCGATTCGATAATATGTTTATGCAAATTGCAAACACATGTCAACTGATAATAGTTAATCCACTGGAAGATTATGTTGTCCCCTAATGAAACAAAGACTCAGATTCTTCCCCACTTACAGAATGGAGGGAAAAACCAAACCCCCAAATAATTCAGTCAAGTCATTCAGGTCTATGCTTCTCTTTTGGATCCTCCCCAATATATATATATATATATACATATACATGTTTTTTTATATATATATATATATAATAATGTTTTATATATATATATATATATATATATATAACATGTATACACACACACACACACACACACACACACACATATATATAAAACATGTATATGTTTTATATATATATATAAAACATGTATATGTTTTATATATATATAAAACAATTGCTCTGTCTTTTGACAGAAACCCCATTATTTTGGCACAACTTGCCACTTTAAAAATGAATGATAGGATGCTAGCATTTGATATTGAAAGAGTTCCAAAGAAAGAACATTTGAAAAGAGGGTGTTGAAGCTCTACTTTGGCTTCTGTGTTGTTGCAGAGTACTGAAGGGAAGCACATCTAGCAGATGGCTGTGGGTTGTCAGAAATGACATTTGTACACCTGCAAAGCTGAGGATTTCTCTCATTTGGATTTTGAGCTGGACAATACAGCAAGTTCAGGCCTCATCCTCTTTTGAGGCCATTTGTTGGCATTTTCTGAGCCTGGAGATGTTTCTAATAATCCTGGAGATGTTCAGTGGCATCCCTATTTATTTCTGCAGCAGCAGCAGCCTCTCTGAAATGTTTTAGAAGATTAAAAAAGATGAAAAGAAGATTGCTTATCTACTCCATAGGCATGTAATTTAAGGGTCAAAGAAGACAAATATATAAGGAGGGAACATGAAAATACAAAAAAGTTAAAAAGTGGAAGTTCTAGAGAAATAAAAATAAGGGCTGGATTGTACTCCGTGTATTTGAAACATCTCACTAACAAGAGAAAGTATGTCCTTGCTTTTAAAAATTCTAAAAAAAACTAACCAGAACAACCTCAATTCTAATTCAGCTAAGAAAGTTATGAATAAGGTGGTCTTGTCTAGCGCTTTAGGCTATATAAGAATTAAATAAAAGATTTCCCTTAATAAAGTGATGCATTTCAAAAGTACACGGGGAGCAGAAAAACATAACTGTGTTCTGAGACAAATCCTTCAGAAAAAGGCTTAATCCATAATTAGCATTTTTAAAAGTAATAGTTGATCATCAAAGAGAATATTATTTTCCCATTCCTGACAATCAGGGCCAAGAAGCCACAAGGACATTTAGATGATTAGTGCATAAGGCTGATACTCCATTCCCCTTAATACCCCTTAAGAAGGATTCAAATTACAGCCTTACAGCCTTGGGGTGGCCTTCTGAGTTGTTCCAAAAGTTGCTGCCAAGTTGTAATAGAATGAGACACAATAAGAAAACTAGTACATATAAGAAAAGTGATCATGTGAGTTATATTTCATTAACTAAATTTAAAATAGATTGAAATTAAAAATATAGCTGAACCAATTTTTGTTCTGGCCTCACCATTCAAAAACCAAGTGTGGTTCAAAAAAGGTGCCCCCTGCCATTCATAATATGCAAAGTATCATGTGTGATATAAATGATAACCCAAAAGAAACACTTCCGTTTATAATGTATTTGTAGTCAAATATGTCACTAGTGGAATTCAGAAAACTATTACTGGGTCCTCATAGGTATGCTTCAGTTCACATTTGGATTATAAATTACCAAGTCAAATCAATCATTTTTATTGCTTTGAAGATGGATAGCTATTAACAAACTGTGCTTGGCAGAACTACATAAAATTAAAGCTCACAGATGTAGGGCATAACTTTGTGCAAGTGCATTGCCTATCTCTCTGGGATTCTATGTATTTGAAAAGGATAGCACAAATTCAAGAACAAAACTTCCTTCATGTGTACTGTCTGCTGTTTTAAAGATGTGAATTTAGGACCATAACATGGATATATATATATAGTGCTTAAGCTTTGCATCCTAAGAGATAATGAAGTTATATTGAAAAATAAGAAACAGGTTTGCTTGGCATTAGGTCAGAGCAAGTGCTTTGCAGATTGGAGGTAATTAAACAGTGAGGTTTGGGAAATCTTTGGATCAAAGTCATGTTTGTTCTGATTCTATTGAATATCTTATGTTCTTGACATTTGTAGATTGTGCTATGACAATCTGCTGTTTTAAGGGCATTGACATGATAAGTTGCAGAATAGACTATGTGTGTGGATCAGGTCTGGCTGCAAAACATGTGTCAGGCACATTGGAATATAGATAGATCCCAAAAATTTATTTTCAAAGGTATCAAGCTGGGCATAATATTGAGGGCGATATTCCGGGAAATAAGGAATGCCGTCTTCCTTGCTCAGGGCCAAGTTTGTGGACTGTGGAAATAGTGATGGCTAGATTTGGTTATGGCTGATGGAATTCAGAGTTAAATGCTAAATTCAAGAATGTTGCTTGATTTGTACCAGTTGTCATTAAAGAGCATTCTGAAAATGTAAGCATGTTTTTTGGGAACAAATACATGCCTGGATTTTATGCTCAGCAGCTAGGCCAAAGGCAATATCACACATCACCATGGGAATAATGTTACAAACAGGGACATGGAAAGGAAAAATCTGCATCGAGATATAAATATCATATGTGATCGATTGGTTGGCTGGTTGGGTGTGTGTGGGGTGTGTGTGTGTGAGTGGGTGTGTGTGTGTGTGATTCATTGCCAAAACACACATCTTCTTGGGATTTAGCCCTGCAGAACAAAGATGGAGTTCTGATTAAGATCCGAATAAACAAAACATTTTAAAAAAATC